ACCCTTGTTACAAAACAGTTCTACTGTTTTGTCTTGTACAGTACCAGTAACGCTACAGAGTGAGAACACCACAATTACAATTTTTCCTTGGGACATGGCGGTGGTGAGGGGTGTGTGTGTGTGTGTGTATACACACACACACAAAGCAGTTCAGGTTTTTTCCCCACTGTCGTCAAAGGATCAGATATAAAGGAGAGACAGCAGAGTGTCATGTCACCCGCATATCAATGACTCTGCAGCCAAAACTCTGAATAGTTTTGTGTAGATGTTGTTAGCAGCATAGAGGGCAAGATGAAATCCTGCACAACCCACAGAGATTCCCACCTTCCTACACTGTCTCCTGGTAAGGTAAAGGTAAAGGGACCCCTGACCGTTAGGTCCAGTCGTGGCCGACTCTGGGGTTGCGGCGCTCATCTCGCTTTATTGACCGAGGGAGCCGGCGTACAGCTTCCGGGTCATGTGGCCAGCATGACTAAGCCGCTTCTGGCAAACCAGAGCAGCGCACGGAAACGCCGTTTACCTTCTCGCTGGAGCGGTACCTATTTATCTACTTGTACTTTGATGTGCTTTCGAACTGCTAGGTTGGCAGGAGCAGGGACCGAGCAACAGAGGCTCACCCCGTCGCGGGGATTCGAACCGCCGACCTTCTGATTGGCAAGTCCTGGGCTCTGTGGTTTAACCCACAGCGCCACCTGTGTCCCTGTCTCCTGGTACAAGCCACTGTATTCTGCTCTGGTCAGACCTCACCTGGAGTACTGTGTCCAGTTCTGGGCACCACAGTTCAAGAAGGACACTGACAAACTGGAACGTGTCCAGAGGAGGGCAACCAAAATGGTCAAAGGCCTGGAAACGATGCCTTATGAGGAACGGCTAAGGGAGCTGGGCATGTTTAGCCTGGAGAAGAGGAGGTTAAGGGGTGATATGATAGCCATGTTCAAATATATAAAAGGATGTCACATAGAGGAGGGAGAAAGGTTGTTTTCTGCTGCTCCAGAGAAGCGGACACGGAGCAATGGATCCAAACTACAAGAAAGAAGATTCCACCTAAACATTAGGAAGAACTTCCTGACAGTAAGAGCTGTTCGACAGTGGAATTTGCTGCCAAGGAGTGTGGTGGAGTCTCCTTCTTTGGAGGTCTTTAAGCAGTGGCTTGACAACCATATGTCAGGAGTGCTCTGATGGTGTCTCCTGCTTGGCAGGGGGTTGGACTCGATGGCCCTTGTGGTCTCTTCCAACTCTATGATTCTATGATTCTATGATCTGTTAGGGCAGGCACATCCAACAGGTAGAAGCTAAACAACTTTGGCTCCCCTAAAAAAAGCCCTGCACTCCTTCTCCCTAAAAAAAGCTCACTGCCAGTTTTTAACTCTGCGAGTAGATCGCAGTCTCTTGGGAGTTGGGCACCCCTGTACTAGGGCAACCACAAGAAAGTTTCCTGAACCCAGACTGGAATGGATCTAAAGGTTTTCTATCCAGAATCTTCACTGCCACCTTCTCACTTCCCTTGCCCCAAAAGAAAATATTTGACACATGGCGCTGGGTGACAGTTGTTCAAATCGGAGGGATCCAGTTATTCTACAACCCACCCCAATGATGGGGTGTGGGAACAATACCCTCCATAGGCGAAGCACTCCCCACTTCACTAACTTTTAAGCCCAACCGAGTCAATTTCACAAGTCAAGACAGGTGCAGGACAAACAGAAAGTTACGCCTTTGCACTTCTCCAAGAATTCAGTCCATGCCATCAGGCTGAAAAATATCCCATAAAATCTAATTAGAAGACTCAATATTGTCTTCCATGAATGCCACCGAATAACCCAGAGTCCAAGTCAGGGTGGTTATATGCAAAGTGTGTCGCAAACTGGTCGCAGCGGACTTCCAAAGACTCCATTGCCAAGGGCCAAGCTGGAACAGATCCTTCACAACATGGAAAAGCTCCAAAGGATGGCACCAAGCAGATTTAATGTTGCCGGAAAGGCAAGCTTTCATTCCCTCTGTCGCCACCACAGACTAGGCACAAAATGGGCCCTAAGCTACACTTAATCATATTCGTTTTCAGTTTTTCTGTTTCAGTGCTCCTAGAGCCTCTGTAAACTAAGGAGCTCTCTGATCTTTAGCACCCATAGCATGGCTTGCAGTGCTCTCAAGTTGTTGTTTAGTCGTTTAGTCGTGTCCGACTCTTCGTGACCCCATGGACCAGAGCACGCCAGGCACGCCTGTCTTCCACTGCCTCCCGCAGTTTGGTCAGACTCATGTTTGTAGCTTCGAGAACACTGTCCAACCATCTCGTCCTCTGTCGTCCCCTTCTCCTTGTGCCCTTAATCTTTCCCAACATCAGGGTCTTTTCCAGGGAGTCTTCTCTTCTCATGAGGTGGCCAAAGTATTGGAGCCTCAGCTTCACGATCTGTCCTTCCAGTGAGCACTCAGTGCTAATTTCCTTAAGAATGGATGCGCTCTCAAGTACTTTCTTATTAAAGCAGGGATTTTCAGGAAGATAAATTACAGGCAACTTGCAACTTGTGTGCATTTAACTTGTGTGCATTCAGCTTTATGCACTTGGTAAAAAATTGTTTGTTTTTTTAAAGGGAGCAGAAAGAGGGCGGGCACCCAGGGGGAAGAAACTCTGGCAATCCCACCCACCACTGCAGTCAATGTGCTTCGACAATACGCAATTTTGGCTTGATGTGCAATCCCCGCATCGTAACCCTTGTGTAAATAGAGTCTCGCCTATATAGAACATTGCCATGTTTGGTACTTTTCCTGAGCTCCCGCAGAATATACAATCCGGGATACAGATCTGTGCCACAACTAAGTTGCAAATTGGGGGCGGGGGCGGAGGCAGTAGCAACTGGGTAGGGGAGTCCAAAGATCACAGGAAAAGGAATCAAGTTCTTCTTCTTCTTCTGCGATCACTTGTAGCCGAGTAAGATTGTCTTCCATAAATACGGTTTTAACAATAATAAATATATAATAAATTTTTATTTATACCCTGCCCTCCCTGATCAGAACCAGGCTCAGGGCGGCTAACACCAATAAAATTACAATAAAACGTAATAGGAAGAAGAAAAAAACAGTTAATTAAAATACGGGTTAAAATGCAGCCTCATTTTAGTATTAGCCCATTAATCAAATGAGTCTGTAAGTGACTATGGAGGCCAATTCTGGAACCACATGTCCTTCCACAGTGGGTTTGGAAGACGCCTGTGCGTGAATTTGTTTTATGTGTGTAGATCAGTGAACAATGACCAATGCAGTCTTTGCAGTAGGGCTCTGTTCCGCTGGCATGAGTAGTCACGACGAACCGGTAGATTCCTATCTGCTGCAGCCTTCATCCGCATTCACAGCCATTGTAACATACCGCTTGTTATCATCCGCCTGTTTTGCCGTTGAGGACTTCTTGGATCATTCCTTGTCTAGCTCCTTCCCTTTGACCTTAGCTTACTGCCTTGGGTGACCCTGCTGGGAGTACGAGATTCCCAACGGCTTTGCTCACAAGGATCATAGGAACGTGCAAGCCCACTCACCACGACAAGGTGATGATCAAAAGCAGGGCTCATGAGATAGGAGAGTAGGGAGCGAACACTTGAAACCAGGCCTGCCATTCCGCCCCTCCAGCTTTTGCTTCTAATGCACACTTCATTCTTGCCATTAGTTCCTGCATTTACAACAGAAGCAAAAATGCAAACAATGCACACACTTAATGGACTTTTGCAACCATCTTTGAATCCCCTGCCAAATGCTGGCTGCTGAGAAACAAATTGCTACTTAATCGCAATGTGCAGAAATCCCAGTAAGCAGCAGTTAGGAAGGAAGAGGGGTGTGGGGGTTGTACGACATTTCCCACCCAGAAGGGACGGCAGTGGCTCGCTCCCAATAGCCAAGAACTCTTAACAGCAGAGGAAAAAGCGCCGATGACTACCAACTGGGCTCCTGCGTGTCCACACGTGTTCAAGGTCAAATCAATGGCAAACTGGACGAGGTAAAGAATTTCGTTCCAACCACTGACTCTAACAAGACAGAATGATGCTTGTTAGGTAAGCCTGCTGACATTTTGTCCTGTATCAAAATGTGTCAGAAAATGCAGACACGACTGCGGTACAGTTTAACCTGCCGTATGTTTTTCATCTCTGCATTTATATTTGAAAAGGCAGGTTTGTTATCAGTGTTTTAAAGAACGGAAGCAGGGAAAGGGGGGACCTCAGAGGAGTGTACACTTTAAAAACTCAGTACGGTATCGTTTTGAGCATATACAGTGGTGCCTCGGGTTACAGACGCTTCAGGTTACAAGTTTTCGGGTTGCGCACCACGGCGAACCTGGAAGTACTGGAACGGGTTACTTCCGGGTTTCGGCACTTGCACATGCGTAGAAGCACTAAATCATGCTTTGCGCACCAGACCGAACTGCAACCCACACGTGTGCAGGCGCAGCGCTGTGGGTTGCGAACGCTGTGGGTTGCAAACATGCCTCCTGCACGGATCACGTTCGCAACCAGACGTTCCACTGTAAAGTGTTTCACATGCGCTGTCAATCATCTTTCCAACCCTTAAGAAGATACCCACCCTATTATTCTGATGGGGTGCAAGGCTGAGGCACAGCGGCTTCCCAAAAGCTCCCACAGTGAGCTTATGGCACAGATGAGATTCGGAGTGGAGTCTTCCTACCATGTTGTCAGCTGCTGTACCAGCACTGTTGCCTGTTAATGCTGCTTCAACTGCAGAGCTGGATAAAAGAAGTGCCTGCAGAAGACCGCTCTGCTGTTCCCAGGCAGCCACTAAACAGTTCCCTATGGGCCATTGTCTGAACATGGGACAAGAGTCAATAGCAGCTTGACAGAGATGACGGCTGACTGCAAGGAGGGCATCACTAAGGAATACTGTTGTAAGGAAGACTTCCTGCTGCGTAAGGAAGACCAGCTACAGGGGATAGCCAACAAAGTCACATCATGCTGTTGACGTTGGGCTTATGTTGCTCCTCTGCAGCTGAAGACAAGAGACGAGACTTTTTGAAAAAGGTTTTTTTTTTATTTGTATGCCATCTGAACATCAGATATACCTGGTGTGTGTTAGCGTGAACCATTTGTACATTTGAATTCATGGTGCCAAAACCCTCCCCAAGACCAAAAAAAAAATAAATCACTTCTCCAGAACATCTGGACTGGCTGAGACGGAGAGGAAGATTATAGAGTGCAGGAAGGACAAAATAAAGGGAGAACACTGGGGGGAGAGGGGGAGGAAGGTTCAGCCAGTTGAGAGAGATTTCATGCGAATGCAAAAAATATTTTGTGGCATGGGAGTATCGTTTTGCAAAAATGGAAGAAAAAAAAAAGTGTGAGAAAGCACAGAAAGGAAATGGCGATGCAGAAGGTTGCACTACTCAGATGCCGGTTAACACCTTAAATATACTTCATCGTTCAATGACATAATGCCAGGGTTAATAGCCCCCTGCCTCTTCCACACAAGAACACCACCCTCATGTTCCCCTGGACTTGAACAAAATTGTGGCGTTGGCACTACACTGTTTAGACCTGCCGCAAAATTGCCAGTTAAGTGATGCTGAAGGGGCAAGTTATCCCACCTGGTCTAGGGTCAGTAACTAGCTTTCCTGGAAGATTACTTTGAGATGATGATAAGAGTGGCAAGCCAGGATCTCTTTCTTTTAATTATTCCCCACTGCCACAGACACTGCTTCCTCTACACACACACCCTCTTCCAGGCTGGCAAGTTTCAGGAGGCTAGCTTTTGGCCCTGGGACCACCGCAATTGCTGATCTAGTTTTAAGAGTGCTCGCTACATTGCAATCTCCCCTTCCCCAGTCCACACCACTGAGTGCAGTGGTGGGGAAACCCAAAGAAACCACACTGAGTCTTGCAGCAAATGCTCCTAGATCTCAATATATAGATGTGGGAAAGCTGCTACGCTAATATGCCGCTTTCGATGGCATCCCCACGGCTGGTGTCATGTGCAGCCCTGACCTCTGCCTAGAACGGCTCATCCGTCTCATTTTGGATGTTCAAGGGGTGGAAAACAGTTTTAAAAGCCTCTGGGTGGCCTCAAGACGGCCAGCTGAAAATAAGACCCATCTGCAGTTTTTTTTTAAAAAAGGTTAATATCGTACAGAAGTTCAGTTCTTTCCAACAGCATATCTTGTTGTGAAGTTAAAAGGCAAGTTCATTTCTAGCCTTTTTTAAAAAACAATAATAATAAAGGACAAACGGCATGCAGTACAGAACCAGGAAACCTTCGGAGCCACCGTTCAAAAGTGACTTGGGCCATCTCTCGCTCTTTTTATGACCGTGGGAAAACGTATTCAAGCGGCCTCCTACCTGTTAAGGCCTCAGAATTCAAGAGGGAGTTTTTAAGGTGGCCAGAGGCCTAAAATTCTTTTCGCTGACATTTCAGCAGTTGTGGTTGTTGTTGTTGTGGATTAGCAAACTGGTCTCGCTTTGGCTGCCTGAAATCTCTGTATTCTGGACACAAGGTTAAGGGAACTCCCGCTTTCTAACTGGCCACTTCACAGACGACAAAATTCCTACATGGAACGCAAGACTACAAAGAGAGAGTTTGCGGGGAAAACCCACACACAAACGCACAGCCAGCCTTTTCTTTTTTTGCTGTGCATGCTCATCCCGAGAAGCTGCAATCTGCCACAGCTTCCCAGGGCATGCGTACAGTCATGTTATGCTACAGTGTACATGGAAAACGCCTTCTGTGTAGGAATTTTGTGGGTGTATGGAGGTGCCTTTGGCGGCTGGGTTCCTACCAGTGTCAAAAGACTTGGCCCACCCTTCTGCCGCCCTCAAGAAAATGGGAAGCACTTTTTTTTGTTTTTTTAAGGTAGCATAAGCCTCTCTCCTTTTATTTAGGATACTGCCGCTGCTCCCTTCCCCCCCACCCCCAAGAAACTCTCCTTTTTTTATTATTTTAAACATTATTATTTCCCCATCCCAGTACAAAGTTCAGCAGGTAAAAGGTTACATGGAAACTGGAACACACAATCGTATAGACAAGATGGATCAGATGAGGAAGTCTTAAAACTTTCCGAGTGAGAAGTAAGAGCAAAAGGGGGGGTGGGGAACAAAAAACACCCCACCAGTCTTCTAGCCTTTTGTCCCACCCCCCCAAAAGGTTTCACGCACCAACTCTCCAAAGCAACAGCCAACAGTTCCCAACTCTGCAAGAAAAAAAGAAGAAAGATAGATGGAGCCACGTCATTCAACTGAACGACCCTCTCGGGGGGATGCAAAATCTGTCACAGCTCACACTATAAAGAGCCCCTCACCTATGTTAGCTTTTTGGCTTTGTTGTATAACGAATCCACTACTTTACTCATATTCTGAATGGTCTCCAGAGCAGCTTCGTACGTTTTGTCTACAGGCGGTTCATCAAAAATAATCAGGACGCCTTCGCCTTGGTCGAGGATCCCTGGCAAAAGAGAAAAGCCCCGGTTAGGCCTCTCAAGTAATGGGGCACAAACTGATCTAACCCTCGAGTGACCGTTTCCTCAAGAAAACAGCACAAACACCTTATTTTTCCGTGTATAACAAGCCCCCGTGTATAAGACTACCCCTATTTTGGGGGACTCCAATTTAAGAAAATGGGGGGAGACGGCAAAGAGTTGTTGAGCTTTTTTGGGGGGAGGATTGTTGTTGAGCTTTTTTTGGGGGGGGGATGCCAAAAATCACTCACGACTGAAATACGCTGGCAATCAAAACCATCTGTCCCCTCGCCACCAGCAGCAAGCACAATCGCCACAGCAGCAGCCAATCCTAAGCAGCCCGTGCCAAAGCAATCAATCATCCCCCAAATTGCCGCATAAAAGCTCCTGCTCGTGGCTGCAACCAACTGCCCGTCCCCCCTCTGCACGATCCATGTGTAAGATGACCCCCCCTTTTTTACATTATTTTCCAGTAAAAAATAATCATCTTATACACAGAAAAGTATGGTAAGCCAGATACGGAAGGTGCCAGCCTTAACCAGCACATGTTAAGATATGGATAATGAAGAACCCCCAAAGGTGTGACGCTCCTCAGGTCTAATAGAACTATGGTTACCATATTTTTTCAATGAATCCAGGGACACTTTTTTTTTTTTTGAAGCTGAGTAGCAACAGGGAGTCAGTAGCGGGGATGGTGAGGCAAAAGACCCTGGGCCCAAGCACACATGTATATTGTATAAAGGTGCAAAGCCTTTCTATCGCACCCTGTGAAACATAAATGCGCAGAGTTTTTAAAAACCTGGGCAACGTGACTCCCAAGCCTCTCCCAATCTCCTGCCCCCTTCCCGCTTTGTTTTGACTGATCGGGGGAGGCTTGGGAGTCAGGGGCGGGCGGTGTTTCCCAGTTTTTTAAAAGCTCTGTGCATTTATGTTTCACAGGGTGCGAAAGAAGGGCTTTGCACCTTGCCAGGCAGAGAAACCGTGCGCCTTGCGCCCCTCCTGGGCAACAGCCGCCCGCCTGCGACTCCTGAGTCTCCCCGATCTGTCAAAAGAAAGGGAGAAGGGGGCAGGAGATCTGTACCGCCGGACGTCCCTGGTTCCCCCTCAGCAGTGGCGGCGGCAGCCAGCAGCTCCTGACGCCAGCCAGAGCCAACTACGCTACCAGGCTGGCTCCAGGCTGCTGAGGCTGCCGCTGCCACGTTTCCCGGGGACAGATGTGCAAATCTGGGGACATTCCGGGAACGGAATTTGTCCAGGGACAGATTTGCAAATCCAGGGACTGTCCCCGGGAACATCTGGTAACCCTAAATAGGTAAAGGTAAAGGGACCCCTGACCATTAGGTCCAGTCATGACTGACTCTGGGGTTGCGGCGCTCATCTCACTTTATTGGCTGAGGGAGCCGGCGTACAGCTTCCAGGTCATGTGGCCAGCATGACTAAGCCGCTTCTGGCAAACCAGAGCAGTGCATGGAAACGCCGTTTACCTTCCCGCCGGAGCAGTACCTATTTATCTACCTGCACTTTGATGTGCTTTTGAACTGCTAGGTTGGCAGGAGCAGGGACCGAGCAACGGGAGCTCACCCCGTTGCGGGGATTTGAACCACCGACCTGATCGGCAAGCCCTAGGCTCTGTGGTTTAACCCACAGCACCACCCGTGTCCTTCAACCCTAAATACAACCCCTCTTTTGTTTGTCCTCTAGCACATCTAAGCTCTTGTTTGTACGCATCATGTTCTTGGGGGTGGGGAAGCAAGGCAGGACAAGCAACCCAAGACTGTGGTGGGCATAACTCTTTCACATTTTGCAAGGGGAAGGGGATTTACCGTGGAATTTCTTGTCCAGGATCATCTGAGAGAGTTTCCTTTCCACATCGGCCTGAAAGAGAACCAGGAGACAATCAGCTTCTTAGAGCCAACGATGGACCAGCTGGTTTTGCCAGCCTGAAGTTTTACGGTTCCTGGGATAGTAATCTTGAAATAAACCACCTAGAGGTGCCTCACATATGCTCTAGTGACAGAAAGAGTTGCTGCTCTTTTCTCCACACAAAAAACTCCCATGTCTCTCACACACTCTTAGCACTGAACTGAACAACGGACGCAAAAGACATGACATATGTCATTCTAATATACACAACATTTATGGCACGCTCTAAACCATACAGTAAAACTGTTAGTTTATGTATAAATATATTTTCGAAGGCTGAAGGCTCTCTATATAAGCAACTGATTATAACAGAAATAAAAAAGGTTTTAAACAATGCAAGTTTATGTTGTTCTTTCATGTGTTTTATAAAGGGAAGGGGGGGGGGAGAGATTATCAAATTGTTTGTATTCCTTCCCTTAAATGTACCATTTCAATTAATGCTGTCATTGTGGCAAGGTATCATAAATTTTATTAAACCATTCTCATTCTGTTAGCACTGTGACTGTTTGGCAACAGTTTAATTTTTTTGACTAAAATTATGATGTTCTGACCTCACATGTTCTTCAAGATGTGCCAAAATTATTATCCAAGGGTTACTTGGTATGAGGTATCCAATTATTTCTTGCATACACTATCTCCTTCCAAAAACACTCAAATCTTCTTGCATGTCCATAAAACACCAATATAATCTGTGATTTTCTCCCACGTTTTCTCCATGTTCCACTAATTTATGGGTATATCTTTGTTAAGCATGGTTAAATACCAGCTGCGTAACACACACACAGTAATAAAGCTGTATTTGTCATAAATATTTATTTTCACTTTTTGCCTGTCACATTTCTAATCTTGTCCCCCACTTCTTTCTTTATTCTCTTCATATATACGATAACAGATGTTTATTTTTCCTTTGTGTAATTATTTCTCCATCAATTCAATTTTGATTCTACTTTCTCTTAAGATTCTGTAGTGTATTTGTACATTGTAGCTGAAAATACTGGTGTTAGGGAGGCTTATTGGCTTCCAGGCAGTTTGACAATTTATCAAGTGTTAAATAATGATCATTTTATTATGTTGGTTATTATGCCATAAATCTATTATAATCTGGCAACTGGAACGTCACATTATATAGAATAGGTTGAACTTATGACACCCTCAGATGACAGGACTTTCTTATAAATGTCTCATTCCCAGCACTGACTGAATAATTAAATTTGATTTATTAAATTTAAGACTCTTGAGATTATTTCCTCCCTATGAAATTATGCATGAAGATCATAGCATCACTACAAGTGTCAGTTTTTGTCACTTTCACAAACAACTGATTACAGAAGTTTAACAAAAAATGCAGTTTAATGCCTGCTCCGCTCTCTCTTTCCTGAACTTTATGGCAGCAGTTAGGCCCCTTCTTTTTAGCAGCTCCTAACTAGTAACAAGAACATTCAGAGCTGTTCATGTACATGCAAGCTTACGTAGTCTGTTGCATCCATGCTCTTACCTTTGACAGCTTGATAAGGCTAGATATGTGTTCAATCTGCAAAAAGAAATTGAGAACAAGTGCCAACACGATTCGAAAGGAATAAATACACGTGTTATGGTTTTCATTTGCTACACTTAGCTGAAGAGGCAGTCAGTATAGAACAGCTGTGTAGATTCTGACACCTTTTAGGACAGTCTCATGCCAGCAGCCAATTCCACTCATTTTAACTTAACACACAGTTCAAGTCTCTCGCATTATCCATTTATTTCTAGTAACCTTTTGATTAAATCTGCATTACTTTACCCAAAATGCAATACTAGATATAACCTAAAGTCCAGTACAAGCCCAGGAGTCATCCACAGTAAGTGCTTTTTTAAAAAATTAAAAATTTAGTTCTTAACATGAAGAAATGTCAGTCAAGGTCTCCAAACCACTCTATGGCCCTCAAATTACCGTACTTTTCGCACCTGACCATAAGACGCACCTAGTTTTTAGAGAGGGAAAGCAAGAAAAAAAATATTCTGTGAAGAGTATGCAAGCGGCTCTCACTTTTCTTGCTTTAAACTCTTCGGTTGGCCCTCCCGCTTCGCTGAGAAGCCAGCAGAGCAAGAGTAATAGCTGCGCAGTGCCTCTTCTGCTGGCTTCCCAGCAAAGCAGGATGAGGGATGAAAGGGAGCCCTTACAAGGGAGCGCTGAGCCGAGCCTGGCAGCAGCTCTTGCTGGCTTGTTTGGGAGGTGTGGGAAGGGACAGAGGGCAGCCCGTCAGTCCCTTCCCCCACCTCGGGGAAAAGCCCCCAAGAGCCACACACACACTCCGTGCGGCTCTTTAAAGGCAGCACTGAACAGAGCCTGTATGTATCTCAGATGCGAATGCAGGCGGGAGGCTGCAGGTGGGGGAGCACATCAGTCCCTTCTCCCTCCTCGGGAAAAAGCCCCCAAGAGCCGCACACACGCTCCACGCGGTTCTTTAAAGGGAGCACGGCTCTTGGGGGCTTTTCCGTGAGGTGGGAGAAGGGACTGATGGGCTGCCCTTCACCCTCCTCAGGGAAAAGCCCCCAAGAACCGCACACACGCGGCTCTTTAAAGGGAGCGCTGAGCAGAGCCTCCCACCTGCATTCGCTCCATGAGACGCGCACACATTTCCCCTTACTTTTTAGGAGGGAAAAAGTGTGTCTTATGGAGCGAAAAATACGGTACCCAACCTGTTTATCAGCAATCCATCTTACACAAGTCATACAAACAGGCTTAGTCAGAGTAATCAATTCTTAAAATGTAGGGATCTGCCACTTTCAACCATTACCTTTAATAACAAATGTCACTGCAGAATTTGGAAGCAGCAGAAGAAATCCAGGACCCCTGGAACTGTCAATCAATGACTCACCTGATGTCTCAACCTACTTAGAGCTCCCCCATCTCTCTTTTTCTGCCCTGCAATTCCAGTTATACCACTCCAGAGCCTAACCAATAGTGTAAGATAATGTTTTACCACACTCTTGAGAAATGCAAAGGAAAGATCTGCACACAGGGTTTTGAAAACAGCCTGCTGTTATTGCCAATACTTTTGGCATTGGACATGGTAATGGTTGTTTTGAAAATTTAACTGGGAAATCTAAGTAGATGACCGCCAATTTCATGGAGGCTGAAACAATGAGAAAGGAAGCTCTTCTAGTGCTTCTTACCTGAACTCTGGAGAAAGGCTCAATGACCCGGATCAGGTTTTGTTCCAATAAGTTATCATAGAGTTTGCCCAAATGTGTGTTGATGATGGGGTCATCCCTGAGTTCCACTTTATAATCTTTCAGAGCCTGTGAAAGATTGGATTAAGTCAGCAATGAGTACAGAGGACGAGGATGCAACCATTCTTAGGGCCAAGGGAATAAAGACTCCTTGGAATCATTCTGAAACTATTTGTGTCTAATATTATACAGTCATACCTCGGGTTACAGCCGCTTCAGGTTGCGTTTTTTCGGGTTACGGACTGCCGAAACCCAGAAGTAACGGAACGGGTTACTTCCGGGTTTTGGCGGTCGCGCATGCGCAGAAGCGCTAAATTGCACATGCACAGAAGCACCGAATTGCAACCCATGCATCCACAGACGCGGGTTGCGAACGTGCACCCTGCACGGATCACGTTCGCAACCTGAGCGTCCACTGTACAGGGTTGTGTTAATGCTGCATTTAATAAAATCAAGACACCTGTTCCAAGAAAAGAAGAATTGTGCAAATTTGCAGGTGCTTCGGCAATGTACAATTTTTTTAAAAAAAATATTCTACTAATCTTAGGTGAGAGTGGAATCTATGCAGAGGCCTGAAACTCCAGTCCTTGACCTCTGGGAATACCATTCACCCTCTGTGCAAGTTTATTCACATATAACTTGGACTAAAACAAAATAAAATAAACAAACGGCTTGCTCTTCATCCCCCCCCCCATGTTTTTACCCATCCTTAGCCCAGTAACTGGAAACGTCAGGGAGCAGTTGCCAAGCAAATATCTGGAACTCTTAACACAAAAGAAGTGTTTTCACCAAGCAAAAATGTTCCTAGGACTTCAGTTGATTTACATCTGTTACCCTGTTAAAGCGTGCTGTGGAAGGAGGGATTATTGGGTTGTTTTTAATATGTATTTTCTGTTTTTCATATTGTGATTTTCTGTTGTGAACTGCCCTGAGATCTATGGGTATAGGGTGGTACCTCGGTTTTCGGACGTCTCTGTTACCAAACATTTCGGTTTTCGAAAGCCGTAAACCCAGAAGTAAATGCTTCAATGAAATTTGCAGACCGCCCTCTGCATTACGCTTGAAAACCGAGGTACCACTGTATACAAATTTAGTTAAATAATCATCATCATAATAATAAAACTAAATTACACTCATATTAATATCTAACCCACCACAAACACCACTACTCTGGATATTTCCACTCTTCCTGTTTTTAAGAACCAAGAAACAGAGCAGGAAAGGTTGCAACTCTACATCCACTTTCCTGAGAGTAGGCACTAACTGAATTCAGTGGAACAGCTGAGTGAACATGACTGGATGAGGCCACAGCCTCTCTTTGTCCAACAGTGGCCAATCAGATGTTCCCAGGAATCTCACAAGCAATGAAAATGCCCTTCCCCTCATCCTCCCCACGTATGCAGAGATCTACTGCCTCTCCATGTGAAAGTTCAATTTTTAAGCCTATTATTCAACCACCTAGTCGAAGAATAATTAGCCCATTCCTCATCGTGCCTACTCACCTTTTTGAAGTCATCCAGTGATCTATTCTTACTAGCCTGTGCCACACATTTTAGAGCTTCTGTCTGCGAGGGAGAGAGAGGAGCCACCGTTAGCATTTTCTGGGCCACATGAACGGCAGGTTGCGTTTGAGGCACTCGCACTTGTGAAAAATACTTCCCAGAAGTCAGGGGGAAATTCAGGAAAGGACATCAACCAGAATGCTAAGTATCTGTTCTAATTCCATCCTCACTCACAGCTGCTATATCACAGAAAGAAACAGACTATGCAGCTCTAAAGAACAAGCGATCGAGACAGAAGAACCCCAGCTTGGGCAGCAGAGACCCTCAAGATGCAATTGCGCAGCACCTCAAGTCTTCCAGGCGCTCCCTACTTCAGAGAGCCATCTGCAAGGCAGCCCAATTCACTGAAATATTAACAGTGGGAGATGGGATCAAAAGACTCGAGGACAAAAAAGGTAGATCGGCGTTTCTGTACCTGTCTGCCTGCATACCGCAGTGCAAGTTTCCCGCTCACCAAGGCCTGCACATCTTCAGGCCTGAAAAGGACAGAATATAAAATGAGAGGTGTTGATTCATCATGTCCCTGGCTGTTAGAAGAGCTCATTACAGTGGTACCTCGGGTTAAGTAATTAATTCGTTCTGGAGGTCCGTTCTTAACCTGAAACTGTTTTTAACCTGAAGCACCACTTTAGCTAATGGGGCCTCCTGCTGCCGCCGCACCACTGGAGCACGATTTCTGTTCTCATCCTGAAGCAAAGTTCTATTTCTGGGTTAGCGGAGTCTGTAACCTGAAGTGTATGTAACCCGAGGTACCACTGTATAAGCAAGGCACTTATACATCCATTCAGTTAAAAAACTGGGAACTCAGAATCTAGTGGCCTTTTCATCCTCCCAAGGATCTTCTTCCTTTCAAATGAAGGGAAGCGCTGCCTGGCCTCCATAAAGACAGAGGATTTAAGAAATCCAGGCTGCCTTCTTGTGGCAGTGCCATTTCCATGTACCAAAGAGGCCTGAACGAGACTTACAGCAGAGAGAGGCAATGACTAGTATGCTGCTTATTTCTACCCTTTCCTACGACCCTTAATCCTTCTTTCTTTCTTTCCACTGCCCCCTGCATTCTTGCCTCCCTTCTGCAAGCTTTGACACTCATGAATTATGCCAGTTAAGGATCCCGGTGCTTCATCTAATACCAGAGTATGCGTCTTAACCCAAATGACTGCTGAAAAGGGGGAGGACACAAGGGGCTATTTGCATTCCTTTCGCGATATAATTAGCCACATACAAGTTCAGCATGATCTTGCACAGCAGCATGTATTTCAACGCTGTGATAGCTTTGGGGCTGTCGATGGAATCGTAACCCTCAAATGCCTCGTAAAAATAGGAATATGCCGTCTTCCAGTCCTTTTCTTCTGCTGCATGAATGATGCCTGTTAGAAGGGAAGGTAAACACAAGGACCAGGTTAGAGCATCCAGTTTCGTCGGGAAGGATGGCTGCAAAGTCCTACTTATCGGTCCTTCTAGGGAGAGACTATCTCGAAGGGTCATTTCTCCCCTGCCTCTCTCTTTCTGACAAAAGAAAATCAATGTTAGCAAGAGGGCTGCATCAGTTCAGCCAGTCCTCAAATTCTATGCTAATGCAAGCTAATCGGAATCAGTTCCCCTATGCATAATTTCAAGGGTTGCAACTGAGCTGGTTTTAGCGGTTGCCCAAAGGTAAGAGGGGAGAGGCACAGCCATGAAAAATTAAAGGACTAACACAGGCACCTAATATAAAATAATATTAGAAGCAAAAAAACTTGTTTTGATGAATTGGAAGAGCGGCAAAAAGATTCCATTGAGCACATGGATTGATAATATGGACAGACTAGCTACATACGAATGAATTGCACGTCGACGCAAAATAAGAATGGATAAATATGAAGAAATCTGGAACGAATATTTAAGTGATAAGGCAGATAGTGGAGGGAAGTGGGGAGGGAGAGAGGTGGGAAAATATTGTTTAAAAAGGTGTAGTCATAGGTATATCAGTGTATTCAAATCTGAATTGTCAAATTGTGTTATTGTTATTATGGTTTTTGTTGTATGTGTCTTTTGCAGTTGTTGTTTGTATCGAAAAAATGATTAAAAAAAAAAAATTTAAAGGACTAACACAGGCACTGGGGAAAAGAGACCATCTAAGAATGTACATCAAAAAGGTTACATTTGTAAATGGGGGGGTGGTGGTCCCTAATAGCTCTGATTGCTTCTGCATTTAATTACTTCAGCTTTACTCTGACAAAAAGAGAACTGAGGGGCTTTTCCAAAATCTACCAAGCTCTGGTCAGTTTTGCCTTCATCTTGCATGATATGCATCAGTTAAGACAGCAATTAAGACAAGAGCTCATCTGTTTTTGTTTTGCTAGATTTCCCCATGCCTGTATTTTGGGTTTCACTACGGACTCTCTAGAGTGAGAGTCGAAAGAGATCCTGCAGATTACCTAGATCAGCCACATGGCCTAAGAACCTAACCAAGCTTCTTTTAAAAACCTCCTAGGGGGAAGATTCTCTAAAGCTCCCTGGATGGATTGTTCCAATGTAGGATCTCTTTAATCGCATTTACAGTGGTGCCTCGCAAGACGAAATTAATTCGTTCCGCGAGTTTTGTTGTCTTGCGAAGCACGGTGTCGGGAAAGTTTTGGAAAAGCTTCAAAAATCACCAAAGTCTTTAAAAACCTCAAAAAAGGCTACCACACCGCGTTCTATGAGTTGCTCCTCGAAGTCAAGTCGCAACTGTATTAACGGTGTTAAGAAAAAGGAAACAAACTTGCAAGACGTTTCCGTCTTGCGAAGCAAGCCCATAGGGAAAATCGTCTTGCGAAGCAGCTCAAAAAACAAAAAACCCTTTCGTCTGGCGAGTTTCTTGTCTTGCGAGGTACCACTGTATCTTCTTTCCTTCTATTACCTGTCCTATGACAGACTACAAACTCATGATCAAACGAGCACAGCGGCCGCATCTCATTTTCGCACAACACGCCACGGCTAGTGTTTATTGCACGAGGCAAAGGATATAATGAGCCCAAACACAGCAAGCATGTATGACAACACCTGCTGCCTGCATGACTTACCTGACTGCATGTCCAGCGCTGCCTGCAGCTTGGGTGGGCAATAGATTGCATTGGCTGTGGTTCGGGCAGAGGTTAATGCTGCTCTTGCTTTTGGCAGGTTGCTCAAGGCATGGTAGGTCTTGCTCTCCAACAGCTGCACTTCCACTAGGAGGGCCTTGTCGTCCATCTTTTTCAACTCCCGCAAAAGCTGTGAGCCTGACAAAAGTCATACAGTGGAGCCGGTTGTCTCAGAGAATCCCTTTCTGGAGCCCCCCTCTCTGAACTCTCAAATACTGTACTTAAAATTTATCTTTGCTACTCAACAGAACTTGTGATATCAAGGGAAGGAATTCAGCACTGTGTTCTCCTGATCAATGCAAGATTTTCTGTTCGCCAGACAAAATACACATGCTGTTCTGGATGCTCCAGAGCTGATCTGGAGGAACAAAAGTCCTGTTAGCTTCTGCAAGCACACCAGGTCAGCTGAATTGAGACTGGTCTGTGGAAAGCCAGGGTGGTATTCAACTATGTTTTACTCAAGAATAGACCCACTGAAACTAATGGACCTGACTCATTTCAGTGGATCTACTGTGAGTAAAATACCACCCATAGTGTGGTACCAAAGTCTTACCCCCTGGCAGTGTTAGAAACTGAGTTATAAAACCTGAGTTACAGGTGCAAAAACAGAATGGCTAGCATCTATTCCCCACCCCCCATAACGCAGCAGCACTTTTTATTATTATTTTTCAAAAAGCATCAACTAATATGCAATTCACACCAGTGAGTGACATGTTGTTGATATCATTTTTAATAGCAGTTTTGAACTGGACAACACAAACACAAATAGGGCTCAGCTCTTGCAATACAGTGGTACCTCAGCTTAAGTACTTAATTTGTTCCGGAGGGTCATTCTTAACCTGAAACTGTTCTTAACCTGAAGCACCGCTTTAGCTAATGGGGCCTCCTGCTGCTGCTGCGCCGCCGGAGCACAATTTCTGTTCTCATCCTGAAACAAAGTTCTTAACCTGAAGCACTATTTCTGGGTTAGCGGAGTCTGTAACCTAAAGTGTATGTAACCTAAAGCGTATGTAACCTGAGGTACCACTGTAGTTGCCAAAACCATGTTATTTGAATAATTAATATTTACAGATACCTGTATGGCAACACACACACACACACACAGAGCCAGGAACACAAACACAAGAGAGAGAGCTGTGAACTCTGCAGAGAACCGGAAGGAGGGGAAAGGGGGAAACACAGCAAGCAGAATGTGCTGGATTGGGCTGCGATCAAGAGAAAATGACTATCTGGTAGAGAAACACAACCAATGAGTGCTGCCCCCAATTCAACCCAGAAGCAGACCATTTCATGTCCCCCTCCTTCATGCAACAGTGAGACAGAGAGAGAGAAACCAAACAAATATATAGGAACTTTCCCCTCTCTGTACTACCTGGGGAACTCTCGCCTTCAGGGGGCTCACCTTTCCTCCTTCGCCCCTCCATTCCCTCTGTTTTGTATTCAAATGAATCAGGAAACTGCTCTTAAGTTTACTCCGGAGTCCTGCAGGTGGCTTTTCTAGTCCTGCACCTCCAGCGCCAGCCCACAGAGAGAATGGAGAGAAAGGGAGGGAAGGAGGGAGAATAGCTGTTCTACTGCCTTGTGGGATGAGAGGGTCCTAGGGTTGGACATTAACTCTAATGCAGGAGCTGCTGGTGCTGGCGAAGCAGAATGAAAGGATCGGATCGAGCTGAGGGGGCCTAACTCTTTGAAGTCCCGTCAGGCAGATACGGTCATTGCGATGAGGCTTCCTAAACGCATTAAGGACATTCCCTCTCGCAAAATGCGACTGTTTGCATTAAGAGTTTTGAACGCTGCCTCCAGGAAAGTATGCAAGGCCAAGGGTATGTCAAATGAAAACAGAGCACCTTCATAATTTTTATTTTAAACAAGAATCAGGTGAATTGAAGCTTGATGGGAAAGTTGACCTCGTTTCTGCCTGAACCTAGGGAAGGCAGTTTGAGGAGTTGCCAAATAAAGTATCGCCATTTATCCAACAGCTGATACTGTGAACTGAACACATAACATTTAGGGTGAGTAGTTTTGACCTTTGTCCTTATCCAGGAGGACTCATATGTTCTTTGGTTTTGCCCACTGTGCTATATGCTCCATGTATTTATTTGTTTCTACATTTATCTGTGTAGTTTCTTAAGCTACAGAAATGTTTAACTTTAAACATGTATTTATATTTATAATTTTATATTAAAATATATGGTTCCAGACAGTTCTTATTGGAACCCAAAGACTGAATTACCTCAAGCATCTTGGTCAATACATGATGCTAAAGCAATGAACACACTTCTATGAAGCAGGTTTAGCGTAAGATGCAAGTGAATACAGTAATACTTCCACGAACGTCCGCCTTGTCTAGCGTCATTCCGGCGAACGTCCACAGCAAACCCGGAAGTACCGGAATGGGTTACTTCCGGGTTTGCAGCTCGCGCATTTGCAGAAGCGCTAACTCGCACTTCACACATGCGCAGAAGCGCAGACCGCTCCGCAAGCGTGCGCAGACACTGTGCTTTACCCGGCTTCCTTTTTGGTTAGCAGCCAGGGCTTCAGAACGCATCCTGGCCACAAAACGAGGTACGACTGTATTAAGGAGCTCTATTCCTTCTAGCCAGTATGAAATCAAAATGGGGGCAAAGCGGTGCCCAGCTGGTAATCTACTTACCTAACTGCAACGCTTCTTGATACCGTTTAGTGTCAAAGTACAAAGAAACCAGCCTTGCCTAGGAGAGAGAAGGTAAATGATGCATTTTAAGGAAAATTAACTCTATGAATGTGAAATACTTATTTCGGACAGGTATGAGGAACTTTCGGCCCTCCAGAACTATTGGAATTTAACTCCCATCAGCCCCAGCCAGTATGACCAGTGGTTAGTGATGATGGGAACTGGAGTGTGGCAATAGCTGGAGTGCCACAGACTGCTCATTCCTGACTCGGAAAGCAATATATGTGATCCACGGAAGAGGCAAGGCCTTTGCTGAGAGGAACTGCAAGTCTGGACAAGCACGGCAATGCAGAGTAAAGTCCGACAGCAGAGAATGCACGGTCGTGCGGTAATAAGATTGAAGGGGAAGCTGTTCCCAACATAGGAAGAGGCACAACGGGGGAGAAAAATGAGCCAAGGAACAAAGGATCTAACGGCAGCTCATTTCCAAGCCACACAGAGCAGAAAGACCGAGAAGCAGAAATCCACAAATACAAATGGATCTGCAGTCAAATACAAACTTCTCTGCAGTGGCTAATCCAGATCATCTTCCATCCCCAAGATCCACAAAACAACATCAGTGAGTGCAGACAGCGTTGAAAGCCTGGGAAAATACCTGTCTTTTTACCAGTCCTATATAGCAAGCGCAACCGTGGGTGTTAAGGGAGAACACATGTCGACTGTTTGCATCACAGACGGGGAGGAAAACTCCCAGAGATGCAAGTCTGCATAAAGCTGGCCTGGAACTATCACACCCAAAACCACCATTTGAGAAACCTGGTAACACGTCAGCAATGACCCGACGAAGCAACGCAGCGGAACGTGAATAGGTAACAGTTGCCTGGTTCAGTGCCCCGGCAGGTAGTATGGCAGGTTTCCAAATCCGGGGAATAAATGAGAGACCAATGTGCACAACTTAGCTGTACCAAGTCACACGGATATACAGCATACCTTACCTCCAGAGCTTGGCGCAGGAATGTCCTCTTCTCGGATTTGGCCCATTCAATGCATTCAAGACACAGGTCAACCTTAAAAGAAAAAGAAAGAAACCACATTCAAATTGCTTTTTTTTTCTGGCTGAGGATAACTTGACCACAGCTGCCCCATGCATTTATATCCTTCAAGGTTGTATTATTGCAAGGCGCTCTATACTTTCTAGAAACAACAGAAGAGATTTTTGTTTTGACAAGCTTTTCCTGACCGATGTATAGTTCTATGCCTTAGATATACCTTTGGAATTGATTTTAAGCATATTTTCTGTTATCTTCTATACTTTAAAAAACCTATTTCCACTTTTTTTAGATAGATAAACTTTATTCACATTAGCCAACGGCCATAGCAACACAAAACAAGCAATACATACAATTAAAAAGACAACAATGGGTAAAAAGGACAATGAAATGACCAAGTTTATCGTTCAGATAGCATATTTTCTGTTATCTTCTATACTTTAAAAAACCCATTTCCACTTTTTTATGATAGGGTGAATATTGTTTATTTCATTAGCCACATTTTACAAATGTCACAAGAAAATTTACAGTACTTGCTCCAGCACAACCGCCACCGTCTAGAGATTGTCTTTTGTATGAAGTTCTGCATGCCTTCCTCTGAACAGGATCAGCTATGACAGAACACCTGAAAAGCGACTGCAAACACCACGTTTACAGTTTTGCTTGAATTTTGATTCTCACCTCTTGTCCTGTTGCTGCCTCCATGTCTAGGAAAAGATCTAGCAGAGACCGAACCAGGCGAGCTGCCTTCGCCTTGCTGATGGAGTTTAAGAAAGGGCGCACATACTTCAGAAGTCCTCCAAGTTCTGCATTGAAAACAAAGTTGTGAAGCACAGCTCAGCTTCTGAAGCTGTACAAGAACACAACAGAAGCATAACGGCTCATTCCTGAGGTGGCAATGACCACACAGTTTAAAATCTAGTGCCAATTATTTCAGACAGAAGAGGAACATCCACACATACTGGCTCCAATTCTTTGGTATTATTATTTGGGGAGGGGGATTACCTGTATGCTGCCTTGTAGCATTTTTTCAGAACAGTTTTCCATCTTCTCTATGGTGCTAACTGCATGACAAATGTTTGTGTGGGTATGTTTCTTTTATTAAATAACAACCATGGGAGGGGGGGAAGCTTAAATGCTTTCCCCTTATGTCCTGTCCCCACCCCCAGCAGTTGCTTTTTAGTAAAGAAAAACAAGCACACGCTGACCCGTCTTGTGACTACATGTCTAGTTTGGTCTACAGTGACCAAATCCAAAATTAGCATTCTTCTCTTGTCGAGATACTTTTCCAGATCCCACAAACGTGACATTAGAGCAGTAACTGTTCAGAGAGCAGTAACTTTTGTACGGTGACATTATATTCTTTTATTCTTTTTCTTATTCGTTATTCACCACCTTTCACCCTAAGCCTGTGTATTACACCATTAAAACACAGTATTAAAAACAGATTAAAATGGTTAGGTGTTATTAAGCTGCTTTAAAACGGAATTTACCTTCCGCCTGCCCCGTCTTGGCCAAGAGACTCCCCAGTTCCAGGATGCTCTGCTCTTTGACTTGTACGGCCTCTTCATCGTTCTCCTGGACATCACGCTTCACTGGAAAAAAGAAAAGGTTTTCGGAAGTTAAGACAAGCCTCTGCACCTAATCAAGGATTGTTCATGCATAATTTGGCTCAATCATCAGCTAGCTTCTTGTGATACCATAGCACCTGCCTCTCAGATTACGATTCTGAGTTTGTGACACAGAGAAATTCAGTAACATGACGCAGCTCGGTTTTGTGTCATCCAGCATATTTGGCATAATGTAATCACAGCAGCGATGTGGACACAGCTACAGCTGTGAAAAAGCATCTTCATCGCTCTCTAGCGTGTCACCAGATATTGTAAACAAGCCTCTTCACACCAAGAAGAGTGGTTACATCACTAGTTTTAGTGCACTTGCATGAAAGAACATGCACAAAAAATAGTGGTATTCAGAGAAACCAGCACAGTACCATGTCCTGCGGTATACAGCTGCCAATATGTAAAATATTAACTAAGGAATGAAAAACTACAAACCGCCTTTTAAGCATAAAGTATTGGCTTCAGCAATACCGAAGGACTACTTCACACTATTATAATGGAACTACTTAGGGATCCCCCCATTAGTAGGTAGCCATATCAATACTTTTCTCCTTGCCAAAACTTTAATTTCTAGGATAAAGAGGCATCTCTCATGGTTTAATTGTTCCCAATCCATGAGGAACAGTTTTATTTGACAATTAACAAATGGGAGGTTAACAAGAATCATTTCACTGAGTCAGAAATGTCATTTATTTCAAACGGTTCCCGTCAGCCAAGAGTGAATTCCACCAAAACCTACAGGACTAGATAATTTTGTGCATTTGCATGGGACAATATCAAGTTTTCCTTTGCTGTACACACGTTCTGCTCCTACTGTCAATCTTAAGACAAGTAAAGCTCCTCTATGCGGGTGCTGTTCTCAGGCTAATTTTGTCTGGGGAAGGAAGAGAAGTGGTGCCTGGTGGCTTATTTCATTTAATATGATCTACAGAAATGTAGCTCAAGTCTTGAACTAAGAAAGGAAAAGAATATATTTTAAAATATGGGAAGGAGGAAAGGAGAGTTTGCAAGGCGCAGGCCAAAACAGAGAGGCCCTCCTGTTCTCCGGCACAACACCCAAATTCTAAGGGCATTCCATTTCCTAAACTTTTTATAGTTGAAGCTTTGTTTCAAAGGGTGTATTGCAGCTAGTCTTCTTTGTTTCACCATGATTCCCTACTCTGCTCTTTGTGTGAAGTGCACTGAAGGAAGATGATCAACTCTCAGCTGCTATCAACACATGCAAACTGCAATCCTGTATGAGAACAACTTCAGTTGTTCTGACAGTAGGTAAAATGGATTACTACTTCCTGATCCTAAAACCCACCTTCCTAGTTATACCTTTAGAAATCCCAAGCCATATTAGTTATTTGAACAAAGTCCAAATTGTAGAACACCATAAGAAAATCCCTCCTAGATATGAACATTGTCCACAGAGCCTAACATTGTTTCTCTCAGTGGCTACCCAGATGACTCTGAGAAGCCCACAAACAGGCAGGATGGCAATAGCACTCTCCTGTTGTCGATCTCAGCATTTGGTACTCAGTGGCACATTGCCTCTGAGCCTAGAAAAATTGCATATAGTCATTACGGCTAGTAGCTACAATGACCTACCCATCACAAATTTTAACAGTACCATTTTAAAGCCATCCAGAAACCATCACGTTTTGTGTCCCTGTACCTCACTCCCACCCTTCAAATCTAGTTTCTGGGTAAAAGACGACTTGCACATAAACTGTCCTCCTTCCCCTAATAAAACAGATATGAGGGGAGGGTGTACACAAAATGCCATCTTTCATAGCTAATATCAAGCATTAACCCTCTCACAAGAAGGAAGAGGTTAGGCACACTCCGGAGGTGATTTGCCAACACCCTCACTACACAACCCATGCTGCTTTCTTCACCACTAACCCCTCTTCAGATTCATCGCTCCCAGTTATCTCCCCAGCCTTTGTTCAGGCCTACCCTCTTCTCCTACCTCTTACTCCACAGCAAACCTCCATCACATCTTCCTCAAAACTCACCACTTTCTTTAAAAACATTTTTTTTAGTAAATAATAACATCCGTCAGGGCGATTGTCTGACTGAGCAAGGGGGGAAGGGAACCTAGCTAGACCTCCTCCTATGAGGAGGAGAACTGTGTTCTCCCAGAACCGGCATCAGGATGCACTCTCTTGTTAACATCTGCACATCCAGTTTCTGATAAAGGCATGGGAAACGAGATCCATGTAAAAACCACTAGGAAGCTTATTGTTGGCCAACTCCTCCCACCCCAAAACTCCCTCTCCTACCTTTACCACAGCCAGGAATCTCATGCCATCAAGTTGGCACCCTCTCCAACTTCCATCTTGTTGTTCCTTCTCTCCATTGGCAGCACCCACCGAGACAAACCACTTTCAGAAGTCTGTGCCAGTCTTCTCCCCCCGCCTCTACTCCCAACAACTTATTCCTACCTTTCTGATTGAAATCAGATTTCGGAGGTGGGGGGGGGGGCGGGATAGGGTTTGATGGCTGCCTTGTTCCTAGGCTGAGATTTGGGATGCTAGGAAAGATTAGGGAGACCTGGCAGCTCAGGATAACCCGAGTCCGGCGTTCTTGCCTCCCATGACAAAGAAGAGGCTGGGGATGGGAGAGGGTCTGGGGAAGGGGGAGCCTTTCAGGGGAGCCTTCCCCACTCCGCTTGCCTAGGCCCTTCCGATGCCGACCCCTCGGCCGGTTTCCGAGGCGTCCCGGACTCCCCCATTCCCACAAAACCAAGCCTCCCTCCCCCCGAAAACATCCCCGCTCCCCAACTCCCCTCCCCGCCCCGGCTGCCTTCTCCCCCTTCAGAGCCGCTCACGGTGAGTCAGCAGCGGCTCCGGCCGTCAGCCGCCCCTGCCGCCGGCCTCCCGCGCCCGCCGGAGCCCCCGGCAGCCGGCGGAGGGCGGACGGCACTCCCTTCCCTCCGGCTCCTCACCTATGGAGTGCAGGATGCCAATGGAGGCCTCCCGGTCGGTGCTCAGCAAGGACTGGGCGCGCTGGAACTCCAAGCCCGCCGCAGCCGCCATCTTGGAAAAAAAAAGCCCAAACTCGCTCACTCACGCCGGCCGGAACCACAGGGCCTCACTTCCGCCGGAAGCCGCTCGCCCCGCTTCCTTCTCTGGGGCTTTTCCGTGGCGCGAAACCATAGAGATAAGAAAGTGCTTTCTTTTTTTTTCCTTCCTAGCTCTATGGTCGCTGCGTACGCGGCGGAGCGATGCTTGCTGGGAAATGTAGTACTCGAAACGGCGGGGTTGCTAGGAGACCGGAGGAGGCGGAGTGGGGCAGGTTGCTGCGCCTTCCGCTAACTCATCCAAATGGGTCCAGCCGTTGTTTGACTACACCTCCCATCATCCCTGACCGCTCGTCCTGCTCACTAGGAATGATGGGAGTTGTAGTCCAACATGTGTAAGGAATGTATTTTTCCGACTATGTTGGGGGCTTTTTTTGTTATAAAGCCCTGGTGAGAAATGTAAAAGCAAGTGCAAAAAATGTCTCTGAGCATGCACAAAGTGCAGCTTCCTCTTTCCCCCCTCAGCCCACATGTATCACAAGAGTATACTGTGTAACCTGAGCCCCAGCTGCTCTCTTTTCAGCAATGAAATCGGAATCCTCTCCATTTCAATGGAAACGTACCTGCTTTAAAGAGCAAGGGATCAACTGATCAAACCCTTACTGGGAAATTTCCCGGGAAAATCCGAAGCCTCCCATATTAAATATCTTTGGGAAGACAGGTGAAATGATATTACACTGGCCGTGGCAAAGTTTCTTGTGGAGATTATAAAAAACAAATATCGTATGCCCTAGATAAAACAAAATGACTGCCTTGGTTTCTTTCATCTGTCTGTCTGGTCGTTTTAACTGTATCTAGTTTTCAAATTGTTTTGTGGGTCTTTGGACGGCAATAAAGTATTGATTTATACCCGCTTTAAAAGTTGGTGGGCTCATAGCTGTGGGGTGAGACACACCACAGCCTACAGACCGCTCCTCTTCTAAATTATTTCCACTGAAAGTGGTTGGATAACTCAGTTGATAGAGCACAAGGCTCTTAATCTCAGCATAGCTGTTATCGTTTCCCTTTTCTTGCGAGGAATCCTATTCGGAATAAGGAAATTTCCCTTTAAAAAAGGGAAACGTTGACAGCTATAAATCTCAGGTTCATGGGCCCACGTTGGGCAAAAGATTCTTGAATTCCCGGGGGTTAGGCTAGATGACCCGTGTGACCCCTTCCAGCTCTACAATCCTATGATTCTGTGATTCCCTTTTCAGCGGCGTAAAAGTACCAGTAAATCCAAGCTTCAGCCCACAGAGGCAAGGAGATATAATAAACAACGCTTCCCGTGCATTATCTCAGTAATTACAGCAGCTTGGTGGCAAATAGGTCAATATTATTAACCCGCTGGTTAAGAATTAAAGCTACCTAAATGAGTTTCAAATATCATCCCTAATCTGATGTCCTCCAGGTGTTTTTGACTGAAGGAGCGTCTCTACCCCCATCGTTCAGCCCAGACACTGAAGTCCAGCTCCGAGGGTCTTCTGGTGGTTCCCTTACTGCGAGAAGTGAGGTTACAGGGAACCAGGCAAAGGGCCTTCTCGGTAGTGGTGCCCACCCTTTGGAACGCCCTCCCATCAGATGTCAAGGAAATAAACAACTGTCTTACTTTAGGAAGACATCTGAAGGCAGCCCTGTTTAGGGAAGTTTTTCATGTCTAATGTTTTACATTTGTTTATGTGCTGTAAGAGTGGCTGGGGAAGCTTAGCCAGATGAGTGGGGTATAAACAATAATAACATTATTATTATTATTATTATTATTATTATTATTAGATCACTCACCATCCCTGGCTAACAGGACCAATGGTCAGGGATGATGGGAGTTGTCAATAACATCTAAAGGGCACCAGGTTAGAATAGGCTGATTTATTCAGTGAGCCGTGAACCAAGCTCTTCCTAGGTTAAAGGTAAAGGTAAAGGGACCCCTGACCATTAGGTCCAGTCGTGGCCGACTCTGGGGTTGCGGCGCTCATCTCGCTTTATTGGCCGAGGGAGCCGGTGTACAGCTTCCGGGTCATGTGGCCAGCATGACTAAGCCGCTTCTGGCGAACCAGAGCAGAGCACGGAAACGCCGTTTACCTTCCCGCCAGAGCGGTACCTATTTATCTACTTGCACTTTGATGTGCTTTCAAACTGCTAGGTTGGCAGGAGCTGGGACTGAGCAACGGGAGCTCACCCCGTCGCGGGGATTCGAACTGCTGACCTTCTGATTGGCAAGCCCTAGGCTCTGTGGTTTAACCCACAGTGCCACCCACGTCCCTCTTCCTAGGTTACACACTACTTATCAGTGACAGTACTGTATTGTATTCCACACCATATAGCAGGGATTCAGACAACTTGCTATATGCTTCCTTTCATCTCCGCCCATTGGCCATGCGGGGCTGATGGGACTTGGGAGTCCAATTACAACTACTGGAGTCCCCGGCATACATACTAGTGCCTATTCCAAGTTTGCATTTCCAACAATGACATATTTAAAGTGACACACCACAGGGGAAGACTGCAGAATTTGCAGCTTCTGTTAGAATTCTGGTTTCCATGGTGATGCTTCCCCTTTCTTCCACTGTAAAGCCTAATATTATCCAGAACATTCTTTAAACAACATTGCAAAACTGCTCCGCTTTCTCAGTATTTTTTTTTTATAACATATGACCTTGGGAATCACAGCTGTTCTCTACAAGAGAGATCTGTGCAAATAGGCTCCTTCAAACACGCAAACACGTATTCAGTACACAAACTATATATTTTTTTCTGTACAATACAGCAGTTCCCTTTCTAGCCGCCTCGTAGCAACATCCCAAATACTGCAGTATGACCACCGCAGACTGCAGTAAACCGACTCTTTAATATAAAGCACAGGAGCAGAACACAGAATTATTAGTGTCATCAATCTAACCAAGCCTTGACCTTCACACCCTCCTCTGCGGTCTTCCAGGAGCATCTGTGTGGTTACGGCTGGAAAACAGACTGCTATAATAATTGTGAGATTGCGAGCCTGAGGGAAGAGACTTGGGTTTTTCACTTCTAGGCTTCATCTGCGCCGTACATTTAAAGCATTATTATACCACTTTAAACAGTCATGACTTCCTCTAAAGAATTCTGGGAGCTTTGTTAAGGATGTAGTTGTTAGGAGGAGACCCCCTATTCCCCACGCAAAGCTAACAATTTTCAGAGTGGTTTGTTAACAACCAATCCCTTTCTCTAGATAACTCTGGGAAATGTAGTTCTGGAAGGGCAAAAAAAAAAGTTTCCTAGCACCCCTTCAGCACCCTTAACAAACTGCCGTTCCCAGGATGTTTTGAGGGGAGCCGTGGCTGTTTAAAGTTCTGCAATACTGCTTTAAATTAATAGTGCAAATGGAGCCTTTATACAAATCAGGCATGATAATAAACTAAGATAATGACTACACAGACCTTGATCAAAGCTCTTTGATCAACAGAACAGTTTGTGAAGGATAGATATTTTGTTGTTTCCATAGCACCTCTGCAGTGTATTTTATAATAATCATTTATTTTATTACATTTATGGTGGTAGTTGAAGGTTCTCCTGCCATTTTATTTTCACAACAATCTTGTGAGGTAGACAATGGCTAGCCCAGTGGGACTAGGAACACTTTGAGGGTCTGCGCCTGCCTTTGCTCCTCTCACTTCATACCTCTCCTGGTCCTGGAAGACCAGTGGGTGGGGGGAAAGGAGCTTGTTGCCGCAGGAGGCGGAGACCCCCCTGGTTTGTTCACCAGCCCAACTCATCTTGGCCTCCCTCCTCTCCTGCTTCAGCTTCTGCCTCTGATTCTGGACTGCTCTCTGCCACAGACTCCTCCTGCTCACTAAACCCTGTTACCCCTTCAGCTTCTGACACCTCCTCCTCCTAATCTTCTCTTTCCCACCACCAATCCCCAGGCTCTGAGCCTTCTTCATTTGGGGGAATCCCCAACTTGTGCCTCCAGTCAGTCCATACAGGGGTCAGCAAACTTCTTCGACAGGGGGCCGGTCTACTGTCCCTCGGACCTTGTGGGGGCCTGGACTATATTTTGAAGGGGGGGAAATGAGCGGATTTCTATGCCCCACAAATAACCCAGGGATGCATTTCAAATAAAAGCACACATTCTACTCATGTAAAAACATGCTGATTCCCGGACCAAATGCGGGCCGCATTTAGAAGGTGATTGGGCCGGATCCGGCCCCCGGGCCATAGCTGTCAACTTTCAGATTTGAAAATAAGGGATCAGCAGCCTCTAAAATTAGGGATCAGTAGCCTCACCTGTCCTGGAGACAATCTACGGGATATCTAACAATCTGGGATAACAGCGGGAAGCAGTGGGAAACAGTGCTGGAATAAGGGAATTTCCCGCAAAAAAAGGGAAGGTTGACAGCTATGCCCCGGGCCTTAGTTTGCCTACCCATGGCCCACGACATGGGGTCTGTTAAGTTGTCAGACGACACAGCGATTCTTCAAACAGCTCTTGTTTATTCACAGGCCAGGACAGAACTGAACTGAAGGGCTCAGTCAGCCTGCTTATATAGAGCTCCAGTGCCACGTTACTGTAACAACTTTCTAAAGCTATCCAATCACTGAACATCACTTTCGATCCTTCATTTGCATAACTATCTACAGTATCCCCCTGCTGGCCCAGGGTGGGAACTTCAGTACATAACAGGGTCCGAATGCTGCACCTCTGCAGCTGCTTCCCTGGTGGGGAGGGGGACACCATTTTGTGGTTTGCCTCGGGTGCCAAAATGTCTTGGGCCAGCCCTGCCTATATCTGATCAGCCCTCCCCCCCCACCTAAAGGTGCCTCCAGACTTAGAAGGGCAAGAGTGGAGGAATTGTTTGACCTCCAAGTGCTGTTGGACTCCTCTGCTTCCATCTGTCCCAGCCGGCATGGCCAGTGGTCAAAGATGACGCGAGCTGCCGTTTAACAAATGAGGAATTGGATAGATCTGCAATGCAAGTAGGAATTTTTTGTTTTTTTATTATACTATTAAATATGTGTATTGAATGAATCTATTTAGTCAATAAATATATGTATGTCAGGAATCTAATGTGTTGCTTTGCTGTGGATCTATTAAACCAGTTATTAAATGGCCAAAAAAGGAAAATAAAATGCTGGATTGTTTTATTGATGTATATTGGCAACTCTCCCTACCTCCCCGGGGGACATTTAAAAATGGTTTTTCATATCTGAACCTGGAAATCACACACACACACACACACAGCCAGATGCCTCTCTCTGTGTAATTATTTTCTTATCTTTGTGGACCAGGCAGTGATACTAGAGTATGATGTCATTTAGAACGACAGGGCTGGAATGGAAATAGGAGAGGAGGAAGAACTGGCAGTAACAACTGAGCGAGGAAACTGTGGTGCTAACAGCAGAGATGAAGCCTGGCTGTGTCAGCTGCTCTGTGCGCAAAGACACAAAAAGTGTGGTGAGCGACATACTTTGCATTTTTGGTGGAACAGAACTACAGATCCCATCATCCCTGATCATCCGTCACACAGACTAGGATTTATGGGAGTGGGAGTCCAACAGCTGTTGGCTTCGCCTTTTGAATGCCCTTCTTCTGATGCTTGGGCAACAGGTGTCCTTTCCCTCCCGCCCCACCCGGCCCCCCAAAAAGAGAGGAGAAAATATAGCAGTAGAGACAGGAATCTCTCATCTAACTAACATTATAGTGTTATTGAGATTTTGAACAGTTAAAAGCACAAGCTACCTGCATGCAAATCCACAGAGGATGAGGCGTCTGCATGCAACTAGGCATTGGATTTGTTTCCAGGGGATATTCTCCATAGGCATTATTATTGTTATTGTTATTGTTATTATTACTAAAGGTAAAGGTAAAGGGACCCCTGACCATTAGGTCCAGTCGTGACCGACTCTGGGGTTGCGGTGCTCATCTCGCTTTATTGGCCGAGGGAGCCGGCGTACAGCTTCCGGGTCATGTGGCCAGCATGACTAAGCTGCTTCTGGCGAACCAGAGCAGCGCACGGAAACGCCGTTTACCTTCCCGCTGGAGCGGTACCTATTTATCTACTTGCACTTTGACATGCTTTCAAACTGCTAGGTTGGCAAGAGCAGGGACCGGGCAATGGGAGCTCACCCCGTCACTGGGATTTGAACCGCCGACCTTCTGATTGGCAAGTCCTAGGCTCTGTGGTTTACTACCACTACTTTATTTACAACATAGTCCACAACAACTCATACACACAGACAAACCCACCACCACCGACAATTTAATTATCAAAATTAAACTCCTATCCCCTTTCACAAAGAAAACATAACATAAAAATAAGAGACTTCCTTTATCCTGTAAATGGCCTCATTACTTACTTCTTGTATACTGTTTCTTTTATATGTGATTACTACAATTTTTCCTAATTATGACTTTAAAAACTGCAACGTCTCCTGTAGAAATTAATTGAAACAAGTCCAGGTGTATATTTTGGGTCACTATTTGGTCAAGCACTCTCTGCATTTTCCCCATTCTTTTTGAAATTCTTGTCTAGGCCTCTCCATAGGCAATTCAAGCAGATTGTCAGTGTGCAACCTAAGGGTTTGTTTTGTATTGGGGTTTCTTTTGCCGGAAATTTTAATCTAAGCCCGATCTCTGATTTGCAATATTAACAGCAGACAGCATTGCAGGGCTAGGGCCGTCATAAATCCATCTCTTCACCAGGCCCCTCCTACTATATACTGTTAGTATAAAAACAGTGGCCTATATTGCAGGGTTGTTGTACGCTACTTTCTGCAGACTGATATGGCAGGGATAGCGTACCTGAACTTCAGCCCCAACCTGTAATAGGTTCAGCAACTGGACTACATATCAGGGTTGTTGGAAACCATGCAAGGAGCTCCAGCCTGATGCCCACCTTGCAACATTGAGAGGAAACTGTGGGACTATTGTATCCCCCAAAGCCTCTTCCGCCTTTTAATATGTGGATAATGCACTGCATTTGTATTGGAATATGCAGTGGTAAGTAAGGTTATTTTTTAAAATGTTGGGAAAACGGAAGCGACATTCAGTTTTTTGAGCAAAATGAAACATATCTTTTAGATTTTACTCTGTTTTAATTTTATGTTCATTGTGACGTACGTGCTATTTTTTCGCAAGTCGCTTCGGGTTCCCTTTTGTAAAAAAAAAAAAGTGACTAAAAAGTGCAATTATTATGATTAAATAAATAATTATTTTGCACAATCACAGCTATCTATGCCTTAGCTTGGATTCCCCTATTCCAAGGTCGGCCAGGAGACATTTAAAAATGGCTTATCGGATCTAAACCCGGATGCAGCGTACAGAGAAAATGAGATAGTCGTCTTCAACTTTTTAATATCTCTGCCTCTCTGCGGACGTGATTGAAGGCAATTAGAGATGGAAAGGAAAAGAGGATTGCTTAAATATTCAACCATCACTTCTGGTTCTGATTGGAATGCCTCCACGTGCGGGGCAGTAATGCAGAGAAAGAGAAACGCGTCTCTTAAGGTCCACGAGTAAGCTTGCAATTCTATACTGCACACCCTTACCTGGAAGTAAGTCCCATTAAACCGAATGGGACTTACTTCTAAGTAGAAGTAACTTTGGTTAGTTTTCAAGGTGCCGCTTGAATGCAGGGCTTTGTCTTGTCATAAGCCAGAGTCCGGATACACTTGCAAGGCACGATGAGTCATGATTTATTAAGACATTCCTGCGAAGCGACAGATCTCTTTTTTAAATTAATTTTTTATTTAATACACAATCATATTGCTATTATTAATGTATGCATTGTGCAAACTGGAGAAATGTCTTCCTTGTAACCCTATCTGTCTAGTTTTCTTTGAAAATAATAATAATAATAAAATCTCTTTAATGGGATACCTCTGTCCCTTTATTTGTTTGCATTGATTTTTTTGGGCGTCCCCTCCCCAATATTTTTTAGAGGGATCGCTTCAGTTTTAGCGTTTGCCTATCCCAGCACCCTATCCTATAGTATATAGTATAGTATATTGTATTTTAAAATGGGGTTTCAGAGTTGTTAGGGTTTTTTGAATGTTTTGTGTAGATTTTCAATTTCATTGTTCTGTATGGGACAATGACAAAAAAGATATCGTGTATCATTGGGATTTTGATGGCATGTTGACATGATGTTGACATTTTGCTTGGGGTTTTACCCCTGCAATTCGAGTGAACCCCCCTTAGCACACTTTGGTCGCCTTAAATACCAATTAAATATTAAAATTAAGCAGGGAAATGCCCTTTTCCCCTCCTCCTCCTTGTTTCCTTGTACGTAATTGTGCCCCTCTCTTTTTCCCGCACCTCTGCCGGCGTCGCATTGGACTCCCGTGCGTGTATGCGGGCGGGTGCCTCTCGCGGCTCCCTGAACTCTTGAAGGCGGGGTCAGCAGACGCGAGAACGAGGCGGTTATAAAAAAGGTCCGGAAGTGGGAGGGGCGAGGACAAGCCCCACCCCTCGCGCTCTGCGTGGCTCCGCCTCCTCCCAGCCGGCTGCTTTCCGCGCTCCGCATCTCGCATCTGTCAGTCGCTGCTTCGTCGCCGGCGGAACAAGATGGCGGCTCGGGTGAGTGGACGGCTGAATGACGGGCGGGGTGGGGGGGAGATAGTGACGTGTCGGCTCGGCGGCTTCTGCCTCCCATTCATTCTCTTAGCAGCCCACCGCCCTTCCACCCAGCCCAGTTAGGGAGGTTTCCCTGCTCCCTATGACACTGCTGCGTATATGCCATACATTTTCAGCTCATCCCACACCGCGCCCTTTAAAAAACACCCCCCCCTGGGAACTATAGCCTGTTAAGGGTGCTGGGAACTACTGTTCTGAGGATTTTCAAACCTGGGGATTATCACTCTGGAGGTCCGGCACTGAGCTGTTAACCCTGTAAGCTCTGATCCTCACAATCACTTGTTAAGGGTGCTGGGAACTACAGTTCCCAGGATTCTTAAACCGGGGAACTATTGTCTGTTAATGGTGCTGGGAACTACAATTCCCAGGATTCTTAAACCTGGGGATTATCTCTTGTTAAGGGTGCTAGGAGCTACAGTTCCCAGGATTCTTCAACCTGAGGATTATCACTTGTTAAGGGTGCTAGGAGCTACAGTTCCTAGGATTCTTAAACCGGGGAACTATCGCCTGTTAAGGGTGCTGGGTGCTACGGTTCCCAGGATTCTTTTGGGGTGTGCTCTTCAAATTCACGGCGTGTGCGCACTTAGGGGGGACCCGAGTGCAGATCCTCCGCCACAGAGCCTTGAGTGATGCGGTGCCCTCCCACTCAGGCTAGCCCACCTCGGCGGGCTGTTGCAAAGGGGCGCACAGTCAACCTCTTTCTGCCTTCCGTTTATTCTCGGTGGGTCCGCTTGCTGGAAGATAAATGGGTCTGTTCAGTGTGCTGGAAAAGAAAAAAAGCAGCGTGCTGCTTTCGCGCTGGGTCTCTCAGTCATCTGAGCATTGTAGCTGAGACATTGGAGAACGGCTTGCTTTTTTGCATTCTTAATGTAAAATGGCTTTCCTCGAAGGCGGCTTGGCAAAAATGTGCCTGCCCTTCTCTCACCCCCGGTCTGTTACCCTTAAGTAGGACATTGCAGGAACAAAGGCAGGCTGAAGGGTTAATGCCGGAATTGTTTGCTGTGTCATAAATACTTCTGGGTGACCTGGAGTTAATAAGCTGTTACTGCGTTGCTCCCTCCCTTTGGAACAAGAGTGTCTGGTGGGTGAAAAGCTGGGAGGATCAAGCTGTTTATGCGGTGAGCACTTTTACTGCAATGCACACTTCGCTGGCAAGCGGAAGACTCTGTCTTCGGGTTGCATATGAACCGAACTTGTGGCGATGCTGCTGGTTACAATGATGTCAGATTGCTGTTGCTTTATTTTCCCAGTGACCCAACATGTGCCTAGTACTTTGCATCCCCTAGAATGACGGGTTCAGTGCAGACGGGTTAGCAATGGAGCAGTTGGGGAAAGGCTAATGGATGTACCTTTCTCAGGTTTATTTACCTTCTGTTACGCAGATACTCCCCAACACTAAAAAGGCTTATTGGCCTTATGCCACGAAGAATATCTGTTTAGTATATAGGAGGAGGAGTGTTGATTCAGGATCATTTAAAATGTTCTCCCTCCCTGCAGATTGTGGCAGATTAAGGAAGCTTCGGGAGGGATGATATATAGGGGAACAAACCAGGACGTAACACAACAGGTGATTGGGGATTTTGGAAGCATAATAGTGGTTTTCCGCAAAAAGGCATCATCCAGAATTGTAGCAGGTTTGGTTCTTCCACTGGCTTGTGGTAATGGTTCAATGAAAAACCCATTACTTGAGTTGTGAGAACAACAGTGTATGCCTGTAGGATTTGGCTTAAAATGCAGAAACTAGCATTAAAATAAATGGTAGCGAGCTCCCTCCATTGGAACACTTCTCCATAAGAGTAAGGAGGAAGTGACAACGGTCAAGTCTCAAAATGCTCGTGATAACTCTGATTGATAACTTTAAAAAAAATTGGAGGCAAAATGCAAAAGTATTTAAAAGCCCATCCATACGTATTGCTTTCTGGTTCAAAGAAGCAGGCATGGCGCAGGCATGGCACAACAGAAAGCAATCCAAGGATTTAACTGGCCCTTTGCCATATAATATGGTACATACTGGAAAAGATTTCCTAAGTAACCCCTTCCCATTAGTTGCGTTGATTCTGCTTAATTATTGGAGATGCTGAAGGCACACTCTGCGGCAACAATGACATAGGCTCTCTATGTCCTTTCTACCTGCTGTATTATTATTATTTTATTATATTTGTTGAATTTCACAGAACAAAAGCAAAATATAAAACCACAAAATATATAATCAAAATGAAAGCAACAAGCCAATAACCCCCCCAAATAACCACATTTTAAAAGGGCGTAGGATGTCAAATCAACCAAAGGCCTGTTTATAAAGGAATGTTTTTGCCTAAAGGTATATAATGAAGGTGCCAGGCGAACATCCCTGGGAAGAGCATTCCACAAATGGGGAGCCACTGCAGAGAAGGCCCCATTCTCGTGTTGCCACCCTCCAAGACTGAGCAATGGAGATTGCACACATGACACTGTCCCTGTAATTGTGACCAGGCCATTGCTTGGGGTATCCCACACTAAGACTGGGGAGAGGTGAAACCAACAGGAACACCATGATGGGGATATAGAAGATGATGAGGAAGGCTGGTCTCCATGAGTGGAACAGAAGATGGGCAGTCACTCTCTCATATTTGCAGGCCTGGATGAGTGGCATAAACTTCTTGTCAGACACACATAGGCCATCTTTCCTGCAATGAATTCCTGTGATAAATCACTCTCTGCATTGCCCATCTTCACATTTCAGCAGACACTAAAAGTTGCTTCTTTCCCTTCGTACAAATCTTGATGTGCGCAAGGAAGAAAGGCATAATTTATCTATCTCTCACTCATAAGTGATCGCTGACGTGTATCTCAGGCATATACATGCTCAGTGATCAATGAAATGCACAAATACCATTTTACACAGAGTATTGTTTTGGTCTCCGTCTCTGGGTCAGTGGGTTCTCACAGTTGAACTGAGAGGTTCTGCTTGTCATATGTGGCCAGGCAGGTCTGCGATTATGAGTTGTCTAAATCAACACAGAGTTCTCTGTTGATCTTGCTCCACCATAAACATGTGAATCACTCTGTGGAATTTCTCTAGGATTCCAGGTACACACCATGGGTGAATGAGCTCTCAGAAGCATCTGTTGCCCTCAACTGATATTTGTTTTTTTTTTTAAATAAAATTTATTAGATTTTCCACAATTATAACAAAAACCACAAAGCAAAATAACACACAAAAACAGAAAGAAAAGAAAAATACATCAATAAAAGAAAAAAAAACCAGATAAACAATAACAACAAACTTAATTCTTTACAAATCCAACCTTTTAAACATCTTGGTTGACTTCCTCTAGTCCCTCCCTTCTGAGTTTCCTTGTAATTGAAAGTAACAGCTTCCCAATATCATTATTAAAGTAAAATAATTTCCAATTACAGTGGTACCTCGGGTTACATACGCTTCAGGTTACACACTCTGCTAACCCAGAAATAGTGCTTCAGGTTAAGAACTTTGCTTCAGGATAAGAACAGAAATCGGGCTCCGGCGGCGTGGCGGCAGCAGGAGACCCCATTAGCTAAAGTGGTGCTTCAGGTTAAGAACAGACCTCTGGAACGAATTAAGTACTTAACCCGAGGTACCACTGTATAATCCATCTTATTCACTTTTCTTAATATTCAAAATCCCATTTATTTAATTATAACCTCATTTAATCCTCAACTGATATTTGGCCTCGTGTGTGGCTGAAATGACACCTCATGTAGAAGGTGCGTGGTCTTAGCTGGATAGCTATCTTCTTATATAACAATCTACAGCAAGGAGGGGATCCTTTAGCTGAAATTGCCAGGGCAATTTAAATCACCAGATTACTGGCATCAACATCCTAGTGATGAAAAATGTCAGCCTAGTTGCTATTCATATGTTTTCCGTGGAGTAACTTTTTTCAGTGGCCCCCAGAACTAGGGACAGGCAGGTATCTATTTCTAGCTCATCTCAATTTTTTCATATGTTCATTCGTGGCTTATTTCCACCCTATTTCCACCTTTATCTACAAATTTTTAGTCCTCACAAAAACGTGTGTGTAGCTATTAAGTAAGTATCATAAAATGTGTGTTCTCTCAAACTACACATTTCTAAACATATTTTGAGCATCATAGTGTTTGGGAAGTGTGAAAGGCAGTCCAGAAGTTGCAGATCAGGTCTGTTCTTATAGGAATTCACAAGTAACAAAATCCCCACGCAAAGCTTGAGCTAAAAACAATCAAACACATTTCCTATTTAATGTGTTTGAGAGTTTTGTTCACTCTTCTTAGGAGAACACTGAAACCCAAATCAGATATGATTTGTTTGTTACCTGTGATACCATTTGATACTGTGCATATTTACTCCCAAGTTAAATGTGCATAAGATTGCAGCTTTGGTCATTTTAGGCCACATTTGTGGGGAAAAGGACCGGCTAAATTTTACTTGCCATAGCTGAGTGGCTGTTTATAGACTGGATTTATTATTGTTATTCTTATTAGTATTTAAATTTGTATACCACCCTTCATCCAAAGATCACAGGGCGGCTCATAACATAAAAATGTAGAATGAGAACACAAAATACACCATTAGAAAATAAATCTGAAAACGAAAACCAAACCAATAACCCCCCCCTTCCCACAAACATATTTAAAAGGCCATAGAGTGTTGAATCAGCCAAAGGCCTGGTTATAGCGAAAAGTTTTCGCCTGCTGTCTAAAGATATGTAATGAAGGCGCCAGGCGAGCCTCCCTGGGGAGAGAATTCCACAGGTGGGGAGCCATCCCACAAAAGGCCAGTTCTTGTGTAGCCACCCTCTGGGCTTCTCATGGAGGAGTCACATGAAGAAGGGCCTTAGATGATGATTGCAGGGTCCAGGTTGGTTCATATGGGGAAAGGTGGTCCTTGAGGTATTGCGGTTCTGAGTCATTTAAGGCTTTGTAGGGGAAAGTCAGCACTTTCACCTACAAGCTATAGAGCAGGGGTAGGCAAACTAAGGCTCATGGGCCGGATGCGGCCCAATCGCCTTCTAAATCCAGCCCGCGGACGTTCCGGCAATCGGCGTGTTTTTACATGAGTAGAATGTGTCCTTTTATTTAAAATGCATCTCTGGGTTATTTGTGGGGCATAGGAATTTATTCATTCCACACCCCCCCAAATATAGTCCAGCCCACCACATGGTCTGAGGGACGGTGGACCGGCCCCTGGCTGAAAAAGGCTGCTGACCCCTGCTATAGAGCTATAAGGGGTGGCCAACTCCCAAGAGACTGTGATCTACTCACAGAATTAAAAACTGGCAGTGATCTACCCCCTTTTGGGGGGTTCAGGTCAAAGTTGGTGAGCTTCTCTTAGGGAGGGGGTGAGCTCCGATTTTTCAAAATTCAAGCCTAAGATCAAGGGAGATAGGGGAACAGCTACTCACCAACAGATCGCTGGGGAAACAAACAGCCTCACTGAGTAAACTCCATCTTCCGTTCAGCAAATCGTGCAACAATGGAGGGCGCGGCGAGGGGGCGGAGCCAGAGTATATTTTACCAATGCTAAGGAAAGGGACCCAGTGATCGACCGCAATCTACCAAAACCTCCCGGGGATCTACCAGTAGATCATGATTGACCTGTTGGACATCCCTGCTATAGAGTGATGGAAAAACAGGAACAAGGTTGTATTTCCGATATACTGCTCTCAGTCAAGGTTGGTTTCATGGCTGGGCCTGAACCCAGATTGAAAATCTGTGTCATCCAAGATTTCCTGCCCTGACCCTCTCCATGACATCCCTAGGAAGGGGATATTCGCAGCTGGTCAGTAGCTCTTCCAGACCAAAGGGTCTAGGGCCATTTTCTTTCCGAGTGGCAATGCCACTGCTTTTTTCCAGGGTGACAGGGTATCCTCAGATTGTGTAGCCAGGTGGTCATAGCAGGTCCTCTAATGCAGAGGTCCCTTCCTGACAATGGGAGTCGGCAACCTCCAGACTAGCTACTGGAAAATGCAATGCAAGTTGCGAATTGCACCATCTTTGCCACTATGTTGGTTTTCTGGGCCTTAGAAAGTCTCTCTTCTTGTCCCTGCACAAATGGTTTCCCTTGTTTTCATCTCCCTCTGGGGCACAAACGTGGTTTCATTAATAAATTATCTTAAGCAGAAATGTTTTAGAAGTAAGAACTGTTAAAATCAGCAAGGGTTTCTGAGTAAATATGGATAGGCTTGGACTGTGAGGAGAGTGAAGGTTGTACTGGTATCTAACTGTAACATGTGACACACAAGTTACACAACTCTTGCATAAGGTTTTCTTCTGTAGAATAACAGTGCTTGAAGCTTCTCCTTATGGTCACACGAAGAGCTGTTGTCTTTAGGAAATGCTTCAAGTTCTCCCTTTCCCCCAGGATGCAGAAAAGGATAGATTTCCAGTAATAGAAATAGCCTGTATGTTCATTCCTTGGGGACAAAACCCCCAGATAATTCTCCCAAACCTAGGCAAGCGCGCAAGGGGTTCAGCATCGTTGCAAAACTCTTTCCATGCCATATTGCAATCTGCTTGAAAATCCTTTTGCTTTCAAAGTTCCTTGTCAGGTGGAATGGGCGATGGGAGGGCTGCCATTAAAATAACACAAACCAAGAGCCCTGTTTGGGTAACAAGATGGAACTGTGTAGGATGCCAGCAGGCAACTCACATGGTAAAAAGGTAAAGGATCCCTGGACGGTTAATTCTAGTCAAAGGCGACTATGGGGTTGCGGTGCTCATCTCACTTTCAGACCGAGGGAGCCGGCGTTTGTCCACAGACAGCTTTCTGGGTCATGTGGCCAGCATGACTAAACCGCTTCTGGTGCAACAGAACACTGTGATGGAAACCAGAGCGCATGGAAACACCATTTACCTTCCCGCCGCAGCGGTACCTCTTTATCTACTTGCACTGGTGTGCTTTCAAACTGCTAGGTTGGTAGGAGCTGGGACAGACCAACGGGAGCTCACTCCGTCATGGGGATTCGAACCGCCGACCTTCTGATCAGCAAGCCCAAGAGGCTCAGTGGTTTAGACCACAGTGCCACCTGCATCATATGGTGTCAAGCAGTAGCCACCCATAACTACTTGCTGGCCTTGAAGGCAGGAGTGGCGCCATTGTAGCACAGTGCTCTCAGTCCCCAGCCCCTGGAGCCATGTCAGAAGGATGCTATCGCCAATGGTATCAAAAGTCTTGGAGACATCAAGGAGAATGAACAGGGCCACACTCCCTCGTCTCTCTCCCAAGAAATGTCACCAGTCTGGATGACCAAGGCAGGCTCAGTGCCTTGGGCTTCAAACTAAACTGAAATTCCCCACTTCAAACTACATACGGTGTTTTGCATGATGGAATGCTTCTTCATACAAAAATAGTTCCAGGTTGCCAAGGGAAAGTGTTCTAACCTGTCTCCCAGCCTGTTTTCTCTATACAGTGGTACCTCGGGTTACATACGCTTCAGGTTACATACGCTTCAGGTTACAGACTCCGCTAGCCCAGAAATAGTGCTTCAGGGAAAACTCAAGATCTACCCACACTGGAAGAATGGCAGATGCAACTGATAGACTACATGGAACTGGCTGAAATGACCGGCAGAATCCGTGACCTGGGAGAAGAAAGGATTGAGGAGGATTGGAAGAAATTCAAGAACTATTTACAAAAATATTGCAATTTGAGTGAATGCTAAATAAGATGCTAGACCAAAATAACTGAGCACCACTAAATTTAGAAGTTTTCTATGAAAATAAGTAAGACTGTGAAAATTTAATTCCCTTTGAAAATTATAAGATTATGAAATATAGAAGCGATATAAGAATTTAAATAAGATGATAAATTGCTGACAAAATGTTATAACGATGAAAGTGGGAGCGGGAGATGTGAGGAAGTCCAAAGAAAATGTGAAATTATGTCAAGACAAAGGTCATATTGTTTAATATGTTTATTTTTATTGTAAAACCCAATAAATTGCTTTAAAAAAAACAGAAATAGTGCTTCAGGTTAAGAACTTTGCTTCAGGATGAGAACAGAAATCGTGCTCCGGCGGCGCGGCAGCAGCGGGAGGCCCGATTAGTTAAAGTGGTGCTTCAGGTTAAGAACAGTTTCAGGTTAAGTATGGACCTCCGGAACGAATTAAGTACTTAACCCAAGGTACCACTGTTTAGGGATTTATTTTTTGGAACAGGGACAATTATTTCATCGTTTGAAAGGTAATTCCATCAGCAAGCTGCAGTGGTACAATCCTGTCACAAGTTGATCAATTAGACTTCTGTCGCTTACTCATTCATCCTACGAAAACACCCTCTTGTCTGTTCTCATAGAATTGAGCACTGAACCTTTCTGAACATTAGAAAAAACCCAGGTTTGCCATAACTCCCAGCTGCTGGCTTGAGGATTTGCCCTCTCTACATATGTTCAGTACCATATACCCACTGTGAGGATGGCCAAGGAGAATTGGCAGTTAGGAAAGACAGAGCCTAGACCAGAAAAAAAATGCTTGGGTGGTCAATTCTGCTTTATGAATCAATTCTGAGGTTGCCAGAATCTATACCTTTTTCCTACAGAAATTTGCCTGTGTACCAAATAGTATGGGAAACAGCCCTACTAGAAAAATTAACCAATAAACTGAAACTGACATGGGGACAAACAGAAGAAGACGCCTTTACCCCGGTATGGCTCCCCTTTATCACATACACAGCCCAACAAGACAATGACAATAATCCACCAACAGCATACAAATCAATATGGCTAACCTGATCCAAAACACCCACCCACCCCACTCACACACGAAAGAAAAAGACTACCACAGCCAATCACAAACAAACAACCACACCCTAGGACAACCCCAACCTCTCTCACCACCAAAGGAACACAAATGAACAGCAGGAGCAACGCTGACACCAAACCCTACATACATGAAGCAAAATAGAAACATCGCCACCCGACCCCCCCCATCTCCCCCCCCTACCCCTTCCCCCCCCCCCCCAATGTCTCAACAAATGAAACTGATTTGTAAAAATTTTACATGGAAAAAATACAAGAGACATTACACATACTTCTGTAAAACAAGAAAATCTTTAATAAAAAAAGAAATTTGCCTGTGAGGGTGACAGGTGCAACACTTGTTTCAGAGAACAGGAAGCCTAGCAGGTAGAGTTAACTTTCTTACTGAAAAGGTATATAAGTATGCAAGATTCAAGCAGCACAGAACTCATTAATCAACAGAATGGAAATATAGCCTTTTCTGATTAGGCATACCTGCAAGGATGATCTGTATCCAGGATACTGGGTTTATTCTTCTCATCCAGTCCTATGGTTTTTAATCTTTCTGGATAAATTGCTTCTGCCAGCGCAATTGTGGTCGTAATCTCTTTATTCTGCCTCCACTTGCTTTATCTAATGTAGCATCATGCAACGTGAGGCTGAAAAAAACAAATACTTATTTAACAGGAATGTATATCCTGCCATTTGAATAGATTCCCAGGATAGCTTACAAAACTACAGTACAGTGGTACCTTGCTTCTCAAACTTAATCCGTTCCGGAAGTCTGTTCCAAAACCAAAGCGTTCCAAAACCAAGGTGCGCTTTCCCATAGAAAGGAATGCAGAATGGATTAATCCGTTCCAGACTTTTAAAAACAACCCCTAAAACAGCAATTTAACATGAATTTTACTATCTAACGAGACCGTTGATCCATAAAATGAAAGCAATAAACAATGTACTGCAGTCACACAGTCAATCAATCAGTAGCTGAACTGGGTTCCACACAGTCACAAAAACAAAACAAAAAAGCCACAAAAACAAAGACGCAAAATAAATAGCAAAAAAAGACAGGCCTTAGCGTAACACTCAAAAGGGAAGGGTACCACTCAAAATGGAGCACATTCAGCTTCCAAAGAAAGTTTGCAAACCAGAACTCTTAATTCCGGGTTTGTAGTGTTTGGGTTCCAAGTTGTTTGAGTACCAAGGCGTTTGAGAACCAAGGTACCACTGTAAAACCCTTTTTAAAGCGTAAGCACACTATAGATTAAAAGAGGCAGGATCCAGAAACAGGAATTGCTCAGGAATATCTTGACCATATCTGAGCATGACACAGTCATAGGAATAGAGGATCAGAGTGGATCAGATTTATTGTGTAGCTGACAGACTGTAGCAAAAGAAAAAATGGACGATGTTATTTGAGAATTACAGAATTGTCGAGTTGGAATGGACCACGAGGGTCAAACCCACAACCCTGAGATTAAGAGTCTCATGCTCAACTGACTGAGCTTGTTGGACTACAACTCCCGCGAGCCCCATCTAGCATGACCAAAGACCAGGGGTGCTGAGAATTGTGGTCCTACAACAAATAGCCTTTCTAGTTTGCCTTGACACAGGCGTATTTCTCTGAAAGGTCTATACTTACATTGGCCGCCGAGACCATAGAACACCGGTCTTGAAAGACCTACATGGGCTCCCAGGACGTTTCCGAGCACAACTCAAAGTGTTGGTGCTGACCTTTAAGGCCGCCCCCATCATTCAGCCTGGAAACTGAGGTCCAGCTCCGAGGGCCTTCTGGTGGTTCCCTCCCTGCGAGGTTACAGGGAACCAGGCAGAGGGACCTTTCGGTAGTGGCATCCGCCCTGTGGAACGCCCTCCTATCAGATGTCAAGGAAATAAATGACTATCTGACTTTTAGAAGATACCTGAAGGCAGCAACCCTGTTTAGGGAAGTTTTTAATGTTTGACGTTTTATCATGTTTTTAATATTCTGTTGGGAGCCGCCCAGAGTGGCTGGAGAAACCCAGCCAGACGCGTGGGGTATAAATAATAAATTATTATTATTATTATTGGAATACACTTCCTCTCTCCTCCGCTTGTTTCCTCTGCCTGTCTGCCTGCCACCTTTGGGACCCGTGGTCCTGCTTGAAAGGATGTCTCTAGCACTAAACTTTTCCAGGGATAATTGGTCTCCTGCTGTTTCCCTGCTGCTAAGTGATAGCTTGCTTTTTCTTTTTTTTTCTTTTTTAATGATATTTATTCCAAATTTAAAGTTACAAAAAAGAAAAAGAAAAACCATACAAGATACAAAGAAAACTTTAGCCATAACAAAGCAAAAGATGAACAAGTAAAAAAACCAATAAGATAGAATAAAAAAGAAGACTTAACAAAAAATATAAAAATACATTAAGTTGAAATAAAACAAAAGCAGATTAAACCTTTACATAGCCTTTTCCCTTTACTTATTTCCATGACCTCCTCTCACCTCCCAATTTTGTATTCTAGTTCAGATCGTGTTTCCAGCAAATCCTTCTAACCTTATTTTCATTTACGTATTTTAAAATTAAGATAATGTAATTAAACCTCCTCTATTTCATCAATTTCATCAACTCATTTTTGCTTAGTCCATTATATCATATCTACCAGAACGACCTAATATTCTTTTTCCAACCTCTTTCTAACATTCTTTTATATTGCAGTATTTTTGAAGGTATATTTTGAATTTTTTCCAATCTTCTTCCATCGACCCTTCTCTCTGGTCTCGAATTCTGCCGGTCATCTCAGCCAATTCCATGTAGTCCATCACTTTCATCTGCCGTGATACCTTGCTTTTTCCTAGTGAGAAAACAGAAGCATCCGCATTGTGTCCCCGCCCCCCAAGGCATTTATTACCCAGGGCACACACAAACGGTCCATTCTTAGGGAATTCTGCTTCCACACCTTGAATCTCCCAGGATTTCGGAGGTCTGAAACAATGTCCTTTGCCTGCAGCAGCCTTGTCCTCGTTCCAGAATTAGCATGTCTAACACTGCAGTGTTCCCAGTGGGGATAGGAAGAATACAAGAGGCAGCAGCAGCAGCAGCAGCAGCAGCAGCAGCAGCAGCAGCATTCTGCTGCATGTTTAGCTACTTGGATGCTTTCCTGAGACACCATAGCAAAATTATCACAGTATTATTACCAGTATCAGGGAGTTGTTGACTGCTGGTGTTTAGAAGGTCGATCAGAAGGTCGGCGGTTCGAATCTCCGCGACGGGGTGAGCTCCCGTTGCTCAGTCCCTGCTCCTGCCAACCTAGCAGTTCGAAAGCACGTCAAAGTGCAAGTAGATAAATAGGTACCGCTCCGGCGGGAAGGTAAACGGCGTTTCCGTGCGCTGCTCTGGTTCGCCAGAAGTAGTTTAGTCATACTGGCCACATGACCCGGAAGCTGTACGCCGGCTCCCTCGGCCAATAAAGCGAGATGAGCACCGCAACCCCAGAGTTGGCCACGACTGGACCTAATGGTCAGGGGTCCCTTTACCTTTACCTATAAGATATCATCTTAAACCTTAAAATCCCTCCCTACCTTTCCTTTTTAAGCTTATTCTGTAATTGCCGTGTAGCGCTGCAACTGTTTTCGAAATGCGCGCCTCAGGGAAAACCTCTCAGTATTGTTGTTTTGTTGTTGTTTTTTTAAAAAAATGATATTTATTCCAAGTTTAAGATTACAAAAAAGAAAAGAACATCCATACAAAATAAAATAAGCATATAACAAAAAACAAACAGTGAAAAAGACTTAACAAAAAATACAATAATACATTACATTAAAATAAAACAAAAATTAAACCTTTACCTAACCTTTTTTCCCTTTACTTATTTCCGTGACCTCCTCTCACCCCCCAGCTTTGTATTCTAGTCCAGATCGTATTTCCAGCAAATCCTTCTGAAAAAAAACCTCTCAGTATTGACTTGTCTCGTCAAGTACCTCCTATTCAGGACAGTGGGTTCTGGGAGCGCCCTCGGTTTTTGCGGCACATTGGGGTAGGCCTGTGAGGTCCCACCGTTGCCCTACATCAGTGATCACCAAACCTGGCCCTCCAGCTGTTTTGGGACTACAATTCCCATCATCCCTGACCACTGGTCCAGTTTTGGGACTGGAGTTGTAGTCCCAAAACAGCTGGAGGGCCAAGTTTGGCCATCACTGCCCTACGTGATATGAGAGTGCACCTTAGATCATGCCCCCTATTCCCAGTGGCTGCATATCAGAAGAACATCTCGTTGGTAGAAGGCAAGGCAACTCTGGAACACTCTCCTACCATTTTTGAGCTTTAAATTGAGAAACCTTGGATAGTGAAGTCCAGTATTCGTTAGAACGGGGAGGGACCCCTGTGTTTCTCCAGGTGTTGGACTACAAACCCCATCACCCCTGGCTATTGGCTGTGCTAGCTGGGGCTGGTGGGAGTTGTACTACAGTAACATCTGGAGGGCAATCAATTCCCCATCTCTGCCCTTGAACATACTGCCATGTTTTTCAAGCTCTTGGCTTGGATGCTTGAAGCTTTGAGTCTAGATCTGATGGAATGATGCAAGGAAAGGTGGACTGCATTGCTACCAGATGTTTCACTGTGAAATCTGTGTGTTGGTTATTTACCGTATTTTTTGCTCTATAAGACTCACTTTTTCCCTCCTAAAAAGTAAGGGGAAATGTGTGTGCGTCTTATGGAGCGAATGCAGGCTGCGCGGCTATCCCAGAAGCCAGAACAGCAAGAGGGGTTGCTGCTTTCACTGCGCAGCGATCTCTCTTGCTGTTCTGGCTTCTGGGATTCAGAATATTTTTTTTCTTGTTTTCCTCCTCCAAAAACTAGGTGCGTCTTGTGGTCCGGTGCGTCTTATAGAGCGAAAAATATGGTAACTTAAGTAATTCTTTAATCACATGCTACTGGTGCTCTTTGCATTGTGTCCTTTCATTCTTGTTAACAGTGCACGATGAACACTGAGCCACAATCTTCTCTAGTCTCAGCCTTCTCCTTTAATTGTGGACACTTTGCTGCTGAAATAAAAAATTAAGGTCTTATATATATATAATAAATGCTCATAAATGTACCAAGCAAACACATACATAAATACATAAACCACATGTCTGAAACAGCACAGGAAAACAGCCTGGAAACCATTTTGACTCCCAAACTGACCAAATGATTTCTCTGCAAGGTCAAGGAAAATGGAAAAGCCTCCCCATTGTCTTTTCCTTCACAAATCCTGTCTTAAGGGTATGTCTGTGTATGAATAGGGTGAGCCTGTGACCTGGCTCAGGTACTAAGTATTTATCATTACAAAAGACTGGCCAGGCTCCCCAGGGTATCCAATCAAGTGAGCATTAAGAGGTAACCTGCCAGACAGTAAGCATTAACAGGTAACCTGTCAGACAGGATGTAAACAATGCACTCAGTTTTCTGTTGTGAGCTACACCCTTTTCTGTGATGTAGGTATGATGTGTCTGGGGGTGGTCTTGGACTCCAGGGCGGGCAATTTAAAATATATAAGGGCGGGCACACCTGGGTTCTGGGTCCTCCGCCTTCTCCTGCGTGTGAAAGGGGCAGCCTGTTGCACAGTTCAATAAAGATCAGGCTTAGTAGCTGCTTTACTTCTCAATATTCTCTGGTTGGCCTCTGTTATTTTCTCCAACCAATGGAGAACCTGCAAAGGACTCTATAAGGGCTCTTGTGTCCCCCATAAGGGAATAAAGGCAGATTTTCATTTATTACACTGCAAATGTGGCCTTCTAGGTTGTACTCTGCATTTTTTGTTTTTTTTTATAAAAAGTCCAATCCAGCAGCAAGATCCAGGTACCAAACAATGGCTTTTGGAATAATAGTGTTAGATGTACACCTAGATTTTTTTAAAACAACAGCAAACTGTCTCTGAACACATGCCCAGTCCATACTAGAAATGAGTTCAGTCCTTTTGCACAAAACACCCACTTGCGGTTTTTGCCCAAACGTTCTTCGTTTCAGCAGCATTTAGAAAGAGAGAGCTTTTGTTGCTGCTGCTGCTGGTGCTGTTAGTGAGTCAGAAATCCTTCCTGTCAGATGCAGGTTTTCAGATAGCTTCTGTCTACGCCTTCTCTTCTGAGTATATGAGTTGGAAAATGCTGTCACCAGCACCAGAACAGTGGGGAAATGAGACAAGAGCAAAGGCAATAGGCACTCGGTTTTCTGTGGGGAAAAGACTATTAACCAGGGTTTTTGGATGGGGCTGATTTTTCTCTGTTTTGGACACCTTTTGAATGTCATTCTACAGAGGAAACTGAATAACAGCTGTACATTGGTACCTCAGGTTACAAACGCTTCGGGTTACAAACTCCGCTAACCCGGAAGTAGTACCTCGGGTTACAAACTTTGCCCCAGGATGAGAACGGAAATCACGCGGCGGCACAGCAGCAGCGGGAAGCCCCATTAGTGAAAGCACGCCTCAGGTTAAGAACAGTTTTGGGTTAAGAACGGACCTCCGGAAGGAATTAAGTTTGTAACCCAAGGTACCACTGTATAGTGTTTTGTCCCCCCAAACCTGCTATCTTCCTGTCAAACCCAAATTTCTGTGACTACCTCCAACAGGGGTGGTCTGAATATGCCCCCCAAGCTTTCTGTCCTTCTATTGGTACTCTCTTAAGAATGGGAAAATTCACAACCTGTTCTTCAGTCAACAATTTTCTTGCTGATTGGCTTTTCTCGTTTGCCTGTGTTCCAGGGCTATGAGGAGTGGACACTTCTAGCTTTTGCAAGTGGAGGGGGTGGGAATGCTTGGGAAGTTGGAATATATGGAAATTTGATCCACTCCCCTTTTACAAATGACTTCGAGTCATTTATGTGCAAATTATGAATTGTGCTGATCCCTCCTTCCAATTCCTGTGTTCCTGGGAGGACGTGACTTGCTCAAGGCCATCCTGAACAAAGAATAAGACCCAGGTTTCCCAGACCAGCAATCCGGCTAGAACTTGTGGGGGCATGGAGCCTGGAGGAAAGCAGTTAGATGAAGGGAATTTGAAGGAATATCTGGGACTTTAGGATGAGAAAACTTTTTGTTGTGGTGGTGGTTGTGAATTTCAATTCTGTACAGTGGTCCCTCAGGTTTAGAACTTAATTCGTTCTGGAGGTTCGTTCTTAACCTGAAACTGTTCTTAACCTGAGGTACCACTTTAGCTAATGGGGCCTCCCGCTGCTGCGCGATTTCTGTTCTTATCCTGAAGCAAATTTCTTAACCCGAGGTTCTGTTTCTGGGTTAGCGGAGTCTGTAACCTCAAGCGTCTGTAACCCGAGATACCACTGTACATGTGGATGACTTAGCCCGGCATAGCCTGCTTTATTTTTTACTAGGTTCCCTGTGGTCTCCCAAAGTGTGTTAGAAACTGAGATATACCGTATTTTTCGCACCATAGGACGCACTTTTTCCCTCCTAAAAAACAAGGGAAAATGTGTGTGCGTCCTATGGAGCGAATGCAGGGGGGAGGCAGGCGGGAAAAGCCCCCAAGAGCTGCACACAAGCTCCGTGCGCTCTTGCGGGCTTTTCCACAGGAGGGAGAAGGGACTGACTGGCCGCATCAGTCCCTTCTCCCACCTCCCAGAAAAGCCAGGAGAAGCCGCGATCTCTTTAAAGGGGTTGTGCAGCTTCTGCGGGCTTTTGGGAGAGGTGAGGGAATTCCCCCACCTCCCAGGAAAGCCAGGGGAAGCCGTGCAGCCCTTTTAAAGTGCGCGTGGCTTCTGCCAGTTTTGCGGGAGGTGGGGGAATTCCCCCACTTCCCAGGAAAGCCAGGAGAAGCCGCGATCTCTTTAAAGGGGTTGCGCGGCTTCTGCGGGCTTTTGGGAGAGGTGAGGTAATCCCCCCACCTCCCAGGAAAGCCCTGCGCAGCGTCTCCCGGCAAGGAGAGGCTGCACGGGGCTAAAGGGGAAGCCAAAATAGCGAGCGGGATCCATCCCGCTCGCTGCCTTGGCTTGCTCCATAGCTGCGTGCAACCCCTCCGGCAAGGAGAGGCTGCACGGGGCTATGGATTTCTTTAGCCCTGCGCAGCGTCTCCTGGCAAGGAGAGGTTGCACTGGGCTAAAGAGGAAGCCAAAACAGCGAGCGGGATCCATCCTGCTTGCTGCCTTGGCTTGTGCCATAGCCCCGCTCAACCCCTCAGGCAGGGAGAGGTTGTGCGCAGCCTGTACGCTGCTCTTTGGGGCTGGGGGGGAATATTTTTTTTCTTGATTTCCCCCCCTAAAAACTGGGTGCGCCCTATGGTCCGGTGCGCCCTATGGTGCGAAAAATACGGTATAATCTAATCGCCAAATGGCACCCTAAACCTGGCCTGCGATCACCACAATGGAATGTCTAGGCACCATATCCTCCCCCTGATTGTAATGAATAATAACAATAATTTCATTTCTATACTACTTTATATTTTAAAGAACAAATCTCAAAGCACATTAAAACATCAAATAAAAGAACCCAGAATAAAACTGATTCAGGCTTCAAGGAAAATATTTCAGATCCTTCTCTAGGTGACATTTTGCTTTCCCCAGTCACCAGCCTGGCACTCAGAGATCTCTACGTGGGCGCGATTGGACCCGCACCAGTCGCAAAACATGCCTGGCGCCTGGCTGATTCTGAACACCGGTTAAATGTCCAAAACCCGAAATTCCTGTTCAGGAGCTCTTAGCAGTTAGGAACTCCTTAGTCTGTGCAGACTCAAATCAAATCTAAAAGGAGTCCTTGCAGCATTAGCTAAAGACACTTGCTATCCAGCATTCTTCCTAAGAACACCAGCAATTGTGGTCTAAATTCCTTCCTACGTCTGCATATATACCTCTAGAGAGAAGATCAAACGACTCCATTTTAGAAGCAAGCCAGGTACAGTGGTACCTCGGGTTAAGTACTTAATTCCTTCCAGAGGTCTGTTCTTAACCTGAAACTGTTCTTAACCTGAGGTACCACTTTAGCTAATGGGGCCTCCTGCTGCCGCTGTGCCACTACCGCACGATTTCTGTTCTCATCCTGAAGCAAAGTTCTTAACCCGAGGTACTATTTCTGGGTTAGTGGAGTCTGTAACCTGAAGTGTATGTAACCTGACGTGTATGTAACCTGAAGCGTATGAAACCCAAGGTACCACTGTACTAATATTTGCCCAGGTGTCTGAGGTCTGGGCATGCGTCCAGGGCTGCTGTTTCGTTTGTGCAGCAGATATCTGCTTGCACAACAAAACTCTTCCCTCTCCTGCAGCCCCTCCCCCAAATAACCTCAAAATTTGCTCCAGAGGGTGGGGTGACCCTTTGGAGCAGATTGTGGGGGACTGGGAGCAAAGGGAAGCCCCATTGCATGAGCAGAACTCAGCTTACACATGCAGCCCTTAGTCTTTCTACACACTTGCATTTTGGGGTTTCAGATTCCAGATTCCAGGCCAGAGTGTATAATTTGTAATAGAGTTTGAGACCTGAAATGATACGCACTTTGCTTTGTCTTAACTAGTCCGTTTTATGAGTAATTGCCACAATTTATCCAGAGGTAGAAACATCGGTGTGAACAAGAGAATTAGGCTGATTCCAGAGGCAGTGAATAAAATTAATCTCTGAACATGGTCTGATGATACAGTGCTTCCTTTGACACTCCTCCGTAAAAAGAATAAAAATAGGAGATACTGTTTAGCATTAGTGTGTGTGTGTGTGTGTGTGAGAGAGAGAGAGAGAGAGAGAGAGAAAGATGCTCTTCGTGTGACATAGGAAAAAGCTTAACTCTCTAATCCCTGCAGAGCAGGTTACAAAATAGCATTTAAATCTCCAGGAGATTTCGTGCCCCACCACTGCCTAACTCTGGCAGCCTGGGTGACATTTGAAGGCTCTAGGCAGCTTTAAATAATGGGATGCTGATGATTTATTTCCCTTTCTTCCCCCGGGTTGGCATGTGCCTTATATTTAGGCACAGACTCTGGCTTCTGGGACAGTTCTGCTGATAAGCCAAAATTTTCTACCTTTACTTCCAGGCTTTTCGGGGCAACCCTCCCAAGCCCCCCCCCCCCCCCAAGCATTGCAATCTAAGATGGCTTTGTGGACTTTCCTTTCCATGTTTACAGGTTGAGAAAATGCATCTGCTGAGGTGCAAAAATCTGACCAGGCCTCAGCATCAAAGGAGCCCAGAGCCCCTCTGCCTGGTGCTTTTCCCACTCAGCACCTAAGGCAGTTATTTAAACATAAACAAAGCACCAATGACTTAGCATAATTTAGGGCTGCATCTGCAGATCCTGGGCTTGATTTTCCAGAAGCTCTGTGTCTCATGTGGCAATTGCTAGATCTGCACTTTCTATAACATGTACCTGGCCAAGATGCGAGGTTCATTGTGATTTATTGTACAGTGGTACCTCGGGTTAAGAACTTAATTCGTTCTGGAGGTCCGTTCTTAACCCGAAACTGTTCTTAACCTGAGGTACCACTTTAGCGAATGGGGCCTCCCACTGCAATTTCTGTTCTCATCCTGAAGCAAAGCTCTTAACCCGAGGTACTATTTCTGGGTTAGCGGAGTCTGTAACCTGAAGTGTCTGTAACCTGAAGCATCTGTAACCCGAAGTACCACTGTATAGCTGTAGTAGTGCTGTGATTGGTGGCATGAGAGCTAGGACATCTACCAGATTACTCAGACTATCAGCTTCTTTCTTTCTTTCTTTCTTTCGCAAATTTTCTGGCTAAAGGCTGATAAGGTGGACCACAAGCTTAACATGAGTCAACAATTTGATGCAGCAGCAAAAAAACAGGCAAATGCTATTCTAGGCTGCATCAACAGATGTAATAATACAGTGGTACCTCGGGTTACAAAGACTGTGGGTTACAAACTCTGCTAACCCGGAAGTAATACCTCGGGTTACAAACTTTGCCCCAGGATGAGAATGGAAATCGCGCCCCGGCGGCAGGCCCCAGTAGCGAAAGCACACCTCAGGTTAAGAATGGTTTCAGATTAAGAACAGACCTCTGGAACGAATTAAGTTCGTAACCTGAGGTTACGAACACCCTGCAATAGCACCACTCTGTTATGCCTTGGTCAGACCACACCTGGAATACTGTGTCCCATTCTGGGTGCCACAATTTGAGCAGGTTGTTGACGAGCTGAAACGTGTGCGGAGGAGGTCAGCTAGGATGATCAAGAGTCTAGAAGCTAAGCCTTATGAGGAACGTTTGAAGGAGCTGGGTATGTTTAGCCTGGAAAAGAGGAGACTGAGAGGAGATACGATAGCCATCTTCAAATATATCAAGGGTTGTCACATGGAAGATGGAGCAAGCTTGTTTGCCCCTGCTCTGGAAGGTAGGACTTGAACGAACGGCTTTAAGCTAAGGGGAAGGGGATTCCGACTAAACATCAGAAAGAGCTTTCTAACAGTAAATTCTGTTTGATAGTGGAAAGGTCTCCCTCGAAAGGTTGTGGGGTCTCCTTCCTTGGAGGTTTTTCAGCAGAGACTGGATGGCCACCTGTCATGGATGCTTGAGCTGAGATTCCTGCACAGAAAGAAAACATAACAACAACAACAACAACAACAACAACAACAACAACAACAACAACAACAACAATAATTTATTTGTACTGCGCCCATCTGGCTGGGTTTCCCCAGCCACTCTGGGCCGCTTCCAACAAAGATTAAAAATACATTAAAATGTCACACATTATAAACTTCCCTGAACAGGGCTGCCTTCAGATGTCTTCTAAATGTCAGGTAGTTGTTTATCTCTTTGACATCTGATGGGAGGGCTTTCCACAGGGCGGGCGCCACCACTGAGAAGGCCCTCTGCCTGGTTCCCTGTAACTTTTCGCAGTGAGGGAACTGCCAGAAGGCCCTCGGAGGTGGACCAGGCTGGATGATGGGGGTGGAGACGCTCCTTCAGGTATACTGGGCCGAGGCCATTTAGGGCTTTAAAGGTCAGCACCAACACTTTGAATTGTGCTCAGAAACGTACTGGGAGCCAATGTAGATCTTTCAAGACCGGTGTTATGTGGTCTCGGCGGCCGCCCCCAGTCACCAGTCTAGCTGCTGCATTCTGGATTAGTTGTAGTTTCCGAGTCACCTTCAAAGGTAGCCCCACATAGAGTGCATTGCAGTAGTCCAAGCAGGAGATAACAAGAGCATGCACCACTCTGGCGAGACAGCCTGCCGGCAGGTAGGGTCTCAGCCTGCGTACCTTGGGGTCCCTTCCAACTCTACGATTCTGTGATTCTAAGCTTGTGTAAGTGTGAGAGAGAGACAGAGATAGACAGAGGAGTCACATATTACAGCTTCTTCTGAGAATGACATCTCTCCAGTTCCCAGGAGGGGTTGTGCTAGCATGGAAAAGGTCGGGGGGAGGAAGGCAGTAGACGAATGTAGCATACAAAGGTGTCATCATGTACGTGTGGTCCCAGTCAGCATGGGAGGTATGGCTCACGCTTCTCTCTATTCAAAACTGGGGTTCTCAGACTGTGGTCTATAGACCATCAGTGGTCTGCAGACTTCATTCAGGCGACCCGCGGCAGTTCTGTAGATTTCTGGTTGAATATTCCACCACATGGAATATTCACATAGCTGTCAACGTTTCCCTTTTTAAAAGGGAAATTCCCTTATTCCGAATAGGATACCTTGCAAGAAAAGGGAAAAGTTGACAACTATGAATATTCATAGTGATTTTTAGTTTCATGGCTGCTTTTAAATTGTAACACAGTAAGATACAATCTATGAGGAATAAAAGAAGCCATTAAAGACATCGCAGAAGATCGTGCAGCATCTAGCACGGTGTGTCACTATTGCTAAAACAGGCAGAAAAATCATGATTTGGTCCACCGAGACCCCTCACCCATTTTCAAGTGATCTGTGGGAGAGGGTGGAGACGTTTAATAACCCCTGATTGAAAAGCATTTATAATCTTCTTAATATTTTTAAATCTCTAAGCCGTATACAATATCTTTTAAAAATGATAACAGCATCATTAAAAACAAAAATACAACCTGAAGCCAATAAAACTACGATAAAAGCATCTAAAAACAAAACAAAACAAAACAGGATAAAAGCATCTAAAAACATAACAAAAACATAAGCATCTATGGTTAGCCCGCCATAGATTTTATGTAATGAGTTATAATCTGAAGGGTATAAATCATAAACTAAACTAAACTGCGTCGCTTAGCAGCCTTCTGCATTGCATTGTTTTCAAGAAGGCAGATTCACACTCTGATTCCTGACTGCATCTGGAGACACTTCTTTGAAGAACCTGATGGATCTAACAGGACGAGCCATTAGCATTGTTCCCTTATTCATGTTCCCTACTGCAATTCTGAGGGCATTCTGTTCTTGGCCTCTTCTCTTTTTGGAAGAGAGCTTGAGGCACCCTGCGTCCTCAGTCACATCACAGATTTTCATATTGCTTTGGGTTCACCCGTTTTGCTCCCTGTCAGGCTGCGGATGACTCATAGATCATTTCTGCTGCGCACACTTGCTCTCTTGTCTTGCGGCAGATCAGTGCCCAAGTTAATCTTGTCCTCTGTGTTGTGGAAATTAATGCCAAGGGTTTGCATGTACAATATATGTCAGGACGTGAGGCTCTCCTGGCTTGCAGTTCAGAGCCATTTTTAGATCGTAATCTGCTTGCGAAGCGCCAAATTGCCTATTTTTGCTTGTGCAGCTACATAAGGCACCATGCATGTGGATAACCTGTGATAATTTGCCAGGTCCCAAACGCCTGACTTGTGGGCAGTGTTAGAAACTCTGATATACAGTGGTACGTCGGGTTACATATGCTTCAGGTTACATACGCTTTGGGTTACAGACTCCGCTAACCCAAAAAAGTACCTCGGGTTAAGAACTTTGCTTCAGAATGAGACCAGAAATCATGCTCCGGTGGCACCAGGAGGCCCCATTAGCTAAAGTGGTAGTAAAGGTTAAAAATAGTTTCAGGTTAAGAACAGACCTCCAGAACGAATTAAGTTCTTAATCTGAGGTACCACTGTACAGTGGTACCTCTGGTTACAGATGCTTTGGGTTACAAACTCTGCTAACCAGGAAGTGGTTGCTCCAGGTTAAAAACTCCAAGATAAGAACAGAAATCGCATGCCAGCGGTGCAGTGGCAGCAGGAAGCCCCATTAGTGAAAATACGCCTCAGGTTAAGAATGGTTTCAGGTTAAGGACGGACCTCTGGAACGAATTAAGTTCTTAACCTGAGGTACCACTGTATAAGCTAGGTACCAAACGGCTCCTTAAACCGGAGTTAACAGTTGTCTAAACGGAATGCTTAGTTGCCATTTTTGGATCAGACGGCTCAAAAGTCCTATTTTTTCAAGACGACTTGTTGCTTCCTGAAATTCATCCTGATTGTGCAGATAAAATATAACAGACAGAATTCCACAGGATGTGTTGCTAGTGTGTGAAAACAGTCAAGATCCTGGCATCCCCAGGTAGGCATCTCCAAATGGTGGCGACATCAGGTGCCAACCTAATGGTACCTGGGTATCTTGGTCGCACGTAGCCGATAGCCACGTACAAAATGTGCCTGGTGCCTGACGAATTTTGAGCGCTGCTTGTGGGATGTGAGTCTTGGGGGACTCAAGGGAACCTCTGTCTCAAAATTATCATGGTCTGGAGATCTGATACAAAGCTTCAGAAAAAAGTATGGTTTTCTTGACTTGTTCCACTTGAAATAGCAGAAGCTAAGGAATGTACGACTTCATTTGCCCGCTAAATATATAAACATTATTCACTTCATCCACTCCAGTAGAACACCTAATAAAGCCACTTTCCTTAAACCATTTTCTTCAATTATTTAAAAAAATGCCTTAGGCCAATGGGCTTTCGATTCTGCCTCCTGTATCTGTGATAGTTTTGGTTGATTTTTAATTGTTTGTTTTCTACGTAAGAGCATACATAAATCACCAACGGGCAAGAGGAATATCGTGGCAGTGTGTGATAAAATAATTAAAACATAATAAAATGGGAAAATGGTAACACGGGGCAAATAACCAGCCCTGAATAAAACTCAACTTTCTGTCAAATTAACTCTCTAATTGTTAACGTTGAGGTCTGTTTATTGTATTTTGTAGCTTATTCTTTTTGCCGCAAGATTCTTTGAGGACTTTTTTTTTTAGAAAGACGTGATAAATGTCTTAATTAAAACCACCATCTGGGCAGGTTGGGCAATATACTCTTCAACCAGGCCTTGGCTGATTAATATTCTACAGCCTTTAAAACGTGTTTGTGGAAGGAGAGGTTGTTTTGTTCCGTTGTTTCTGTTTTAACTATTTATTTGTGCTTTTGTCTTGTATTTTTGTCTTGTGAACCACCCTGGGATCTTTTGATGAAGAGTGGTATATAAATCTGAATAATAATAATAAGTAGTAGTAGTAGTAGTAGTAGTAAGGTAAAGGGACCCCTGACCATTAGGTCCAGTCGTGACCGACTCTGGGGTTGCGGCGCTCATCTTGCTTTATTGGCTGAGGGAGCCGGCGTACAGCTTCCGGGTCATGTGGCCAGCATGACTAAGCCGCTTCTGGCGAACCAGAGCAGCGCACGGAAACGCCGTTTACCTTCCCGCCAGAGCGGTACCTATTTATCTACTTGCACTTTGACGTGCTTTCAAACTTCTAGGTTGGCAGGAGCAGGGACCGAGCAACGGGAGCTCACCACGTCGCGGAGATTCAAACCGCCGATCAGCAAGTCCTAGGCTCTGTGGTTTAATCCACAGCACCACCTGCGTCCCACAATAAGTAGTAGTAGTAGTAGTAGTAGTCAAAGGAAAGGTTGGCCTTTTTCTTTTCTTCCTTGATGTGCTGGCTTTCAATGTACAAGGACCCTTGTATGGTGAAGCCATACAGTCATGAGAGTCTCGTTCCAAAGCGACACAACCCAGCCAGATGGGCGGGGTATAAATAATAAAATTATTATTATTTATTATTACACAGCTTTGCTTCCTCCGTCTGATCGGTTTTCTTCATCCTCTACGTTATGAGTGTTCTCAGAACCAAGTTCCCACATGCACAACTAACATGTTTGTTCTGCGGAGGTGTCCCCTTAGGCAGCCTTTCTCAACCTGTGGGTCCCCAGATATTGTTGAACTATAACTCCCATCACCCCTTGCTAGCAAGGCCAGAGCTCAGGGATGATGGGAGTTGTAGTCCAACAACATCTGGGGACTCACAGGTTGAGAACCGCTGCTTTAGAGTACAGTGGTACCTTGGTGCTCGAACGGCTTGGCTCCTGAACAAATTGGCTCCCGAATGCTGCAAACCCGGAAGTAAGTGTTCCAGTTTGTGTACATTTTTCGGAAGCCAAACTTCCGACGCGGCTTCCGATTGAGTGCAGGAAGCTCCTGCAGCCAATTGGAAGCCACACCTTGGTTTTCGAATGGTTTCAGGAGTCGAAGGGACTCCTGGAATGGATTAAGTTCAAGAACCAAGGTACCGCTGTACTAGTGTTCTGAATGCCAAGCAAGTAATAAGCAGCTGATTTGCCTTTCCTGTTCCCTCCGGCTAATTAAAATGTGGACCTTAGAGAGCAAAGCCATCTTGTATACATGTCCTATAATGTCTTGCTGCTCTGACCTTTCCTTGTGTCTTCTCTGATTCCCTCACAGACTATGCAAGCTGCGAGATGTCCCACGGACGAACTCTCCTTAAGCAACTGTGCGGTGGTCAATGAAAAGGACTTTCAGTCTGGCTTGTAAGTTTTGGTGGTTATTATCCTCACACATTAATGGAGAATTTGCCTTTTCTTGCGGTGACTGGGGGGAAATAATTTACAGGAACCTACTGTTTCCTAGAGCCTTTAGTAGCTCATCTCCAGAGTATTGCAGGATGTTGTCTGGGCTGGTTGGGCAATATATTGCTCCCAGGTTCCGATCCCCTAAAGGTGGAATGTTGCCAAAAAACAGTCATTCAAATGTTGTTGTTTTAGATTGCTTCTCTTACTAGAATAGAAGGCACTTCATGAATTAATGACATAAATCTAAAACAATTACCTGCTCCAAGCAATAAACCAATGAAAAATGCAGCCTGAGCCTCATAAAAGTGGAACACTCATAACCTGCCAGCCAGAGGGCATAGTAAAAAGCTTTCAGGTGCAAATGTGTGTTTATGTTTCCTGAAAGCGAACAATTAAGCATTTGCAGTTTCATTAGTCTAAAGGTCTACCGCTCAGAATGGCTCCAATCTCTTCTAGTGGAGATTTGAGGTGGCGCCTTTTGTTAGGAACGATTCCGCTTTGCAGAAGGCAATGCCACACCAAAAATGTTCCCTGAGAGACATAGGTGCCTCTAACCCAGTTACAGCTGCCTGTGTGATGTGAGAATGTGACTTGGAGGCACAGAGAATGCTTGGACACAACACTGCAAATTTCATGAGTCTCGCCCCCTCACAGACCTCTGTCCTTTATTGTCTAATGTTGTAAACAAAATCTGCCCTTTCCCCCTTATGGGGTATCCAAGAGCCCATATAGAGTCCTTACGTGGGTTCCCTGTTGGTAGGAGAAAATAACAGAGGCCAACCAGAGAATATTGAGAAGCAAAACAGCTAGTAAGCCTGATCTTTATTGATCTGTTGCAACAGGGTGTTCCCCTCACACACAGAAGGGGAGGAGGACCCAGAACCGAGGTGTGCCTGCCCTTATATAGACATTTTAAATTCCCTGCCCTGGAGCTCAAGACCACCCCTCCATACATCATACATACATACTACAGAAAAGGTGGCCTACAACAGAAATTTGAATGTTGTTGTTTTTCCTGTTTACCAGGTTATCTGATAATGCCTTATCTGATTGCCTTTCCTGGTAGTCTGTCACCCTTTGAGATGGTGATTTCCCAATTCTTGAGACAATGGAAAGGCTCCCTGACCCCCTCCCTCCTTGCAGAGAAAACATTTGGTCAGTTTGGGAGTCAAAATGGTTTCAAGTCGGTCTTCCTGTGCTGGGTTGTACGTGCTTGGTTGGTACATTTATGAACATATATATATATATAGGGACGTGGGTGGCACTGTGGGTTAAACCACAGAGCCTAGGACTTGCTGATCAGAAGGTCGGCGGTTCGAATCCCCGCGACAGGGTGAGCTCCCGTTGCTCGGTCCCTGCTTGTGCCAACCTAGCAGTTCGAAAGCACGTCAAAGTGCAAGTAGATAAATAGGTACCGCTCCAGCGGGAAGGTAAACGGCGTTTCCGTGCGCTGCTCTGGTTCGCCAGAAGCATCTTAGTCATGCTGGCCACATGACTCGGAAGCTGTACGCCAGCTCCCTTGGCCAATAAAGCGAGATGAGTACCGCAACCCCAGAATCGGCCACGACTGGACTTAATGGTCAGGGGTCCCTTTACCTTTACCTATTATATATATAAGACCTTAAATTTTATTATTACACTAACAAGAAGGAGTGTGATGGGCATCAGCAGTTCCCCCCCATGGGGGGGTAGTAAAACACGGAAGGTGAGAGCTAGCTAATTTCTCACCTTAAAATGAGAAGAATTGTGTCTGCACCTTTTGTCTCGTACCTCGGGTTCTACAACAGCTAGAGACGCCTTTGTTTTTTAAAATGAAAGCTGGGAATCTGGGAGTTACGTTTCACCCCCCCGGGGGGGGACTGTCCTCCCTCGCCCCACTGTGGGCGCTCAGCACCAACTCCTCCTTCTGTGGCGACAGCGAGGTATCAGCTGGGACCTCGTAACATTGCCGATTGTGCAACCATGTATGTTCATCAGTGCTGAGAAATGTACATCGTTCTCCATCACAGTCTCATTTGTAGCGACTACATGGATGGTTTTTCTTCAGCACCTGTCACATTTGGGATTAGAAAGGCCCGTGTGGAGGGAGCGTGGTGGCGGAAAAGACGAGGACGCTCCCATGGTAACCGGTGTAAGGGATGGGAAACTCTGCTTTCTCTGTACATTAGTGAGAGAACACTGTTTATGGCACTCTTCCTTATGAGTCAGTGGAGACATGTGTATGTACATTTGTGGCTTCCTTTGAGTTCCCAGGTTTTCTCTGCAACCGTGAAGACTGACATTCACATTTCATTTATACTGCAGACCAACGCTGGTAAAATCCCTGAAACAGATATTTGCCCTGCAGAAAACTACCTGCTCAGGCACGCCCTAAAGCTGAAACCTGTGTGGATTGGATACAGATTATGGGCTCAACCACGATTCCACTTGTCCTGCGATTTCCAGTCACGGGTCCGAGACTTTTTAATCTTTTTTTGTCCTGCCGCTTTCCCCAGGAAAACCCGCTGTTTACTACTGAATCGAGGAAAAGATATTGATCAGGTTTTCTGCAGGTTTGTCCTGATTCAGCAGTAACCAGCAGGTTTAACCGTGGAAAAGCGGCGGAACAAGAAAAAAGAAACCCCCTCAGATCTGTGAAAAGAAATCACAGGAGATGTCCTCATGAGTTTGTTGCATTTTGTTCCCATTGAAATCGGTGGGGCTTAAGTTAGTCACGACTAACTTTTCTGAAGGATTTTAATAGAGTCACCATGCAGATAGTTTGGATCCCAGCCTTGTAAGCTATATGGAATTCCCTTATTCTTTCTTGAATGTGCATATCCTTGAGGGAAGAACTGTGTAGCAGGAAGCTGCCCTGTCCTCCTGGGTTGTACACCGTCACTTGTTCTGCTGCTAGATCTGAGGGGAAGAGCCCTTCCCACGTGGGATTGCTCTTTTATCAAGGGCAAGGCGGCCAGAACGGACACCGGTTGCTCTTCTTGACAGCCAGAATCTGCATGAGAAAAGCTATATAACTGTGACTTGAAGAACATGTTCTCTGTGTTGGGATGCTTCCAAGGAAGCGGGGGCATTTGGCAGGAATATTGTAACAATCTGAGGGTCTTTTGGGCCAAGGGAAACTGCTTTATACTGAATCAGACTGTCGGCCCAGCCAGCTCGATATTGACTGACTACATTCTGCCGTGCTGAAGATGGATTTCATGAAACAGTGGGTATATCTGGAATCACGGTTCACTACGTCTTCTTGCGGACCACTTCGGCAGCGTTGGACATCATAAAAACAAAGCTTTAAGGCTTGTTTTCATCAGATAAGAATCTGACCTGTTGCTTCTTTCAGAGACTTGCATAGTTTACAAAGACTTTCAGAGACTTATAAGACCTATGTTAAATTGGCTCTATGTTTATTTCATATATTTCATATTGTTCAATGTTTTGTATAGATTATATAAAGAGCTTACATTGATATTGCGTTGTTGTACTTGGTCATCGTGTTGCCTTGGATATTACTTATCAGGATTTCAGGCAGGGTTCTCTCCCAGCACTACCTGGGAGATGCCAAAGATTGATGCTGGAACTTTCTGCCTGGGGTGTAGCAATCCTTGTCCATTTCTCTTCCCCCTTCCAGGCATGTAGTTGTGAAGACCTCCCCGAACCACAAATACATTTTTACGCTAAGAACTTACTCCTCCGTTGTCCCAGGCAGCATCGCCTTCAGTTTACCACAGGTATGTTTTTGACTGTTTATTGCTTGATTGGCCAAGAGTGAAATGGAACTTCATACTAAAAGCTATGGCTGTGTATTGTTTTTTTAACCCACAAAAATGCAAAACCTGCATATTAAAGTTGGCTTCCCAGGGACATCTGGTCAGTCACTGTTGGGGAGTCAGAGTGTTGGACTTGGAAGCACCTTTTGGTCTGATGTGGCAAGGAAGAAGAAGAGTTTGGATTTGATATCCCGCTTTATCACTACCCGAAGGAGTCTCAAAGCGGCTAACATTCTCCTTTCCCTTCCTCCCCCACAACAAACACTCTGTGAGGTGAGTGAGGCTGAGAGACTTCAGAGAAGTGTGACTAGCCCAAGGTCACCCAGCAGCTGCATGTGGAGGAGCGGGGAGTCGAACCCGGTTCACCAGATTACGAGTCCACCGCTCTTAACCACTACACCACGCTGCGGAAAGCAAGATTGTTTAAGAGTAGAGAGCCATGAAGTATCTCTTATCTCATTCCTCAGAAAGGATGGCTGCTGTCATGTGATGCATCCCATCAGTCAGCTGCTCCGAGACCATATAACACCGGTCCTGAAAGACCCACACTGTCTCCCAGTATGTTTCTGAGCACAATTCAAAGTGTTGGTGCTGACCTTTAAAGCCCTAAACGGCCTCGGTCCAGTATACCTGAAGGAGCGTCTCCACCCCCATCGTTCAGCCCGGACACTGAGGTCCAGCTCTGAGGGCCTTCTGATGGTTCCCTCGCTGCGAGAAGTGAGGTTACAGGGAACCAGGCAGAGGGCCTTCTCAGTAGTGGAATGCCCTTCCATCAGATGTCAAGGAAATAAACAACTATCTGACTTTTAGAAGACATCTGAAAGCAGCCCTGTTTAGGGAAGTTTTTAATGTTTGATCTTTTATAGTGTTTTTAGTATTCTGTTGGGAGCTGCCCAGAGTGGGCAGGGTAATAATAATAATAATAATAATAATAATAATAATAATAATAATTTTGGCCTTCTGCTTGGATCCCCTGCCATGGCTTCAGCCCTCTTAAACACAAGCAATGCGGAACAGAGGGTTATAGCTTCCCTGGGAAAGCAGTGCTGCTGCTAAATAATCTCCCAGTGATCTGGTACAGTACTTGCAAATCTCCACTGTAGCGCCAGCATCGCTGGATATTTAGCAGCAACACTTTGCAGTGTGTGATTAATCTCCTTGGCTTCCCTGAACCTCCTGCAGTGTCAGCAAACACTTTGAACCTGTGAATCAAGTGCAGCCTAGCTTGGGGAGTGAACTGCTAGATGAGATTTTTCCTTTCCTCTTTCAACAAAACAGCAAAAGAGGAATAGCCTACAGGGCTGTGAATTGCAAAAGAGGATTTTCTCTCTGTTTTTTCTTTTTTTATTCAACAACTCTGTAAGGGTGCTTGCTTGGGAGACCAGGCTGCAAATCTTTGTTTCTGTCTCTGACTCATCTGGAGGTGTTATGGAAAACCTCTGTTCCCCTGCCTTGAGGAGTGAGGAAGATAAAGATGAACCACCATGAGGAGATCATGTTCCTAATCAAAAGGCTTAGATGGGTCAGGCTAAATAGCAATCTGAATAAAACTACTAAGTTTCTAATACAGCTAGGCATTTTGCAAAAAATTAAAATCGAGATCCTGTTCACAAGCTTATGCCGGTAATCAAAGCAATCAACAGAGAGGAAGAAAAAACCTGGAGAGGAATCTAAAAATATAGATTGTGTTGGCAAGTGCTAACTGAAAGAAGTAGGTTTTGAGACACCTTCTTAAAGTGGGTGGCATTGAACAGATTGGATCTCCCCATTTCAAATGTAGGGAGCTGTTGGCAGAAATGCACACAGTTCAGAAACGGAAGTGGAAATTTCTGGTTCATAAAGCATGCATGCAGAGTTCGAGGCGAGAACAAGTTGAAAGATAAGGACATAGTTCACTTTAAAGTTAATTAGCAGTGCTTTAAACAGAATGAAGAGAGGGCTCCCTGGAAAAGACCCTGATGTTGGGAAAGATGGAGGGCGCAAGGAGAAGGGGACGACAGAGGACGAGATGGTTGGACAGTGTTCTCGAAGCTACCAGCATGAGTTTGACCAAACTGCGGGAGGCAGTGGAAGACAGGAGTGCCTGGCGTGCTCTGGTCCATGGGTCACGAAGAGTCGGACACGACTAAACGACTAAGCAACAATAAACAGAATATGATAGGGGTTCAGTGGTCAGTGCAACAATGGAGTGGCATAATCCGTGCTATGGATTCGCAAACCAAGTTGAACAAATGTGGCTACGAAATCGCTTGAGACCTACTTGCTTGCTTGGCATTGCTCTCTTCCTCAGCAGGCTAGAGGCAAAAACACTTCAAAAGGCAGGGGACCTGCATATAATACCTAGCTTTTATAAGGCACTTTAGCATATTCAGAACACATCACATTATCTTTTTGTTTGTCCAAACAACAACCTTGTATGGTAGGCCAGTGGTCTCACCCCCCCCCCCCCCGGTTGCGTATAGGGTGGGGTATTTGGGAGATGGCTGTCAAAGTAAAGAGCTGTGACAGCGACTTCTTGACATTAGCTCAAACTTTTAGCCACTATGCTGTCCAGACTCTCATACAGGCTATAGTCATGTGAATGTCATAAACTCTTATTGAGGATATGACCTGTAGCATGCTTGCGAAAAATTGCATATCCTTCCTCCAGCTTTGAAATTTTGTTTTTAGTTGTGACGAAGAGATGTTTTCCCCCCTAGCTCCTATATCTATCTATCTATCTATCTATCTATCTATCTATCTATCTATCATCTATCTATCTATCTATCATCTATCATCTATCATCTTTTTGTTCTCTTTCAGAGAAAATGGGCTGGGCTTTCTATCGGGCAAGACATTGATGGTAAGTTTTTCCTGTAAGTTTGTTTATGGTACAGTCGTACCTTGGAAGTCGAACGGAATCCATTCCGGAAGTCCGTTCGACTTCTGAAATGTTCGAAAACCAAATCACAGCTTCCAACTGGCTGCAGGAAGCTCCTGCAGCCAATTGGAAGCCGTGGAAGCTCCATCGGACATTTGACTTCCCAAAGAACATTTGAAAACCGGAACAGTCACTTCCAGTTTTCGATTGTTCGGGAGCCGGAACGTTCGACTCCCAATGTGTTCGGTACAACTGTATATAACTTTGTTTTTCTAAAGGTATTTGTATCAGTAGATTGCACTGAGTCAAAAGTAACTAACTTTTCTTGCTCAAATCATTTCTATATTTTGTTTATGAAAGTGGCTTATAGCCTTGTTGCTGTTATTTTGGGATACCTGTTAACAGCTAAATCAAAGGCAATATATAAAATAAATAAATGATTGCCACCTGATGCTAGCATGTGCCGAGTGAAACAAAAAGTCTTCAGGGTTTCTTTGTTTTTAAGAAAAAACAGATGTAACAGATTAAATCCCCTTTAGTGGTGCATTTCAAATACAGACAGCAGTTAAAGGGGGGGAAAGATGCCATGCTGTCAAAACAGAATTTGTGGTTTTGAAATGAACAATGAAAACAAGGCAGAATGAAACAAAGAAACCAATGAATCAATACATTTAAAAGTTATTGACATGAATGGCAATCTTGTATCCATTTAAATGGGTGCGAGCCCCATTGAATTAAATAGGATTTCTGAGTAAAGGTGCGTAAGATTGTATTGAAAAGCACCAAATGTGGAAAGGATAGGAGAATTAACAAAAATAAATACATAATGGAATAATATGACCATATGAACAGGATAAGTAAGTTGAGCAGAGCAACTAAAAACTGAAATAAAAGGTTGAAGATGAGACCAAGATTAAAGCAACTAGTAAAGAATTAAAATAATCCAAATGGGAAAGAAACTAGGGGCAAACTGAATAATGAGCCAAATGAATTTGAAAGAGAAGTCCAAATCTCAGATTAAGCAGCGGGTAGCTACAGACTTTTAGGGACGCAGGTGGCGCTGTGGGTTAAACCACAGAGCCTAGGACTTGCCAATCAGAAGGTCAGCGGTTCGAATCCTTGTGACGGAGTGAGCTCCCGTTGCTCGGTCGCTGCTCCTGCCAACCTAGCAGTTCGAAAGCACGAAGTGCAAGTAGATAAATAGGTACTGCTCTGGCGGGAAGGTAAACGGTGTTTCCGTGCGCTGCTCTGGTTTGCCAGAAGTGGCTTAGTCATGCTGACCACATGACCTGGAAGCTGTACGCCGGCTCCCTCGGCCAATAAAGCAAGATGAGCGCCGCAACCCCAGAGTCGGCCATGACTGGATCTAATGGTCAGGGGTCCCCTTTACCTAGCTACAGACTTTACCAACAGAAGAAATATTCGAAGCAAAAGAAAGAGAAAAACCAGAACATCTAAATTATGAGGTGATGATGGTGAAGCAACAACAGATGAACCAGCAATGAGGGGTGAGAGGAAGGGAAATCCAGTATTACCTTAAGTTTGAGCTATCAACCCAGAAGAAAGTGAAAAGACGCAGAGAGATCAGAAATTGAAAAATATAACTGAATGTTGTCAGTGTAAAAAAAGATAACTTCAAAGGAGCAAATAAGAGGACTAAGAGGATGATGTTATAAAAAATATACCAGTAAAGGACTGTGTGCAGAAATGCAAAGTGTTCTTGGATAGGAATAAGCATGGAACATCTGCTCAGAGCAATGTACAGTGGTACCTCAGGTTACATACGCTTCAGGTTATATACGCTTCAGGTTACAGACTCCGCTAACCCAGAAATAGTGCTTCAGGTTAAGAACTTTGCTTCAGGATGAGAACAGAAATCGGGCTCCAGCGGCGCGGCAGCAGCAGGAGGCCCCATTAGCTAAAGTGGTGCTTCAGGTTAAGTACGAACCTCCGGAACGAATTAAGTACTTAACCCGAGGTACCACTGTATATGCCTTATTCACTCTGTAGGCACTTAGTTCTAGTGCTGGGAAACCATGTAACTTGCCCATGCAGTGAAATAGTTGAATTTATTATCTTCCTACACGCTGAACTGCGCCCCAGCTTTGTGCATATTCCTACAGAAAAACGCAAATGTGTGGTGCTGCCCTGGAGACAGTTGTCAAACCTTCCCCCCTCTCCTGTCCCTTATCTTCTAAAACAGGGGTTGGCAACCTAAGGTCCGTGGGCCGGATGCAGCCCAATCGCCCCTCTTTAAAAAAACAAAATAATTTTTTTTATTAGGAATTTGAACAAAACATATTATCTTAAAACATATCATCCTTAATTCCCCCATCCCCCCCCATAAAAGGATCTCCTCCCCTCACCCCTGACTTCCCTCAGCTCCAGTCTCTGGTTTCTCTACAGATGCTACTCTCTGCATGTTACAAAATTATATAAATCCTTAATTTATCTGACTGGTTATTGTCAATAAAAAGTTTGTGAGTGTTTATTCAAAGCCTGCCAAGGAGTCCAGTTCACTTTGTTGCTTCTTTAAGTACTTTGTGAAAGGTTCCCATTCATCTTTAAAGTCACAGTTATTCTTGTCCCATAGTTTATGTGTCAATTTTGCCAATTCTACATAGTCCATCAGTTTCTCTTGCCATAGTTCTTTAGTCAGGATTTCCTCATTCTTCCATCCTTGTGCTATTAAGACTCTTGCCGCCGTTGTCGCATACATGAAGATATTTTTCAGCTTCCTTGGCGGGTCTTTTCCTACAATCCCTAACAGAAATGCTTCAGGTTTCTTAACAAATGTTAGATGGAACATTTTCTTCAATTCATTGTATATCATTTCCCAAAACTTTTTAATTTCATTACAATCCCACCAATCGCCTTCTCAATCCGGCCCGTGGACGGTCTGGGAATCAGTGTGTTTTTACATGAGCAGAATGTGTCCTTTTATTTAAAATGCATCTCTGGGTTATTTGTGGGGCATAGGAATTTGTTCATTATCCCCCCCCTTCAAAATACAGTCTGGCCCCCCACAAGGTCTGAGGGATAGTGGACCAGCCCACGGCTGAAAAAAGGTTTCTGACCCCTGTTCTAAAAGGTGCACTCTTAATAGTGATATCGCCGTTCACTGTCCAACGTGCTGGATAAACAAGTTAATGGAAAAACAAGTTAATGGAAACCTAGGTTGCAGTTGGTATAATTCTGGGGATGGGCAGAGGGATATTAAAGAAGCAGGAAGCTGTGGGTTACCGTGCATTGCGCAGTAAAAGTAAATTTGTACATTGCCCAGCAATATGAAACTAACAGCACTACTGGGCATTGTGTACTGGTGTTTTAGACAAAGCTGTGCCATCATTAATGATGCCTTAAAGTGGTAATTACATAAGCTGCATCTTTGGTGTGGCTCTTAATTCTCATTCACTCTGAAAATGAGAGCACAGAGGCCCCAGTTGGCATTGTGATGCATCTCCAATAATTGGAACTTGTAATGAGAAACAGAAGATCGGTCCCAACCTGCAATGTTTATCATTTTTGCTAAGAGCAGGAGAAGGCTGGGGAACTACTCACATAGGCGTAATGACTGTATTCTCTTTCCACTTAGAGGTTTCTTTCTGGAGGTTTGTGCCAGGAAGCAAATTCCCTGTAGGCAGCATGGAAACTGTCCCCTACCAATTGGATGCTTACAACATGTGTGCATTATGGAGGTGGCGTTATGCTTCCGAGGGCTGAAGCGTATATCAAGTAGATGCATGGATGTCAAATTTTTGTTTCTCTCACCCTTCAGTGTCCCCAAGAAACAGAAACCAGGGTGCCTCTTTTTTCTTCTCTAGTGGAGGCAAGCAGGGCTCCGGTCTGCTTTATTTTGTTGTCACAATATTATGGGGGAAATTGCAAAAATTAGACGGACTTAAAAACAAAACCCAAAATGGATTGACCATGAGACTAGTTCATTTTGTCTCTGAAACAGCCTGATATATTGATTTTGTGGTTTTCACTCTCTTAATAGTCACCAACCATGAAATCTAATTCAAAGTTAATGGCTTAGGCGCTTTTGAAAAATATATATAACCCCTGTTGCTCATTATGCTTTGATTTCTGCTTACTTCGGAAATTTTGCTCCTTGTTCCTTCCCTTATGGAGGCACCAGAGCTTCTGCTTGGCTCAAGGAGCACCCAGAAGATCAAGGAGAGTTTCCTGCTCCTGCTTATTATTATTCTCATTTCTATACCGCTTTATATTTTTAAGACAAAATCTCAAAGCACTTTACAACACATTAAAAACATCAAATAAAACAATCCAGAATAAAACGGTACTGTACCAAATAAAGTCGAATACAGTTGTACCTCGGAAGTCGAATAGAAACCGTTCCGGAAGTCCATTCAACTTCCAAAACGTTCGGAAACCAAGGTGCAGCTTCTGATTGGCTGCGGGAAGCTCCTGCAGCCAATCAGAACCCCACGGAACCTACGTCGGACATTCGGGTTCCAAAGAACGTTCGCAAACTGGAACGCTCACTCCCGGGTTTGTGGCATTCGGGAGCCAAAACGTTCGACTCCCTAGGCGTTCGACTTCCGAGGTACGGCTGTATAAAGTATACATTCAAAGCAACATAATTAACAGGTGACTAAAATATTATCTTAAAGATTTCAAAATAAAACATTACTGAAGGAAGTCGAGTATAAAATGCACATTTAAAACAGCACAATTAACAAGAGAATGAAATATTATTGTAAGCATTGAACATATATACTGCTGTTGCTGCCAATTCTGCCATTGGTGGTTTATGGTGGGTGACGGTTGTGGAAGTTCAGGCTCGATGACCTGGGTCTGCACTAAGAGTCAGCCAAGATACTCTTGGTTCATTTTTATACCCTCCAAGGAGGCCTCACCGTACATTACAGCACAAGGTCATAAAATAGTTGATAATCACATTAAAATGGCATTGCCATTATTCATCATTTCCATTTCCTTGGTTAAGTGTTTGTTGATTTAAGCATTTGTTGAAGACCCTTTCTATGTTCTTTGGGGACGTGGTTCTTAAGGGGATGTTGGCGAATGACCTGAACTGAGATCCTTCAGCACTCGGCTGATGTCTGTGCTTTCCCTGCCTCCCACACAGTTTCCGTGTATAACTTTGATAAGACCAAGCAGTGCGTCGGCACGATGACTATTGAGATAGACTTCTTGCAGAAGAAGAGCGTCGACTCCAACCCGTATGATTCTGACAAAATGGCGGCCGAGTTCATCCAGCAGTTCAACAACCAGGCCTTCACAGTGGGGCAGCAGGTTTGTGGTCTTTATATGCGATTCTCACTTAGCGTTGAAACCATTTCTCCCTTCTGAGGACTCGATTACTCCAATCTTGCAAATCGTCAACCGCAGTTCACTAGAAAGCGAATCTTTGCAAAGAAATCAGTTGACCGCTCTTTCTTTTAGACAGCAAATGATAAAAAGAGTTGTTTGTAGGTGGATGGCTTGTGCACTTTTTGTAGACTTGACCCTTTTGAGGATTTACCGTATATTTCGCTCTATAGGACGCACCCAACGATAGGACGCACCTTGTTTTAGAGGGGGAGAAGAAGGAAAAAAAATTCTCCCCCTCTCTGCTCAGCGCCCCTTCAGCAAAGCGGCAGGAGAAACAGAGCCCCTTCCATTTCTCCTCCCGCTTCACTGAAGGGGTGTTGTTCAGCAAAGAGCCTGCATTCGCTCCATAGGACGCACACACATTTCCCCTTCATTTTTGGAGGGGGAAAACGTGCGTCCTATAGAGCGAAAAATACGGTATTTGAAAAGAAGTGGGGTTTTTTAGGACCAGCGTTAGACAAGGCTCTTTTTTAGAAGCCCATTCAAGGAGTTCTTGACCCAGGATAATGAGCTTGTATATTCAGGCAGAGTTTCTGCAACCACGAAGGATAAAAAAGAGAACCATGAAAGCTGAAATTCTGAGTTGCATTAAAAAAAGAAGAATCTTTAGGTTCTGCACTAGTACCCTTGAGGCTGGAGAGAGCATATGCTTTTCATATGGTTTTTTGGCGCTCCCCCCTCCCAAAAGCCCTACAGCTGGCCAGCATTCTGTGGTCATTTATTTCTCCCTCTTGGGCTTTTTAACCAAAAATGTTACAAAAGATTTTTGGCCTTCCATGAGTCTGGTGCCTCTTGTTTGTGGTTGGTGCCATTTAGACTGCAGAGAGATCCATATTTGAAGAATGAGTTTTCTATTAGTATATAGGAGGAGAATATATGCGTGAAGGAGGTCAAAGCCAGGCTTGACAAAAGACCCAAGGATCTTGGAGCCTGATCAGAGCCTTCTGGGTGGTCTGTTGACATGCTCATTCGTTTCATTCTCTTTTACACACTAAGAGTATGATTCTTTTAAATCTGAATTACAAAGTCTACAAGATTTGGTTCAAAATCTTCTGCTTAATTTCTAAGAAGCCAAAGCACCAGATTTACTACCCAAGAAAAAGCATTTTTGTACCTCGGCAAAGTTACAGATTGAAAGAAGTAGGGTGCATCTCCTCAGATCAATTTATTACTCCCCTTCCCACACACAGAGAGTACAAAGGATCAGAATTGTCAAAAAATGTGGGCAGCGTCTACCAGTTGCCAAACTGACAAAATATTTATTTAGTTTCTGCCCCACCTCATTCCAGCCATATGGGACAAATACAGTCGTACCTTCGAAGTCGAACAGAATCTGTTCCAGAAATCCATTCGACGTCCAAAATGTTTGGAAACCAAAGCTCAGCTTCTGATTGGCTGCAGGAGGCTCCTGCAGCCAATTGGAAGCCCCGCTGGCTTCCAAAAATAGTTCGCGAACCAGAACAGTCACTTCTGGGTTTGCGCCGTTTGGGAGCCAAAACGTTCGAGAACTAAGCTGTTCAAAAACCAAGGTATGACTGTAACAATAACGTGAGAAAAAAGTAAAAACAGGATGACATATACATATATATAGGCATTGAAGGGACACGGGTGGTGCTGTGGGTTAAACCACAGAGCCTAGGGCTTGCTGATCAGAAGGTTGGTGGTTCAGATCCCTGCGATGGGGTGAGCTCCCGTTGCCCAGTCCCTCCTCCTGTCTACCTAGCAGTTCGAAAGCACGTCAAACTGCAAGTAGATAAATAGGTACCGCTCTGGCAGGAAGGTAAACGGCATTTCCGTGCACTGCTCTGGTTCGCCAGAAGTGGCTTAGTCATGCTGGCCACATGACCCAGAAGCTGTACCCCGGCTCCCTCGAGATGAGCGTCACAACGCCAGAGTCGTCTGCGACTGGACCTAATGGTTGGGGTCCCTTTACCTTTACCTATATATAGGCATTATCCCATATACCTTAGGCAATTGTTAAAAGTCCACCCAAAGAGAAATGTCTTACAGAAGTGCTGCTTGATATTCACAGTTGGACTTGGTCAGACTTGTGAGAGGAAAAGTGCCTTGGTCTGGTGAAAGAGCCCATGGGGCAAACAGAGCCAGGAGTTTCAGAACCATGGAGAGCTCCAATCAGCAACTTGCTTCAGCAAAGGCTAGAGGTGCAACTGAAGCCTTTTGAGCTTCTGTGTCCAATCTACCTTGCCTAGGCTCCATTCCCTTTGTGAAAACTTCAGTCCTTGAAAGGGCTGGCTTGCAGGGAGGCATTGCCTCTCCTTGCTGTGCTGTTGGACCGGTGAGATGGCTTAGGAGGGAGGGACCCAAATAAATCTTGCACTGGAGCTTCATTTGTTTGTTGGCTGCCACTCTAGCCACGAAAATGCAGGCAAGTGTTTCAATAACCTTATTTTCCTTCCCTTTGTTTTCACAGCTTGTGTTTAGCTTCAACGACAAGCTTTTTGGCCTCTTGGTCAAGGACATTGAAGCCATGGATCCCAGTATCCTTAAAGGAGAGCCGGCCACCGGGAAAAAACAGAAGGTAAGAACTGGATTTCCCTTTCTGAGCTACCTCAATGTAAATTGCAATGATTGGAAATGGAATATGTGAATAGAGTCCACTAATCCTGAGGCAATGCCCTGATTGTGGACTTTCTGTGAGCACCTTGTCACTCAGTGCTGGACCAACTGTAGCCTTGGCCGTATCCTGGGTTCATCTTGGATATCGTGATACAGAAATGCTGATCTGCATTGGCTTATTCACACATGCGTTTCCCATCTTAATTAGTGGGGAACAAGCATCTGATTAATATCTCCTTTTCATTCTGCAAAATATACAAGCAAAGTCCCAACCCTGGGCTGTCAGGCTAGAATGATTCCATAATCTTACCCCTGCCAAGATAATCCTACTTAACAACCAAATCAATCCTTTAAAAAAAGAGGAAGAGAGAGGAAATGGGGCGCAGAACATAATGGAAGACTGCTATACCTAGAGTTTTAAAAATGGAGTATGACTCGCCAGAAGCTTCTAGGAATTAATCTGAAATCCTCCCAAATGTGTCAGGAATATCCTCCTGCCAAAATGGGGAACATGCTGGTTTGAATCAGCTTTTAATTAACCAGGGTTCGTGCCAATCCCACCCTCCCTGCCCCGGAGATCTGTGTTATTTCATAAAGAGGTAAATCTCTTTTACATCTTTGTTTTCGTTGTGCCCACTTTTATATATTGTGCCAGCACCCCACTGATTTGAGCGAAACAGCGTTGTAGCTCTTTCTTCACCTGCCTTCTGTTCTGGCAGCTGATTTCCTTTCCGGAGCCCTGAAGTCCAGGTCCTTTCCCCTGTTTTCACAGCTTGAGACGGGGGTGTATCGTCACGAATAGGTCTTCTTTGACCATATGCCGCTAGGAATCTTGTTGAGGCTGAGCACCAGCTGCGCTGGGATGACTTCATCTCATGCTGCCTGCTGGTTTCTGCTGCTATGGAGCTTGTCTTAATATAAAAACGGCCCTCTCTTTCCATTCTGAGGCTCTCTGGGGAACACAGAGCATGAGTGTCTGTTACTCATGCCTCTTCAAGGCTTTTAATTGTGGTTTTCGTTCATTCAGATCGAAGTTGGTCTTGTCGTTGGCAACAGCCAGGTTGCGTTTGAAAAGGCCGAGAGCTCTTCCCTCACTCTCATTGGTAAGTGTGACCCTGGGGCAACAGTTGTGCATTCCAAGCAGTCTGTTGTCTTCCTTATTGGCAAGTCCACAAAAATTACCACAGCAGTATTTACTCGCCTGTCTGCCCTTGCGTCCTTATCTACGTGACTGTCAAACATAGACCTGGGCTCTTCGTTCAAGTTGCATCTTCTCTCCCCTTTTAATTTTTAGCTAGTTTATACAGTGGTACCTTGGTCCTCAAACCCGTTCCGGAAGTCCGTTCCAAAACCAAAGTGTTCCAAAGCCAACCAGGGCGTGCTTTCCGATAGAAAGTAATGCAAAACGGATTAATCCATTCCAGACTTTTAAAAACAACCCCTAAAACTGTTGGCTATTTGCAGTTTAGTTGCGCTGCAGAAAGCTTGCTGGGGAGACCACGCATTACAAGGAACTCAAAAATAACTTTAACAAGGTTTTAATAACAATAACAAAAACAAAAACTCCTTTTACACTAAATAGATCAACAAGCATGACCCAACCACCAGCCCATCCCCCAGGGTACTGAGAGAGCTAGGTGCTGCTCTTTATATACTATACCCAATTGCTGACACAGCTTAATTAACATAACTTAGCAGCACCTGCTATACTGTTTCACAGCTGTAAAACTGGGTCTCGTTATTTGCTCTAGCCCTTAAAGAAATACACATCTTGTGGAACAATAATGAACCTTCACATTTAAAGAGACCATTCAACAAAAACAGCAATTTAACATGAATTTTACTATCTAACAAGACCATTGATCCATAAAATGAAAGTTATAATCAATGTACTGCACTATAAAATAAATAAGGCAGTATTGTAGTTGATAAAAATAAAAATTTATTTTTTTTCTTACCTGCACTGATGATAGTCATTGGTTGGATGGGAGGATTTTATCCATTTCCCATCAATCAATCAATCAATCAATCAATCAGTAGCTGAACTGGGTTCCACACAGTCACAAAAACAAATTAACCGAAAAAGCCTCAAAAACAAAAACGCCAAGTAAATAGCAAAAACAAAAGCACCAAACTTAATCCATTCCAGAAGTTCATTTGACTTCCGAAATGTTCGGAAACCAAGGCGCAGCTTCTGATTGGTGCAGGCGCCCCAGAAACAATAGCCGACAGCCGCACCGGACGTTCAGCTTCCGAAAAATGTTTGAAAACCGGAACACTCACTTCTGGGTTTTCGGCGTTTGAGTACCAAGGCATTTGAGAACTAAGGTACCACTATTACTATTCCAGGTCCTAAAAAACCACACACACACACACACGTACATAGGTTGTATCTTGACCAGCGGTGCTGATGCTCTTTTGGTTTTAGCTTCCTTTATCTTCTTTTTTCAAGTGGAAAGATAGCAAGAGTGAACAGGAAGAGATCAAGACACATATCATAAAAGAGAGTGACAGGGATTATTATTATTATTATTATTTTAAAAAAACTTTACTAGCTGTGCTGCAGAAGAAATTCCACTGGCCAGGCATTCTGTAGGTAGCAAAAGGGAATTTCAGTAACATTCAAGGCCCAGATGACAGCTGAGGCCTCCTCTCTGATTGCATCCAGTAGCCAGAGCTGGAGAAGGCAAAGCAGCAGGGTTCTTTTCCTTGTCCTGCTGGCAGTAGCTGGCTGCTGGCGTCTTCTGCCGGGGGTTGGGGTAGGAGAGCAGAGGACAAGGTTGTAGCATCTCCCAGGGAGACATAGGAAGCTGCCATATACCAAATCAAGCCACTGGTCCATCAAGTTTACTATCGCCCATTCCGGCTGTTCTCAAAGGGTGTGGTGTGCTACACTGGTGTAACAAAAGAGGATAGCAAGTTTGGCAGGAAGAGTCAAGGGTAATCTTCCCCCCCCATCAGCATACACACACACACACACACACACACACACACACAGTGGTACCTCGGGTTACATATGCTTCAGGTTACATACGCTTCAGGTTACACACTCCGCTAACCCAGAAATAATGCTTCAGGTTAAGAACTTTGCTTCAGGATAAGAACAGAAATCGGGCGGCGCGGAAGCAGCAGGAGGCCCCATTAGCTAAAGTGGTACTTCAGGTTAAGAGCAGTTTCAGGTTAAGAACAGACTTCCAGAACGAATTAAGTACTTAACCCGAGGTACCACTGTATATGCTTTTCAAGTTTATACATTTCACTAATTTTACAATCATTTTAACATTTCAAAGCTCTGCTTCCTTTCCCCTCTTTCTGCGGTCGCTTGAATTTATTTTTAATATCTTCTGCATATCCAAATAAATTTGCTCATTTATCCATCTAATTATATACTCTTACAAAACTGCTGGTTATTACAATAATCCTGCCAATGTTCTTATCTGTTTACAATTTATCTGTAAATATTCAATAAACCATTTCCAATCTTTTATAAAAGATTCAAGGACAATCAAAGAAACATTTGAACATTTCAGTGTAGTGTAGTATCAATTTTTTTATTTTATTTGCGTAATATGGATAGATACCTTTTCAACATGAAAGCAAGAGTGTCAAGTATGTGGAAATGATTCATGTTCCTACGTAGCTGCATTGTTTTATAATTTTTGGATATTGTAAGATAGTTGCGTTCTACGCTACAAATAGAACTTCTTAGCTTGTTTTTGTTTTCCAATGTATTTCTTACCTATATATGTGTGTGTGTGTGTGTGTGTGTGTGTGTGTGTGTGTGTGTGTGTATTAATTCAGAAAGTGTGGCCCTGAGGAAAAAAAGTGTGAGAACGAAAGTTTGGTCTGTTCAGATTAATGGCGGTAGCTCTCCAGGGTCCTAGTTAAAATCCTTTTTAAATCTTGTGGATTCAACCTGCATTCTCCTCTGCCTTTCATTGTTAAGAAAGGAGAGAGTGCCCCCTATCACCGCAAGAGATCAGTTGCGATTTGAGCACTCTCACCAGCCAGCTTCGCCAGTTGTGGTTTTGTGTTAGCCGCCTCAAGTTTTATTCGTTCAGATATATAGGTAGCCAGCCCAGCTGAAAAATCAACATGAGACTGTGCAAACATTCAGCTGTGGAGTCATAAATTAACTTCAAGAATTTCCAGACTGTAGGTTATACTGTACCCTTGAACAAAATACTGTATAATAGCTTGCATCTATGTCTCTCTGTCCATCTATCTAAACAACAACAACTTCCTTCCTCTTTTATTTTACAAATACTCCTCAGTACAAATCTTCCTTCAGGCTATATTTGTATTTGCCAAATTCAGGAAGCACTTAATGGGGGCGTGCATGTTGCCCTTGTGTCCTTCTCTAACCATACTCAAATAATATTTAGCTTTGTGTTCTTGCTAGAGCCTAGCAAGCAGCCCTGGCTCTTAGCTCCATGGATATCTCTCCCCTTAGTAGTTGCCTGGCGTTATAATAAAAATTTATTATTATTATTACTCTCTCGATGCTCCTTTCCTTTCACACCATGTAGGCAACAGGTGTTGCATGAAGCTGATAAAAGTGGGGCAGGATGGGGCCCAGAAGCAGGGCATTCATCAAGGTAGAACCACACAGAATAGCAGCAGAATTTTGCCTTCAATTATGGGCTGCCGCCAAGTAACAGATTAAGTGGGTGAGGTGTTGGCATGGGAAGGTTTGCTGAAACTTTCCGCCTCCCCGTAGCTCCTTTTCTCCTAGCTAGGCTCGGAGCAAGTCTTGTGGGGGAAGGTTTGTGGGAGAAAAGTTTCTGTGGGGAAAAAGAAGCCATGGTAAAACTTCCAAATTCCCAGGAGCTCTTTTAGGCTGAGGGAGTAGACCGAAAATGGGGTTAGTTGCAGATACGGTGGTACCTTGGTTCTCGAGCTTAATCCGTTCCGGGAGTCCGTTCGACTCCCGAAACAGTTCAAAAACCAAGGTGTGGCTTCCGAGTGGCTGCAGGAGGTTCCTGCACTCAATCAGAAGCTGCTTCAAATGTTCAGCTTCCAAAAAACATTCGCAAACCAAAACACTTTCGGGTTTACGGTGTACTGGAGCCTATTTGTTTGGGAGTCAGGCTGTTCGAGTACCAAGGTACCACTGTATGCCCAAATCAAAGCGGAGTATAGTCATACTTTGGTTTTCGAACAGCTTAGTTCTTGAACATTTTGGCTCCCAAACGCTGCAAACCCAGAAGTGAGTGTTCCGGTTTGCGAACTATTTTTGGAAGCTGAATGTCTGACGTGGCTTCCAATTGGCTGCAGGACCTTCCTGCAGCCAATCAGAAGCCATGCCTTGGTTTCCGGACGTTTTGGAAGTCAAACAGACTTCCGGAACGGATTCCGTTCAAGAACCAAGGTACGACTGTATAAGCAACCGAGGTGTGTCCCCAGGGAGAAGATACTGAATGGAAAAAGCCAAGTCTCAGCCCAAAGGATAAGAACTAGGGCTTTTCTGGCACCGAAGACAAGGCCCCCTTGGAGTGTTCAGGTGGGGTGAATTCTAACCCTGCTGAGTCCCTCTAGAAGGAAGGATATTCCACTCGGCTCCCCTTCGTGTCTCTTGTTGCTGCAGGAGGAGACAGGGCAGACCATGGGGAAGTGGGGTTATGCCAAAGCATCCAGCAGGAACTTGCATTCTGGTTCTCACTCATTCCCTTGAATTCCCACTTGCTCTCTGGCTCTCGTTCCTTTGTCCTCTGTGTTCGGAAGGTGCAGAGGAGCTGGCTGGGTGAGTGGGTCAAGCCAGGGAGGAAAACTTCTCTGCATGGGCCCCTTTTTAGCTGCTTGCATGGCTGGAACAGGAGAGGGTAGGAGGAGCTGCAGGGAGCAAAAAATATGCAAGAAAGAAGAGAAATACCTGTATGTGGGTTGGGGAACTGATCAAATTAAAAGGAGAGTTGATAGACAAGGCTGAACTTTTTTTAAAAGTTAAAGGTTCGGTAGCCAGGCAGTCCCAATTTTGCGTACGGAGAAGTTGAAATCTGTTAGCATGTATACAGTCGTACGTCAGAAGTCGGACGAGATCCGTTCCGGAAGTCCGTTCGACTTCCAAAACGTTCGGAAACCAAGGCATGGCTTCTGATTGGCTGCAGGAAGCTCCTGCGGCCAAGCGGAAGCCGCGGAAGCAGTGTCGGACGTTCAGGTTCCAAAGAACATTTGCAAACCAGAACAGCCACTTCTGAGTTTGTGGCATTCAGGAGCCAAAACATTCGACTTGCAAGGCATCCGGGATCCAAGGTACTAGTGTACGTTTCTTCAAATTGAGCAGCTTCTATTACTTTGCATAATCTATTCTGATGTAGCAAGGAGAAGCAAGGATCTCTGTAGAGAACTGGAGCCCCACCCCAACCACTGGAAATCCTACTCAGGCACACTTCTGACTTCTGAGATTGCCACAGGTGTTGGCTGCAGTGGGTTTCTGCAGCCGTAAGTGCCAGAAATATCACAGCAATGCACAAATCCCTGCTCTTACTTACTCATCTCCACTGGCTGGGAAAAAGTGCCCCGTAAAAATCAGCTTTTGGCTGAGCAGGGCCCCCTGTGCTGCCTTTGCAGAACAGGCGTATCATCTTTTGGGACCTATTGTGAAATCAGGGCTACTCTATGCTAACCGGTTGGGAAAATGACAGTGATGCTTTTCTGCAGCTCTTCCTTTTTGATTTGGACCTGGGAAAACCCTGCCCATGTGGCAGTTAGACTTCACTGTTGCAGGGTTCTGTACCTGGGTGTGATAGTACTGCAGGGTTGGCATTGAAATTAGCCTCCTTGCGCTGGAAAGGGGGTTCTGCTGGTTTTTGTTTTTCATCAGCATCAATCAGCCCACAATCTAGTTTCAACTTGGATATTATTATTGGTGCGTTGTATACCCTGATAGATGCATGTGGTCCTCATATATTTAGCACTCATATATTTAGCACTGAATTTGCGCAAGGTGCTGGTGACTACTTGAGTCGAAACCTTTACTTGTTTAAAATCAGCAGTGTGCTAATTCCAGCAAGATCTGCCTTGCCTTGCCCTGCTTTAAGCGGCTTGTTCTATTGATGACATCATTTGCGCACATTTAAAACCGCACTGTTTAGCAAGGCAGTATTGTAAAATCGGACTTCGGAATCAAGCGAAGAAAGTTTTTCTGAGCGAATGAATGGCCCCAGACATGTTGCTTTCAAATTTTAAAATACAGCCCACAACCAGCATGTGGCAGCAGAGAATCAGAAAAGTAAAAGGTAAAAATTAAGCAGTCGTAAGAGGCCAGCTAACTCTGGGAAGAGGTCGTATGATTACAGCCATCCTGCAGGAAGCAAAATAAATGAAAACACCAAAAGCCTACAGACGAAGACTGCCTGAGCTCTTTAAATCAATACATGAAACTCGATGTGTGCCTCTTTTGGGTCTGCCACCCCTCCTTAGTGTTGATGGATCACAAAGCTACACCCATATAGCAGTCGGAACCACAGCAGGCAGAATTCACTTGGCTCTAAAGCACTCTGTATGTGAAGCCTGTGGTCCTCCAGAGGCTGATGGGAATTGTAGTCCAACAACATGTGGAGGAGAATCGCAGGTTCCCCATTCCTGCTGCAAGCCAAGCAGTCCTAAGCCCACTTGGTGGCATGGCTCCTTGGCCCTCGTTCCCTTGCCTCCTTCCTTCCTGCCAATTTATACAGCCCTACATGTTTCTAGAGCAGGGGTCAGCAAAGGTTTTCAGCAGAGGGCCGGTCCACTGTCCCTTAGACCTTGTGGAGGGCCGGACTATATATTTGGGGGGGGGGGGGAGATGAATGAAGTCCTATGCCCCACAAGTAACCCAGAGATGCATTTTAAATAAAAGTACGCATTCTACTCATTTAAAAACACCAGGCAGGCCCCACAAATAACCCAGAGATGCATTTGAAATAAAAGGGCACATTCTACTCATGTAAAAACACGCTGATTCCTGGACTGTCCACGGGCTGGATTTAAAAGACGATTGGGCTGGATCCAGCCCCTGGGTCATAGTTTGCCTACCCATGTTCTAAATTCTAGGCCCTGTGTAGCTCTGCCCCAAATCTATCCCCCACAACTGCCTTAGCACCTCTTTTTATTTCCATATCTCCTGCATCCTTGATTTGCTGAGGTTCTCCTCTGTTCAGGCCATGACCTACTTTGCTCACTTTTTAAGGCCCCTGTCTCATCTCCGCCTTCCTAACACTCTTGAACCCATATCATACAGGCACTCCTGATCTCAAGCGCCACAGAGTTTTGACGGCGCCACCTCTCCCATTTGCCCTTCCTTGCCTTGACTCTGTGCCTTTCTCTGCCCTTTGAGCATTCTCTCCACCAACCTCTTCTCCACCTGTCTCTGTCTGCTCTGTAACTTTCCCCAGCCTTCTTGCATCCTGTCTCCCTGTCCTCTAGCTTCTCTACCTCCCAGTGCCTCTTCCCTAGACCTCAGCTAGCCCTTGTGTCTGCACGGTTGTAATTAAATCCCAGCCAAACTGACAACTTCCCCTTCCTTCACAGAAGCTGGACTGCGGTTAGCAGACCATTCTTTGCTGTTAAACCAGCTCAGCTAACCAGGAGGCATCACCTCTGCATGTGCCGTGCAAGATAAAATAAGGGGACTTGCTGTGCTTTTGTTGGGGCTGTAAATTGAGAAACAATAACACAGAAGATAAAAGCAACTTTAAGGCTGGAGAGTAATTTTACATGCTAATTATTATTATTTTTTACCCACCTATCCAAAAGATGCTGTTTCTCCCAGTTTTTTTCCTGATGCTTTTCCATACTGGGTAATTTTTTGCTCTGACCAGAGAATGGAATGGTGGTACCAGAGTACTGTGTTTTTAAAAGGTAGTAACTGGTTTGCTTTCTTCAGAAGAAAACAGTACAGTCATACCTTGGAAGTCGAACGGAATCCGTTCTGGAAGTCTGTTTGACTTCCAAAACATTCAAAAACCAAATCGCAGCTTCTGATTGGCTGCAGGAAGCTCCTGTCGCCAATCAGAAGCCCCGGAATCCCCGTCGGACGTTCGGCTTCCAAAAGAACGTTTGCAAACCGGAACAATCGCTTCTGGTTTTGCGGCGTTGGGGAGCCAAAACGTCCGAGTTCCAGGGCGTTCGACAACCAAGGTACAACTGTATTGTTTTTAGGCTTTCTATTTGTTACACAAATGTGAAACGTTATGCATTCGGTTGAAAGTCAGTTCTAAAATGTAATAGAAATATACCGCTGTTATAAGAAATAGAATTAGAAAACCAAACATACTGTAATTTTAAAAGTCTCTTGAGTCATTTAGGCTGCATTCCTATATTCACCTACTTGGGAGTAAGCTCAATTGAACGCAACGGGGATTGCTTTTGAGTCGACGTGACTTGCTGGTTACCTTTTCCAAAGAAATAAATAAAACAAAACCCCACTTTCCCCTTTGATGTCAGGACTACTGCGGTATTGATTTCTACTTACAGTACTTTCAGCGTGAAATCAATTATAGGGTCTAGACCAGCAATGACTGCTACGTGTTGTACATCATCTGTGGCTTCCCTGTGCTGCAGTTAAAAGTATATTTAAAACAACAGGAGTGTATTGGGTTCCTGGTGCTTGGTGTGTGTTTTTCTTCCATGGAAGAGAACGCTCCTTTCCACACCCTCAAGTTAGCTCAAGTATTTGATCAATTGCTTAAATTAATTGTCAGTCATCAGGATCGATCCTTTCCTATGATGTTCTCTCTCCCCCCTCCTTCTAAATGTGGAATGCATTTAGCTCACATCTTTGTAATCTTTACAACTCTGCAAGAACATTGGGGTTATAATCCCCACGTTAGATTGGTAGTATGGGGCTGAAGCTGAGATAGGGTTGCCTTCCTGGGTCCGTTCAGCAGATCCAAGGCTGAACTGAGATGTGAACAGGTAATTTGTGCAAAATAAGCATGTGCTTAGGGCATCAAGGGAAGAGGGGCACCACAGAAATTTTCCGTTGCCGGTTTTTTTTTACATTAACAGTCACAAATTGCTCATCTGAGCATTCATTTTCTCAGTTGAAGTACAGTCGTACCTTGGTTTTCAAACAGCTTATTTCTCAAACGTTTTGGAAGTCGAACGGACTTCCGGAACGGATTCCATTCAACTTCCAAGGTACAACTGTATATTAAAAATCCCAACAGAACAACTATTCCACAAGGCAGGCTCAAGGCCTTATCTCGACTAAGTATGAAAGCAGATCTGTTATGTAGGATTAGTTTTGATAATCTGAGCAAAGACTTTGCAATTAGAAAAAGTAGGAGTTTTTTTATCAAATATAAACAAAGTGAAAGTAGACAAAAATATTTTCCATCTTACTGTAGGCTTTGTTTCATTTCAAAGAATAGAAATTTATTTTACGTGTTATTATCGTTTATAATTTGAATTAGATATATATGGGGGCACCAAAATCTTTTAAGTTCTTAGGGTCTCTAAAGGTCTTAATTCAGCCCTGAATTTGGGGCTCTTGTTCTTAACCTCAGCACAACACACACGACACACACACAGCACTGTGTTCGAAGTTTGCTTTAGCAACTTGCACACAGGGAACAGAACTCTGCAACATTTCCATGCGCTGACTGAATTTGTCATCCTTGAGCTGATTCCTTTCTCCCTTCCCACAGGCAAATCCAAAACCAGGGAAAACCGCCAGTCGATCATCAACCCTGACTGGAACTTTGAGAAGATGGGCATTGGGGGTCTTGATAAGGAGTTCTCTGACATCTTCCGGCGGGCCTTTGCCTCCCGAGTGTTCCCACCTGAGATTGTGGAGCAGATGGGTGAGTACCAAAGCTGAGGGAGAACGAAATCCCACAATGGTGTACAAGGGGGTCTCACAAACGATGATGATGTAAAGGTAAAAGGTAAGGTAAAGGACCCCTGGATGGTTAAGTCCAGTCAAAGGCGACTATGGAGCGGCAGTGCTCATCTCGCTTTCAGGCCAAGGGAGCCGGCGCTTGTCCACAGACAACTTTCCAGCTCATGTGGCCAGCATGCCTAAACCGCTTCTGGCGCAATGAGACACCGTGATGGAAACTAGAGTGCACGGAAATACAGTGGTACCTTGGGTTACATACGCTTCAGGTTACATATGCATCAGGTTACCGACTCCGCTAACCCATAAATAGTACCTTGGGTTAAGAACTTTGCTTCAGGATGAGAACAGAAATCGTTCTCTGCTGGCGCGGCAGCAGCGGGAGGCCCCATTAGCTAAAGTGGTGCTTCAGGTTAAGAACAGTTTCAGGTTAAGAACGGACCTCCGGAACGAATTAAGTTCTTTACCCGAGGTACCACTGTTCCCATTTATCTACAGTGGTACCTCAGGATACATACACTTCAGGTTACATATGCTTCAGGTTACAGACTCCGCTAACCCAGAAATAGTGCTTCAGGTTAAGAACTTTGCTTCAGGATGAGAACAGAAATCGTGCTCCAGCGGTGCGGCAGCAGCAGGAGGCCCCATTAGGTAAAGTGGTGCTTCAGGTTAAGAACGGACCTCCAGAACGAATTAAGTACTTAACCCGAGGTACCACTGTACTTTCACTGGCGTGCTTTTGAACTGCTATATCGGCAGGAACTGGGACAGAGCAATGGAAGCTCCGTCGTGGGGATTCGAACTGCCAGCCTTCTGATCGGCAAGCCCAAGAGGCTCAGTGGTTTAGACCACAGCGCCACCCGCTTCCCACGGATAGTGATATACAAAGGGGGTGGGCAGGTATCAAAATAGGAGCTGACTAAGATAGGAGAGGAGAAGGGACAGCAGCAGGAAATGCAGAAAACTCAGACATGCAAGCCATGAGGACTGTCAAATATTACAGCATTTTGCCCCCTCTTCCTTAGGCAGTGGTAGCTAAACAAAACAGGGCAGTCTTTTTTTAGGGTTTGATTTCATGGAGTATAAAGATGAAGTGGAGATTGGAGCAGTGGAGACTGGACCAGGCAAAATCAAATTATATGCCTGAGCTGAACAGCCAGTTATGGCCTGCCGGGTGCCCAGTGTGCTTCAGGTTCCTTCTGTGCAACTATTGCAGGCGAGTCCTATGGATTTCACCTGGTTTGGCACCAAAATGGACCTGAAGGGCTCCTCCCATTGGTTACAGCAGCCGCTGAAAACAGCTTAAATTGCTAGTGTTAAATTGATGGGATTCTCCCCTGAATAATCGAAGCCACAAGATGGGGAGCTGTAACCCTCTGCTCAGTGCAGCTTCTTGGCTGGCTGGTTCCTGTAACTCTGAAACGTCTGAGCCTGCAACACTAACTGTATCTACTCAGGAGTCCCATTTAACTTAGTGGGTCTTACTCCTGGGTAAGTGAGATTGGGTTTGTAACCTGAGGCATGTAACTGGAGGCACCCTTCACTCTTAACCTCAACCTTATGCGGTTAGAGCAGAGCTTTCCAGACTCTTCATGTTGGTGACACACTTTTTAGACAGGCATTTCAGGATGCAGTAATTCAGTTTTACTAGCAAACAGGAGGTTAAACTAACCCCTTTCCAGCCCCAGTAGGAGCGTTTGTGCGAAACACCTACAAGGTAAAGGACCCCTGGATGGTTAAGTCCAGTCAAAGATGACTATGGGGTTGCACGACTCATCTCATTTTCAGGCCTAGAGAGCCGGCGTTTGTCCACAGACAGCTTTCCGGGTCATGTAGCCAGCATGACTATACTGCTTCAGGCGCAACAGGACACTGTGATGGAAACCAGAGCTCACAGAGACGCCCTTTACCTTCCCGCCGCAGCGGTACCTATTTATCTACTCACACTGGCATGCTTTCAAACTGCTAGGTTGGCAGGAGTTGGGACAGAGCAACGGGAGCTCACCCCGTCGCAGGGATTCAAACCACTGACCTTCTGATTGGCAAGCCCAAGAGGCTCAGTGGTTTAGACCACAGCGCCCACCCGCATTGTAAGGGTGGTATACAAATATACCGAACAACAACAACTTGGGAGCATCCCGTGGAATTGATTGGCAGTGGGTTCAGGTCTTGGAATGAGCTTGCCTCCAGTGAACCTACCATACTAGCAGCCCATTTTCTGATACTCCTTTGTCCATAATAACTTCTTTCCAGTTTTACTGTAAAATGTTGAACTTTGACATTTGAAGATAGAATCCCCGTGCTGTTCCAGGGAACATATAAATGAAGCTTTAGAAGCATCCTGATGCACAGTGAAAGTATATGGACTTGCCAATCAGTATCTGTTCCTGCCAGGGTCATTGTTGTTCCTGCTGAACGCTTGTTCCTCAACATGCTACGGCCCACTTCGAGTTGGATGCTTGCTGCCTCGCAAGCGGAGCTTTAAGCCTTCCATCCCAGTTCCCTTTCTCTTCTTCGACAGGCCTCCCTTAGGCGAAAGAAGCTTATCTGAAATTTGAAGAAAAGTGCCGCTTCCTGACACTCATCCTTCCCCCGCCGTGCATTAGTTATGACTTGCTCTTCCAACTATATTTCAGGGCTCAGATGCCAGGTTGACATCTGCTCGGGTCCGCCGTAATAATTCACGAGGGGGAGGGAAGGGAGAAGAAAGCCATTCCTCAGCCCTGCGCAAAGTAGCAGTCGCAGATCTCCCCCCAAGAACCCCTTTTGTGTTTGCTCTCTCTCTCCCGCCTTTCCCCGCTCTTGTGCCTCACAAGTGGGCAGCAGTCAATATGCCAGCTGCAGCTTGGCCAAGATTGACCCATCTTGCATTTCTGTTTGCTTCAGCGTGGTTTCCACCAGCTCTTATGAAAGGGAGGAGGGGAGAAGGAGTTTTATAAATCCACTTCAGCGTGCCGCATCTGTGAGGCGGTGGGTTTTGAGGGGCCATTAAGGCTGGCGGAGGTAGAGGCAGGCAGATTTGGGTCACACAGTGGGTCACACAGCCCCAGTAAAGCGAACAGGGGTCGTACAAGAGTACGGAGCAAAACTAGGAAGTAACTAAGTTGTCTTGAGCCCCATCCCCAAATTCTAGAAGAGAATGGGTAGCCGTGCTTGTTTCTTGTGGCAATAATGCGAATAAATCCATCACGGAATAAAGTTCTGTGGACATTGATGACACAGTAGGTTTTAGTCAATAGAAGATCTTGCCATAATATGTATGTCGAATATTAAAGGAACCAAAAACCTCTTTGCTGCTTTCTAGATTGGACTTGAGAGAGAGAGCCTAGACAGGCATTTTCCAGCATCCATGACTTGCTGGCTTGCTGGGGTACATAAAAATGAATGGAGGAGAATGGAGGGGCCCTTGGATTTGACATTGTGCCTGACCGTCCTAGTGGTAATTAACGTAGCAAAGTTTCCATCCTCTAGGACAATGGAGGGGTTCTCCTCCTCAGCCATGTTTGCTCCCCAATTATGAGGGGGAAAGGAAGCATTCAAACTGAACTGGGTAGCAGCCTGAAACAGTTTTGGGCTGGGTGTTTTTGTGCTCCACCTACGGTGGCCTGTCCCATTCTGCTTCCTTCCATTTCAAGTATGGGTTTCCGGCTAAGACCTGGGACATTCGTGTTTGTCCTCATTTATTATAGTGGCTGGTTGCAGTGGCAGAATCACTAGTGCTCCATGACCTATCCTAAGCCAAATGTTGACAGCCCTTTGAATTTCTGCAGAGATTTTGTCTTCCAGCATAGTTGCTCTTGCATGTTGTTGTTGTTGTTGTTTAGTTGTTAGTTGTGTCCGACTCTTCGTGACCCCATGGACCAGAGCACGCCAGGCACTCCTGTCTTCCACTGCCTCCCGCAGTTTGGTCAAACTCATGTTGGTAGCTTCGAGAACACTGACCAACCATCTCTTCCTCTGTCGTCTCCTTCTCCTTGTGCCCTCCATCTTTCCCAACATCAGGGTCTTTTCCAGGGAGTCTTCTCTTCTCATGAGGTGGCCAAAGTATTGGAGTCTCAGCTTCAGGATCTGTCTTTCCAATGAGCACTCAGGGCTGATTTCCTTAAGAATGGATATGTTTGATCTTCTTGCAGTCCATGGGACTCTCAAGAGTCTCCTTCAGCACCATAATTCAAAAGCATCAATTCTTCGGCGATCAGCCTTCTTTATGGTCCAGCTCTCACTTCCATACATCACTACTGGGACAACCATAGCTTTAACTATACGGATCTATGCATAGCAAATACTAGACCGGAAGCTAAATTCTATTATCAGTCAATCCTTTGGCATCTCACCTTTTATTTTAAAACCAAGCTTCTGGCCCTTGCCTGTAATGCTAAGCTAAACCGTGGCTTATTTCAAATGTGATCGCTCCTGGAGAGGAGATCCTAGCTGCTGTGCTCCTCCTGCAATCCTCTGGCTTTGCTGCTGGAAGCTAAATTATGGCTTGGCTTCATGTGTCATCCAAACCAGGGCTTGTGGTTCATACCCTCCCAGAAATCCACAAGCTGTAAACCCTATAACAAACATTGGTTAAAGCGGTGCAAAGGCTGCAGGACTGGAGAAGGGGCAGCTGTGAACTCTTCTCTGGCTTAGCATTATGTGTGAACCGGCTCCTAGCTCCCCAAAGGGAAGCAGGGAGCAGCACATTTTTGTGCAAAGGAGCAGGATTCAAATGTTCAGCTCCTTCTGGGATGCCTAACCATGGTTGGCCAATTGGTTTGTGTTACGTTGAGCCAGTGTGTCTCAGCACTCTTGTTCCAGAGGAGATGGAGAAAGAGAGAGGGACTGGATTTATAGCTCTCTATTTGACCATAAGTACCTTGGCTGAGGGACACGGGTGGCGCTGTGGGTTAAACCACAGAGCCTAGGACTTGCCGATCAGAAGGTCGGCAGTTCGAATCCCCGCGATGGGGTGAGCTCCCGTGCTCGGTCCCTGCTCCTGCCAACCTAGCAGTTCGAAAGCACGTCAAAGTGCACAAGTAGATAAATAGGTACTGCTCCGGCGGGAAGGTAAACGGTGTTTCCGTGTGCTGCTCTGGTTCACCAGAAGCGGCTTAGTCATGCTGGCCACATGACCCGGAAGCAGTACGCCGGCTCCCTCAGCCAATAAAGCGAGATGAGCGCCGCAACCCCAGAGTCGGCCACGACTGGACCTAATGGTCAGGGGTCCCTTTACCTTTACCACATTGGCTGACAATTGGCCAACGATGAGGGCCAGTCCTGATGCCTAAAAGGCTGCCTGCAATTGATGGCTGAAACTTAAGCCTCAGCGAGCTGCAACCCATTCCCGTGCTGGTGGCCTTTCCTATAATCTTCAAGCAGCTGTTCGGCCGCCTTCTCATTTTCAAGCTCTTAGTGGATGAGGCTGCTGGCATGTCTCCTCTGCCGCTGCGATTTTGCTAAAAGCCTAAAATTACATGATGAAACATAGTTATTATTATTTTTTAAGCGAGCAAGCCTTGAGTCCCACTTTTGGGCTCAAAGTTTTTCTGTGTGTGTGTGTTTTTAAAAATGTGTGCGATTTTTACTTTGTAGCCCAGGGCTTTTCTGTATGTGTGTTAAGAATTCCTGCTTTAATCTGATCTCCCCCACATTCCATCAGAAGGAGATAATTGTTCTGCAGTTCACATAAATCCTAGAGGTCCGTTGGTTCCAATTCATCTTCCTTCTTTGTCAACTTTTCCTGCAGGTGGTCTTAGGATAAAACGTAACACTAGAGGTCAATAGACGTTACGCTAAGTGCATGACAGTCACCAGAAACAGCCTTCACTCATTCAGTTATTGTCTTCTTGCTGTATTGTTGCGCAAAAAGTATGCAAGATATCACAGCGCTGTGGTGTGGGGTAAAGTTCCACTTCTTGACCCCTGCCGTCGGACACCAATGATGTGTAATTCGAAAATCAGAACAGGGCACGGAACGTGAATGCAAGAGGGCTAACTGGGATGGTGTTATGGAATGCTCTGGCAGGACTTTGCCATCTCCGCTGGCTCCATTGCTTGGCCCAGGCCAAGGGGTGCCGTTTTTTATCTTTAAATCCCTTTTTAGTTTTGTACTTGGAAGATTACCTCTCCCTGCATGTATCTTGAGACATTTGCGCCCTTCTTCAAATGCCTCTGCGAAGTGAGATACGATAGGGGGCTGTGAGTGATGGAGTCTTCTTAGTGGTGGCTCCCAGTTTGTGGAATGCCATACTTCTCTTGGATGCCAGGCAAAGACCTTCTTTCTGCCCCAACAGATTATACTGCTGTTCATCATATTGCTTTAGCTTTGTAGGCCGTTCAGTTTACCGTATTTTTTGCTCTATAAGACTCACCTTTTCCCTCCTAAAAAGTAAGGGGAAATGTGTGTGCGTCTTATGGAGCGAATGCAGGCTGCGCAGCTATCACAGAAGCCAGAACAGCAAGAACTTGCTGTTCTGGCTTCTGAGATTCAGAATTTTTTTTCCCTTGTTTTCCTCCTCCAAAAACTAGGTGCGTCTTGTGGTCTGGTGTGTCTTATAGAGCGAAAAATACGGTCCCTGCCCCTTGCTTTTAATTGATTTGTTTTGCTCTGGTGTATTAAATGGGTGTGTTTCCTTGCCTTTTATTACAGTATGATTTTTTCATTTGTGTTGACTTATTTTGCGCTGCGCACCACCCAGAGAACTTTCTCCTGTGGGGCAGCCTACAAATGGCCTGCCCAAATAAACCAATGATGAGTTCCCTTTTGGCTTAACCCCTTAATTTTAATCCCTAACTAGAACCAGGCTGAAGTTTGCATTTGCTCATATTCAGCCCTTACTATCTTTGACCGTCTCTGCCCCTCCACCCGTTTTCTTCCGCACTGTTGAAATTGTAGATTATAAGCTAAAAAGGTCGGAGGCCCCAACCTCACGAAACTCTGCACAATGCTATGTACATTAATGACGCTGTCTAAATGGTAGCATCTCCCACCTTCCTCCTCCCAACCCATTTCAGTGCCTGCCTTTTGTGGGTACACCTGTAGGTTGACGAAATTATCAAATAAAGTCTGTTCTGTTCCCACTGAGCAACATTCCCAGCCTACAAATGTCACTTATCCATGCACCTGAGTAGTATGAAAAGACTGGAAGAGTCGGGTGGGTAGGTTGGGAGCAGCTAATCCCATGAATGGCACCTGAAGCTGACCTTTACAGACCAGTTTCCCGAGATACAATGAGAGTACGGTTGTCTCTGTCTAATTTGCACCATATGTCAACCTGCTGAGAATTCCTTTGTTTGTGGGGAGCCTGCTACGGTGATGACAACGTTGTCTTTGGCCCTTGATTTATCTGTTGCTCTTATTTCGTTGTTTGGCTTATTTGTTTCCTGTTGTGAGCGGGTGAGCGAGTAATTAAAAGCCCCTCAATAACCCTGGTGCCCTGTTAACGTGAGTGACTTTCGGTGGGGAATGGTCCTCGTGATAGACGGAGGCATTCAGAAATGCCCACCCGGAGGAAGAGGGTGAGTTTTGTAAGGTTCTTTGTTAACCGCGCTGACATTTGGAGACACTGCCTGCCTTTCTCCCAGAGCAGAGATAAGCTACGAAGCCAAGTGTTGTCTCGCTGCAGGAGGAGCCCACGGCGCAGTCTCGAGCCGTGACATTTTCCAAGTTTGTCATCACTTTCCTATTTTGAATGGAAGCCTGTCTCCGTGTTCTCATTGCTTCCCATGTTGACCAGGTGGGCGCGATTTTTAGAGGGATGCTCTCCAGATGGAGAAGAGGTGAGGGGGTGCGGGAAGCAAGACAAGCGGCAGAGAACATGCTTAGTCTCTCTCGAAGGTCCTGGGTTTAATGGATGGTATCTCCAGCGAAACATAAGACAGCAAATCAATTTTCCTGGGCCACTTTTGAGTTGTGATGGCTTTTGTCCTCGTAATGCTAGAACAAAGCTGGGGAGGGGAGATTATTGGGTTGTTTTTGTTTTTATTGTACATTTTGTGTTTTTATATTGTGATTTTATGTTGTAACCACCCTGAGACCTGCAGATGTAGGTCAAAGGTAAAGGACCCCTGAACGGTTAAGTCCAGTCAAAGGCGTCTATGGGGTTGCGGCGCTCATCTCGCTTTCAGGCCAATGGAGCCGGTGTTTGTCCACAGACAGCTTTCCGGGTCATGTAGCCAGCATGACTAAACTGCTTCTGGCGCAACGGGACACCGTGACAGAAACCAGAGCGCACGGAAACACCGTTTACCTTCCCGCTGAAGTGGTACCTATTTATCTACTTGCACTTTGACGTGCTTTCGAACTGCTAGGTTGGCAGGAGCTGGAACAGAGCAACAGGAGATCACCCCGTCGCGGAGATTCGAACCACTGACCTTCTGATAGGCAAGCCCAAGAGGCTCAGTGGTTTAGACCACAGCGCCCACCCGCATTGTAAGGGCGGTATACAAATATACTGAACAACAACAACTTGGGAGCATCTTGTGGAATTGATTGGCAGTGGGTTCAGGTCAGACAAAAGAGACTTTGCAGTGTTGCATTAACGGATGGAGTTCGTCGCCACGAAATGTGGCAGTTGCTGCTCAGTTAGATCACTCTGAAAGGGGATTAGACACACTTCTAGAGGTTAATATCTGTGTTTTTAGGTGTTGTACCTGAAACATAACCTCCCCTGTTCAGAGGCACAGAGACACAGGAAGTTGCCTTACATAGAGTCCGACCCTTAGGTCTCAAGCTCAGTGTTGTCCACATAGATTGGTGGCACATCTCCAGACTGGAGCGCCTCTCAGCCCTACCTAGAGATGTCAGGGATTGATGTAGATGCTCTGCCACTGAGGTGTGGCAGCATACCTCTCAGTACTGTAAGCTGTGGGGAGGTTTGTTGCCTTCCTGCCCAGTCTACGGGTGTCGCAAAGGCACATAGCTGCCATTGCTGGAAACAGGACGGAGCCTTGGTGATAGAGCAAGGTGCTTTGTGGAAATCTGGAGTTGCTGTTATGGACTGGCTGGATGCAGAGGATTGGTGGCAGGCAGCAGCTGGGGAATCCCCAAGGGAAAGAAGGCTCAGAGCCATTGGACTGGTGGTGGGATGATGACGAGTGGTCAGAGGGAGAAGACTGGGAAACAGAGGTGTTGGAAGCTGAAGAGGCAGCAAGGGTTTAGTGAGCAGGAAGAGGCTGGGGCAGAGAGCAGTCCAGAATCAGAGGAAGGAGAGGAAGGAGGCCAGGAGACAGAGATGGGGCAGGCTGCTGAAGAAGCCAAGAGAGTCTCCCCCTTTTGCTGTGACTTGCCTCCCTCATATGTGGACCAGTCTTCCTTGTGATCTACTAGAATTTTCACTTGCTGACACATCATCCCTGTGTGCTGGAATAGCAGTCGCTTACTCCACCAATGGGGACGCGGGTGGCGCTGTGGGTTAAACCACAGAGCCTAGGACTTGCTGATCAGAAGGTTGGCGGTTCGAATCCCCGCGACGGGGTGAGCTCCCGTTGCTCGGTCCCAGCTCCTGCCAACCTAGCAGTTCAAAAGCACGTCAAAGTGCAAGTAGATAAATAGGTACTGCTCCGGCGGGAAGGTAAACGGCGTTTCCGTGTGCTGCTCTGGTTCACCAGAAGCGGCTTAGTCATGCTGGCCACATGACCTGGAAGCTGTATGCCGGCTCCCTTGGCCAATAAAGCGAGATGAGCACCGCAACCCCAGAGTCGGTCACGACTGGACCTAATGGTCAGGGGTCCCTTTACCTTACTCCACCAATAATTTAACACTAAACAACCACAGTTTTGTAATGTCTGCACTGACGACTCTGTTTGTTCCCTATTGAGTTGGCAATGTGGACAGCTCAGGAGTAGAGTCTTTAGTGGTGAAGCTATTGCTGGAGTGAACGGCTGTTTTCTGAGAGTACAGGTGTGCGCACATCCCTCTCTGATGCTAAGAGCATAGTCTTGTGATGGGCAAGGAGCAAGTTTTTCGGTATAACCTTTTGGTCCAGCAATGAAATGTGCGTGACTATGTATGCAGATCGATTCACAATAATTCTTGTTATTGGCCAGTTGTCTGACAATGGCGAGTCTCAAATAAGTGAAGCCTTTGGGTGCTTCACCTGACCGTGTGGCCTCCTGTTTCAAGGGGGCTAGCACACAGCAGCAAGGGATTACGTCCATCTGGCTTGCCTGACAACAGAAATTCCCTAAACCTGCTTGTACAAAATCTGTCCCAACTTGCTCGTAGCCTTTCTGTAGCCTCTCTCGTCTCGGCAAGCTGGGATTCCCCTTTGCTGGCATCACTCATCATTCGAATCCCGCCTCACTGTTTTTTTGGCTACACAAGAGATCGTGTTCCCCCAGTATGCTGAATTAACCGGCTCTACCCTGACACTAATTTGACAAGGATCACTTTTAATTTATCACCACCTTGCTGGTTCATGTGTAAAATTAGTCTTTCACCTCCAGTGATATTTTTCTTTCCTCCCCCATTTATACACTGTGTGTATATTTGCTTTTCTGGTTGTCTCTCTCGAATGCCTGAGAGCTGACTAATAAATTTTTTCGTTATCCAACTCTCCATCAAGGCAATAGCAAAGGAGAATCATTTTTGTTTTTCTTTTGTAAAAAACAACAACTCACAAATGTCAACAGTATTATCACATTTGCTGCTGTGACTCAGCCCATTTCAGAGCTACACACCGGCCTTTCCAAACCAGGGAACAAATTTGCCTTAGTTCTGCTCCTGGGAGCTGCAGCGCTGGGAGGTGCCCTTCCAGGTACCACTCAAGATCAAGTGGATAGCAATCCCAGAGATCGGCAGGGAATAATCAACTGCTGCTGTTTCGTGTTTGCTTCAGTGTATTTCTCATGATTCAGTAGTAGAGCATATGCCTTGATCTCAGATTCAATCCCCAGTTAAAGGAGCTTTCAAAGCAGGGCTGCAAAAGATCATTGAATCATACAGTTGGAAGGGACCCCAAGGTTCATCTAGTGCAGGCATAGGCAAACTAGGCCCTCCAGATGTTTTGGGACTACAGTTCCCATCATCCCTGACCACTGGTCCTGTTAGCTAGGGATCATGGGAGTTGTAGTCCCAAAACATCTGGAGGGCCGAGTTTGCCTATACCTGATCTAGTGCAACCCCCTGCAATTCAGGAATCTCAACAAAAGCATTCATGACAGATGGCCATCCAACCTCTGCTTTGAAACCTCCAAGGAAGGAGAGTCTGAGGGAGACTAATCCACTGTCAAACAGCTCTTATGCCTTTAATTGGTAGCCATTAAATAAACACACAAGATGTAACCGGCTGTACATTTGAAAAAATAATATATACTATTCATTGTATTGAATTGTAGATTTCAACAGAAGTAGCTCATAAAGTTCAACGAGAAAGGTAGAAGACCCAGTGGATGAGTTCATTCTCTAATCAGTTTATGCATAAGGTCCATATATGTGAAAATGTCTATTCCACCTGTCTGTTCATAGAGTCCAAGAATCAACATGAAAGGTTGTTGCAGTTCCACGGAATCCTTTCCCAGAGTCTAAGGAGTGCTCGTAATCAGTAGGAGTGGTTGAACGTGGAGATACATCGGATCTGTTAGATCTGTTAAATTTGCAGTGAATTAGCCAGTTTTAAGAAAAAGAAGTTGAGCAGAGATCACAATGATTATTCTACAGGCAAAGTTTATTTATGGCTGAATTCCTCAGGACTAGTTCACAGGCAGTCAAACAGATCTGATGTATCTCTGCGTTCGACCACTCCTACTGTAAACACTGTCAAGATTTGATATGGGCACCAGTTACCAACTCAGCTGCTGTATTTTCTGTCAATCACCCTTTTCGAATGGTCTTCCTCAGCAACCCCTTGTAGAACGTGTCATTTTCTTTTGGTTACCCCCAACCAGGAAAGAACCTTTGTTTTGACTTCATGACGAGCTGCCCCCTTTCTTCTTCCTTTCCAGGCTGCAAGCACGTCAAAGGCATCCTGTTGTTTGGTCCCCCTGGCTGCGGCAAGACCCTTATGGCCAGGCAGATTGGCAAGATGCTGAATGCCAGAGAGCCCAAAATAGTGAACGGGCCGGAAATCCTCAACAAATACGTCGGGGAGTCGGAGGCCAACATTCGCAAGCTCTTTGCAGATGCAGAAGAAGAACAGAGGAGGGTAAGTTGCCTTTTAAAAAAATTTAAAAATGGAAGAATAAGATGCAGGTGGATGAAGATTCCTGCTGGAATCAGACATGATGGAGCATTGTTTGTTTCTCTCGTTCCTGTTTCAAAACGTTTGGGGTGACATCACTGCATTGCCAGTTTTCTTGCCCCCACAAGCAGCGGGCGATGAAGTTGAGGAGGAATTGGGGAAACTCACCAGTGTGAATATGACTTGCATTATAATAAGAATAGATGTCATGGGAGGAAAAGACACTTGGGATGGTGATACCCCAAGAGGCCCAGCCCTTCAGCTTCTGCAGTAGATTTCTGTATAGCTTCAAAGCATTGAAAGGGGGCCTGGGGCTGTTCAAGGGCTTTGTTCTTTGCAAATTCTGGTACCTGAGCCCTGGCTCCTAGGCAAACATGCAAAACAGCTTTCGCCAACCTACAGCGGCAGAGCATATGCTCGCGCTGCCCGGGGCCGGCGTGCTCCCGAAGGGGCGGGGCACAGAGGGTGCCCTCCCAGGCAAGGGATAGCTGCTCAGGTGCATGGAACAGTGATCGCTCCCTGCAGCACCCGGGGGCGGAGCTAGCCACCCACAGGGGCGGAGCTAATCACCCATGGCGGACATTCGGCGCGCTGCCCGCCCGCAACTCCCAAGCATGAAGGGGGAAGGGGGAAATACTGCCGGCAAAGCGACGCAGCTCCCCCCTTCCCCTGACGGCTCGGGGAAGGCTTGGGAGTCCCGGCAGGCGGTGCACCAAAAGTCACCCCCTCAGCGAAGGGGGTCTGAAAGACCCAACAGAGACTCCGTTTCCTCAGGGTCTTGCGAAAGAATAATGTTCAACAACAACTGATGAACTCCTTCTACCGGGCCACAATAGAAAGTGTCCTTTCATATTGCATCACAGTGTGGTATGCTGGCTTGACAGCCACGGACAGAAAGTCTCTACAGAGGGTGGTGAATACAGCACATGATATCATGGGCTGTCTCTTGAGTCCGCTAGATGATATCGCAAGGGATAGTTGCCTTAGGAGAGCGAGAAAAATTCTCAGGGATGACTCACACCCCGTCCACCACTTCTTCAATCTTCTACCCTTGGGCAGGAGATATAGAAGTATGATAAGCCGTACCAACAGGCTAAAAAATAGCTTCTGTCTGTGGGCTGTTAGGCTGTTGAACGAAAAATAACGTAGCAAAATTGACTTGCAAGGTGGTGTGTTGTTTGATAAGAGATTGAGTGTTTTTTTTGGGGGGGGAGGCTCGTTTAATTTCATTGTACAATGGCAATAAAGGTACAGTGGTACCTCTGGTTAAGTACTTAATTCGTTTTGGAGGTCCGTACTTAACCTGAAACTGTTTTTAACCTGAAGCACCACTTTAGCTAATGGGGCCTCCCGCTGCCGCTGCACGATTTCTGTTCTCATCCTGAAGCAAAGTTCTTAACCCAAGGTACTATTTCTGGGTTAGTAGAGTCTGTAACCTGAAGCGTATGTAACTTGAGGTACCACTGTATTATTATTATTATTATTATTATTATTATTATTAGATAGGAAAAAGGAGGAGCAGCCCTTTTGGGGTCCATGATCTCTGGCATGTTTCTGTTTTTCTTCTTCACTAGCTTGGTGCAAACAGTGGCGTCCACATCATCATCTTTGATGAAATCGATGCCATATGCAAGCAGCGCGGGAGCATGGCGGGCAGCACCGGCGTCCACGACACGGTTGTGAACCAGCTGCTATCAAAAATTGATGGGGTGGAGCAGCTAAACAACATCTTGGTCATTGGTAATGAAAGCTATTTGTTCTGTTTTGGGGTGGGGGACTCTGCTGTAGTTTCATGTCGGGCGTAGACTCTGCAGGGTTTGTGTTGGGCACCATTTGTTGTTCGAATGTCTTAATCTTCAGATTTTAGGATACCTGAAATACACAAGAAAGGTGGCCTCAGGCAAGCAGTTAAATTGGATTATGGCCAAGCTTTGCTTTGGGTGGGTAGAGATTGGCTGATATTTACATTCAGTTTTAAGAATGATTTCATTCCTAAATGGATTATTCCATTCCCTAGGTTTTTACTGTTCTTGCGGTAGACGAGGAAAATGCTGGCCAGTTTTTAAAACTTTTGAATTATATAAATAACAGAAAAATCAATGTAAAGCCATATATGGTTTTATTGTACATTGTAATTGTGAATGTTTTATTCTTCTGGTGCAGTTGGTTTGTTGTGTGTTTTAATTATGGATAGATTTGATAGTTGATTTGATAGTTGTAAAGTGCTTAGAAGCCAGTGATAAAACCAGTCCAAAAGACACAGTGAGATTAAAACAGCTTTCAACTAAAACCTTGATCTACCTTCCGTAATAAATGTTTTTGGGAGCCATCAAAAAAACATCAAGAGGTTTCCTGGTGGCTTCTCTGGAAGGGGAGATCCACAAAACAGGATGCTGTCTCTGAAAAGGCCTGCTCCTTTCAAAATACAGTCATACTTTGGTTCACGAATGCCTTGCGAGTCAAACGTTTTGGCTCCCGAATGCCGCAAAACCCGGAAGTGAGTGTTCTGGTTTGCGAATGTTCTTTGGAACACAAACATCCGTTGTGGGTTCCGATTGGCTACAGGAGCTTCCTACAACCAATCGGACACCGCGCCTTGGTTTCCAAACGTTTTGGAAGTTGAACGGACTTCCGGAATGAATTCCGTTCGACTTCTGAGGTAAACTGTTCAGTATCAAAATGTGCTGCGTTTAAATGCCCGAGTTGTGATTTTTTTTCACCTTTCTGATTATTGGGATTTTTCAGTGGCAGAACTATTACTGAAACATGAGCCCGCCCCCATCCAAAAAATGTTCTGGATAACAATGTAGTCTGTCCCTGAAACTAAGCTCATGGTATTAAACAAGGTAGCTGCAACCCCGTAGCTCATAATATTAAGAGTTCCTCAATGCTGAATATCTTCTGGTTCGTGTTTGCTCTTGAAAGCGTCTTTCTGCATAATATTCTCAGACTGTCTTAGCTCACTCTGGCACAACGTTCCTTCATTTCTGCTTTGCTGAACTGTAGGGAAGGACTTGTACAAATACTAGATGGTTCAGTTTGAAGATTACTTGATTAACGCCTGTTTTGCGAGAAAAGAATGCTTATTCTTATTTTTATAGCACCAATTTCACATTATTATAACGTTAGTATTTATTATTATTATCTTTATAGCACCATAATTGTACCTGGCACCTTGGTTTGTATTTCTGTTTTATGAGACGCCTCGTAAAATAAAATCTCTTGGCATCGTATAGGATAAAAATTAAAACGCTGAAACAAAAACCCTTTTGCAAGAAAAAGGAGAGCAACATAAACAAGACAGGGCTGTGCTCTGATTGTAAATTTAGCAAACGAGGAAGCAAACCAAGTGGAGGGTGGGGAAGAGGGAAAGATAAATTTGAATACTACCTAAACTTCCCAGTAAGATGGTGTTTGACGCATCATTATTGGTTAATATTTATACCTTGTTCCTTCCTGTGGGCTAAAAATAGGTTGCAGCAGTACTTCCAAACACACAAGGACTCCACTATCTAATAGCAAGGGAAGCACAAGAGCTTAGAAATAAATGAAGAAAATATAGACAGGCTTGCCCCTGAGTCTGTGTTTAACAAAGGGATATAGCTGCTGAGTCTACCTGTATATTGCGTATTTCCCAAATGCATATCTGTCCTGCTCACAATTTACATTTTTAAGTGTATACTGCCCACGGCCACTTTTTCCAAGGTACTTTCTCGCATTTTTTGAGTGGCCGCAGCAGCAAATAATTCATCTTGACAAAATATACAGTCTTACTCGTCTAAAAGTGCATATGCCGTATATCAGGCTTCCTCAGACCCGGCCCTCCAGATGTTTTTGGCCTACAACTCCCATGATCCCTAGCTAGCAGGACCAGTGGTCAGGGATGATGGGAACTGTAGTCTCAAAACATCTGGAGGGGCAGGTTTGAGGAAGCCTGCCGTATATAATGCATTGATCTCCCCATGCATTGAGACACATGGTGGGAAAGACACTTTGCTCTAAGAGAGTCATAGAATGAACAAAACGATAAATAATGGGCTAAGTCTTAGATGCACTGAAAACTCAAGCAGCTACAGTTTCCCTTGCCTTGTCTGTTCAAAGAAGTAAAGAGAAGCCTTTACTTTTTAAGCCTAAAAGGCTATCCAAGGAGTGATCTGCACGTTACTGTGTGCGTGTGTGGTTATTTGTGTAAGCAGTCAAACATCAGCTGGCAGCTGGCCGTGCTCTGCTGCTTAAACATCTCCAGAGCATCTTTTGGAATCTTAGGTACAGTCAAACCTCGGTTTTTGGGCATCTCAGCTATTGAATGTTTCGGAAACCCAAAGTGAATTCTTCCGTTTTTGAACGTGCCTCAGAAGACAAACGGGCTTCTGAGACATGTTTCTCAATTTCCCCCATTGAACTTGCTGACGTCCCTTTGATCCTCGGTTTTCGAATGTTTCGGAATTCAAACGGACTTCCAGAACGGATTACGTTAGAAAACCGAGGTTCCACTGTACAGTCATACCTTGGAAGATGAACGGAATGCGTTCCGGAAGTCCTTTGAATTCCAAAAACGTTCGAAAACCAAAGCACGGCTTCCGTCACTGAAGCCCTGTTGGACGTTCGGCTTCCAAAGGAACGTTCATAAACCAGAACACTCACTTCCGGTTTTCAATCATTCGGGAGCCAGAACGTTCGACTCCCAAGGCATTCGGGAGCTGAGGTACCACTGTATTGCTGGATGTACTGCAATTTAGCCCTGTGAGCTTGCTGGCTCACACACATTCTGATCAATAGATGTAAGTTGTTGTTTAGTCGTTTAGTCGTGTCCGACTCTTCATGACCCCATGGACCAGAGCACGCCAGGCACTTCTGTCTTCCACTGCCTCCCGCAGTTTGGTCAAACTCATGCTGGTAGCTTCGAGAACACTGTCCAACCATCTCGTCCTCTGTCGTCCCCTTCTCCTTGTACCCTCCATCTTTCCCAACATCAGGGTCTTTTCCAGGAGTCTTCTCTTCTCATGAGGTGGCCAAAGTATTGGAGCCTCAGCTTCACGATCTGTCCTTCCAGTGAGCACTCAGGGCTGATTTCCTTCAGAATGGATAGGTTTGATCTTCTTGCAGTCCATGGGACTCTCAAGAGTCTCCTCCAGCACCATAATTCAAAAGCATCCATTCTTTGGTGATCAGCCTTTTTTATGGTCAATATCAATAGATAAAAAGGTAAAGGTAAAGGTACCCCTGCCCATACGGGCCAGTCATGTCCGACTCTAGGGTTGCGCACTCATCTCGCTCATGAGGCCGGGAGCCAGCGCTGTTCGGAGCCACTTCCGGGTCACGTGGCCAGCGTGACGAAGCTGCTCTGGCGAGCCAGCACCAGCACCGCACACGGAAACGCCGTTTACCTTCCCGCTATAAAGCGGTACCTATTTATCTACTTGCACTTAGGGGTGCTTTCGAACTGCTAGGTTGGCAGGAGCAGGGACCGAGTAACGGGAGCTCACCCTGTCGCGGGGATTCGAACCGCCGACCTTGCGATCAGCAAGTCCTAGGCACTGAGGTTTTATCCACAGCGCCACCCGCGTCCCATATCAATAGATAGACACCCCCAAACACACACACAATATGTGAGCAAAGCAACCTCAGCTGCAATGTTTGAAATGGCTCTTGCCTCATCCTCTCGAAGGGGTGAGTTCTAAATGGGGATAAGGAACCATTGCACATCCCCGTTTGTCCTTGGGGAAAATGAGAACTCTGCAAAGAGGGACCAAGGGGTGACAGTGGTCCCTGGGCTCAAGCTGTTGAAGGTGCTCTTGATGCTTTTGCTAACGTCGTCTGTCTGATACATAGGAATGACCAACAGGCCGGACCTGATAGATGAGGCTCTCCTGCGACCTGGGCGACTGGAGGTGAAAATGGAGATTGGTAAGTAATTCGAGGGAATGCTCATGGCCACAGGCTGACGGTGTGAACCAGAAAAAGAACCGAAAGCTTGTTCGATTTGAGCAGACTTGCAAATGAGTACATAGGAGTTATCATTGTCACCATGTTTTTGCTGGCCCTTCCCCTCTGCTTTCTGCATGCCAGAGGAGGAGTCTGCAAGCTTCTGTGGTTTTAAATCCTGGCTTGTTCTTGCTAACCATAGTTTAAACAAGCCACAGTTTCTCCAAGTCTGGGTGTCATGGGGAACTGGGGTTAGTTCATTTATTTACTTCATCATCTCTATACTGCCTGATGTTCAGTGGGAGGTTTACAATGTTAAAAATGCATAATATAAAATGAACATCTAGAACAGAGTTAAACATCACAAGATAAAACGACAGAGGAAACAGCAGTGCAAAAGATATTTAAAAACTATAAAAAACACATTTCCACCCCAAACGGCCTTGGTGAATAAAAATATCTTCATCTGATGCTGAAAAGCAGAGGTCCCACCACTGAAAAGGCCCTCTCTTTAGTAGCTGCCTTCCTTAATTCATTTATTGGGTCACCTACAGAAGGGCCTCAGAAGGTGACCTTACAGTCTAGGTAGTAAAAAAATAGTGGTTCACAAATTACAAGGAGAGTGAGCACACAAGCTTGAGAATTGCCAAGGCTCACGCGCATATGTCTGAAATCCACCAATTTGACATCCCATCAGTGCCCTCTGAATGACCCTCTTCATTCTAGATGAAGCTAGAGTGCCATGTGACTTCCTTTCTTCACTCCCAAGAAGCCCACCAGAGCCCTGGGTTTTGGAGAAGGATGGCTTATTGCATTGCAGCACCTAGTATTCCGGCCATGGAACAGCGTTGTTTTCCAATGCAAATAATTCACAGTGTTGATGATCTCGTTTAGGTTTGCCGGATGAAAAGGGCCGGATGCAGATTCTTAACATCCACACCTCAAGGATGCGGACCCACCAGCTGTTGGCCTCAGATGTTGACATTTCGGAGCTGGCTGTGGAAACCAAGAACTTCAGTGGTGCTGAGCTTGAGGGTCTGGTCCGTGCAGCACAGTCCACTGCTATGAACAGACACATTAAGGTTTGTTTCTTCCCTTCAGATGGCATTGGCTATAAATCCAAGATGGATCTTCTGTTGCCTCCCTCTTCCTCCTCCTCCTCCTCCTCCTCCTCCTCCTCCATTCAATAATGCTTCTGAACATCTCCCCTGCCTCGGTTAAAGAAAGAGGTGGACCTTCTCAGATCTCAACCCAGAGCTTCCCTTTCTACTCCCAGCCTCCCACCCTGGGAGATCTTCCCTTCCCAGCCTCTCACACAGAGTCCTTCACCAGCCAACCGTTGCCTTCAATTGTGCACAGTCTCCTCATTAACCCAGAGTAGGGGACAACAAGTAGGAACGCGGGTGGCGCTGTGGTCTAAACCACAGAGCCTAAGACTTGCCGATCAGAAGGTTGGCGGTTCGAATCCCTGCGACGGGGTGAGCTCCCATTGCTCGTTCCCAGCTCCTGCCATACTAGCAGTTTGAAAGCATGCCAGTGCAAGTAGATAAATAGATACTGCACCGGCGTGAAGGTAAACGGCATTTCCGTTCGCTGCTCTGGTTTCGGTGTTCCGTTGCTCCAGAAGCAGCTTAGTCATACTGGCCACATGACCTAGAAAAACTGTCTGCGGACAAACGCCGGCTCCCTTGGCCTGTAAAGCGAGATGAGCACCACAACCCAGAGTCGTCTGCAACTGGACTTAACTGTCAGGGGTCCTTTACCTTTTACCTTTTTACCTTTTTAGGGGACAACAAAAGCAAAGCAAAGCAAAAAATGGAAAAGTAACAGAAAGATTAAAGTAAAAAAGGAACGAGAAAGTAATAAAGGGGAAGGATTCAGAGGTGGGGAGTTGGTTTGCACCTCTCCAGTCACTGAATACAGTCGTACCTTGGTTGACGAACGGCTTAGTTGCCAAACGTTTCGGATATCAGAAGCTGAACGTCGGGTTCACCTTGGTTTTCGAACAGTTCCAGGGAGTCGAACAGACTCCCGGAACGCATTCTGCTCATCAGCCAAAGTATGACTGCACTGGGAACCCTTCCGAATCCCACTGTTGGTGTCTGCACTTTCATAAGACATTGCCACACACTTTTTCTCTGCAGCTCTAAGAAGGGACTAAGATTACATGAGACACAACTTAAGCTTTCAACAGAAGACTCTTTGCTTCTTGCATGTGCTGAACCTATAGATCTGCACAGATTCCTCTTTCTGTGCACAGTTGTGCAGAAAAGTTAAGCATATGTGCCGTGTGTCCGTGTTGCTGTTCAGCTCCCGGAGCTGAGATTTCAAGATGGAATGTAGTTGGTGTTTGTCTCTTCCCCCTGTCCCCCCTTTTTTTTAAGTTGTAAAGGTCACTGTGCCTTTAATAGGAAATGAGTGATGCAGGCTGCGAAATGTCAGAGTGAGAAGGTTAGAGATTAGCTGGAACATGCAAAATAACGGTTTGCTATTGAAGAGTGTTGAAATGCTTATATTATTTTTTTTGTTAGCTTGCCACAGGTGTAGGGCCAGGAATGCACCCTGAAACAGGCAGGCGTTGGTGTAAACGTTTTAATGTTGTGCAGTGATTTCAGGAGGGGGAAGAGTGCTGTGGCCAGTTACTGGCTTGAAAAGGCACCCTAAAGATTTGGTAGCGATGGGGTCCAGACCCTTGGCTCCACTAACATCCCAACCCCCCCCCCCCAAAGCCCTTCAGATTTGCATTACCAAGCTAGTTACCCTCTGCCGGTTTGCTGACCTGCTCACATCCTCAACAGGAACCACGTGAAGACTGTACACCAGCAGTTCTCAACCTGTGGGTCCCCAGATGTTGTTGGACTACAACTCCCATCATCCCTGAGCTCTGGCCTTGCTAGCTAGGGGTGATGGGAGTTGTAGTTCAACAACATCTGGGGACCCACAGGTCGAGAAAGGCTGCTGTACACAAATGCCCCTGTTGTGTAAGAGCACCACAGAAATGAAGGCCAGGAATGGGGAACATGTGCACCTTCAGATGCTGTTGGACAGAACCCGTTTTAGCCCCAGCCAGCATAGCAAAGGACCAGGGGATTATGGGAGTTGCCGTCCAGCAACACCTGGAAGACCATAGAGCTCAGGCCGATGATTCAAAGCAGCCATCTTGACAGGTTCTCATCATTAGAGGGGATCAGCAAAATATGATCGGGTAGGATGCAAAGAGAGATGGAAAGAAAAGGGGAAAGACCCGTGCCATTCTTCTCCCAAGCTTCTTTTTATCCTCAAAAAGGTCTAAACACATTTCCCCCTTCTGTTTCGACGGAAGCTGAGGCTCTTTAGATTTTTGCTGGGCTTCCAAAGAGTCTCGCTTCATGACCTCAGCAGCTTTCTCTGTGAACATGTGCCTCCAGCTGTCTCTCTCTCTCTCTTTTTGGAAATATTTTTTATTCGGTTTTACAAATACAAATTTGTAACAAATACCATTATAGCTCCATATAAAGAGATTCCCCTGAATCTCCGGACTTCCCCTCTATGGGTCCTAATGTCAGCATTTACACCTCCATATCAATCCATTATTCACATATTTTATCCATCCGAGTTATCCATAGTCTTTGTTACCTTACCAGTGAGTTTAAAATCCTGCTAATGTTTCCAACTGCTTACAATGATCTCCTAAGTAAATTATAAATTTTCCCCATTCTTTTTTGAAGTTCTTGTCCTCTTGGGTCCTGAGCTTTCCAGTTAATTTTGCCATTTCAGCATAGTCCATCAACTTGGTTTGCCATTCTTCCTTGGTCGGGATTGTGTCTTCTGTCCATCTCTGGGCTAGTAACATCTGTGCGGCTGCTGTCGCATACACCAATAGTCTTTCCTGGTCCTTTGGGATCTCGGTACCTATGATTCCTAATAAAAAAGCTTCTGATTCCTGCTGGCTATCTCACTAACATACCATCTCCTCTTGTGATTAGGCCACCACCAAAGTGGAAGTTGACATGGAGAAGGCAGAGTGCCTGCAGGTGACAAGGGTAGACTTCTTAACTTCTCTGGAGAATGACATCAAGCCGGTGAGTGAACCCCTTTTAATCCCGCAGACATTCGTGTTGCTCCCCTCTGTGGAAGACCAGAGGCAGGCTTTAATGAACTGACAATGACGTCCTGATTTTGCACCATCTCCTTTTCTTCAACCTGCAGGCATTTGGGACCAATCAGGAGGATTATGCAAGCTACATCATGAATGGGATCATGAAATGGGGTGATCCTGTCACTCGGGTGCTGGATGATGGAGAGCTTCTTGTTCAGCAGGCCAAAAACAGTGACCGAACCCCGTTGGTCAGCGTCCTTTTGGAAGGTTGGTTTCCTTCTCCACATTGTCTTCTCAGCCAGATTAGGACTGGCGAACCTGTGGGTTAAACCACAGAGCCTAGGGCTTGGTGATCAGAAGGTCGGCGGTTCGAATCCCCATGATGGGGTGAGCTCCCATTGCTCGGTCCCTGCTCCTGCCCACCTAGCAGTTCAAAAGCACATCAAAGTGCAAGTAGATAAATAGGTACTGCTCCGGGGGGAAGGTAAACGGCGCTTCCGTGTGCTGCTCAGGTTCGCCAGAAGCGGCTTGGTCCTGCTGGCCACATGACCCGGAAAAACTGTCTGCGGACAAACGCCAGCTCCCTCGGCCTGTAAAGCGAGATGAGCCCAACACCCAGAGTCATCTGTGACTGAACTTAACCGTCAGGGGTCCTTTACCTTTTACCTTTTTAGGGGACAACAAAAGCAAAACAAAGCAAAAAGCACTGTTCTGTCACTGATTCCCTCACTGATAACTTGCCATGGCTCAAGTCAGACATCACGTCAGACCATGATAAGGAAGCTGATTGATGGGATTTCAATTGACAGGATGTGGTATGTAATCAGCCAGCAAACCAAAATCGGAAACCGTGGTTTGAAATGACTTTGCAAACCATGATTCGGACTAACTATGGTTTAGTGGGATGTATGGCTTCAAATAAAGCCATTGCTCCACTGCCACAGACTCCTACAACCTTGAATTCATGAATCTGAGTGTAGCTCTGAACGATGATTTGTCTTTTGTGCAACTGAGAGCACAAACTGTAGATTGGTTGCTTAGTGATGGTTAATGCAAACCATTCTTAGTTCTGACCACCATTGCCATGTTTCTTTGGCCAATGGGATGTGAGGCACACAGAGCAGAATCCATCTTCAAGGCCGCTCAGAACTGCACATTCAGAACTGCAACACTGCTCAATGGGCAGAATAATTTGAGTTGCAATTCAGGCTATGCAATATTCTAGATCATGGGTAGGCAAATTAAGGCCCGGGGGCCGGATCCAGCCCAATCGCCTTCTAAATCCAGCCCACAGACGGTCTGGGAATCAGCATGTTTTTACATGAATATGTGCCCTTTTATTTAAAATGCATCTCTGGGTTATTTGTGGGGCCTGTCTGGTGTTTTTACATGAGTAACATGTGTGCTTTTATTTAAAATGTGTCTCTGGGTTATTTGTGGGGCATAGGAATTCATTCATTCCCCCTCCAAAAAAAATATATAGTCCAGCCCCCCACAAGGTCTGAGAGATAGTGGACCCTGCTGAAAAAGTTTGCTGATCCCTGTTCTAGATCCATGACAAAACAGTAAACAAACAAACAAACAAACAAACCGTGGAAACAAATGGGCATCTTTTCCAAGTGAGATTGGATGGTTTCAGCCCGGACATGCTGAATTTGCTGTTACCTCTTACTCAATTCTGTCTGTTCTGTGATCCTTACAGGTCCCCCACACAGCGGAAAGACGGCCTTGGCTGCAAAGATTGCAGAAGAATCTAACTTCCCATTTATCAAGATCTGCTCTCCAGATAAGATGATCGGCTTTTCAGAAACTGCCAAATGCCAGGCAATGAAGAAGGTATATTTTGCGAATCCCTTCCATGCCACATTTTTTGTTTGATGTCACGGGCATTGTGTCTGTTTCCCTATTACTCCATCAATGTCCTCTGCTACTTTCAAATTTATAAAATGATGCCACAAACTATAGAAAGTTGTGTAGCAAGGTCCCAACCCCCCCCCACAAGGTTGAATAAAGACACTCAAACACCAGTATTTTTAGGTTAACGGGCTAAAAAAGGCCACAACTTTATTGGTTACAGATTATGAGCGGTATTGGCTTAGGCATTGGACCTAACTGACTATATCTGACTCCTGCTCGTCTGCGAGGAGTCCGTGAAAGGTTAACCACCAGTAGGGGGAGTCCTGCTGATGCACATTAACTAGGAGCTCCCCCGGGGTCACCAATAGGGGTCGTGCCTTAGGCCCTAGCCTCCCCAGGCTTCGGACAGGGCCATTTCCCCAGAATCCTTTAACACAGCGGTTCTCAACCTGTGGGTCCCAAGATGTTGTTGGACTACAACTCCCATCATCCCTGACCACTGGTCATGCTGGCTAGGAATGATGGGAGTTGTAGTCCAACAACATCTGGGGACCACACAGGTCGAGAAACACTGCTTTAACGGAATACCCTTCAATGTGCGGGGGAGGTGATGGCACTACCCCCCTTCCTCTCTTCTCCAGCAATATCCCAATGCCCGACCGCCAAACCTTACAAAGTTGTGACGATTTGCTACGAGGTAGGCGAAAACCAAGTGGCGGAGCCACTTTGCCAAGTGGAAAAATTCCTACCAGGCTCCTCAACGGCGACCAACCACAGTCCATAGCAAGGTCAAGAGATGAAATAACCTAAAGGGCAGGAGGGTGGGAAAACTGGAGCAGCTGGAAGCGTGGAAAGGGGTGAGATTCCCGCTGCGTCCTGCTTAAATCAAGCAGGCCACACCCCCAGAGCAATCGGCTTGGTTGCCTTTGCAGTGGCGCAGGCGGGGAACCCCCCAATCGCGCAGGGCTGACCACACCTTCCTAAGGCGGAAGTGGCTTTGTCAAGAATAGACAGTGAGCAAGATCATCTGAACCGATTGCTTGGTTGAATGGAACGCACAAAGAATTAAAGAATGCAGTAAATCAAAAGGAAGATACCTTCCATTTCCCTGGCTTAAGAAGGAAATAAATGCAGTCTGTCTGCATCTATGTAGAACCTTCGCAGAAAGAGAGTAAGATGAAGCAAACATCCCCTAATGGGATGAATACATTCGGCAAAGAAAAGATTGACTTTAGAATCCTAAATATTATTCCATCTCTAGAAAGCGCATATTCCCCAGAGACATCTGAGCCACAGTTAATTCAAATGTGGGGAAATTGTTGCTTTTTAATTGCTTTTCACCAGGATCTGCACTGGGGGAAGGCAGTTTGAAAGAACTGAATACAGACAAGCAGATAGGCGGCTTGGTTTTTCCGAAAAATGGGGGCATTTCCTTTCAAGAATTCCAAACATCTAACAACCTCTCCAGAGGAGGGGAGCAAAATTGCTGGCAATATATAATGTGCATGATATTTCTTCATTAATCTCTGTGTTTTTACAAAAAGACTTCAAAACACCTGTTCTTCAGGCTTGACTGTGCCTGTTCAGGGACAGCAACCATTGCCAAGTTGTTGCTCCTGGAATTTGTCTCGCATTCTAAGAAATCTTTTTTCCACAGCCTTAGAATACGCTGCGTTTTGTATGGACGCCAACCGTGCGTTTGGCTTTTGTCTGCTCCTTCAAAGCAAATAAATAAATCAAATCATGTGTTCACAACTAAGGATTTAATTTCTACCCTTCATGGGTCTCCCCCCACCCTTTAAAGTGCAATCATTGTAGCTAAGAGGTAAAAATTTTAACTTTTCGCTTTCCGAAAAACAGATCTTTGATGATGCTTACAAGTCTCAGCTCAGCTGCGTTGTGGTGGACGACATTGAAAGACTCCTAGGTGAGAGAAGTGGAAGACTGTGAGGGGGTCTTGCATGAGGCATTTTTTGAGGCAAGATCTTCCTTTCTGTAGCCTTTTCCCCAATCCTAGGGCTCTTGTTACTGGAGCACCCGAACCTGACTCAAGTAGGTGGTTGTTGAGAGCAGGCTGAAGCAAAGACCAGAGAAGAACGTTGAAGGCCCTCTGTGCATAGGCAAGAGCCAGTCTCTTATTTGCTTGGGCAAATAATAATAATAATAATAATAATAAATTTTTATTTATACCCCACCCTTTCCAGCCAAGACCGGGCTCAGGGTGGCTAACAACCAATAATAAAAACAAGTTGATTAAAATACAATTTAAAAAGTTTAAAATACAACAGTAAAACATTAGGATGCAGCCTCTTCACAGGAGGAGAAAGGAAAAAGAAAGAGGGGGAGGGAATCAAACTGATTCTAAGCCAAAGGCCAGGTGGAACAACTCTGTCTTACAGGCCCTGCGGAAAGAAATCAGATCCCACAGGGCCCTGGTCTCATGAGACAAGAGCATTCCACCAGGCCGGAGCCAGTGTTGAAAAGGCCCTGGCTCTGGTTGAGGCTAATCTAACTTTCTTAGGGCCCAGGACCTCTAGGGTGTTGTTATATATGGACCTTAAGGTCCTCTGTGGGGCATACCAGGAGAGGCGGTCCCGAAGGTACGAGGGTCCTAGGCCGTGAAAGGCTTTAAAGGTCAAAACCAGCACCTTAAATCTGACCCTGTACACCACCGGGAGCCAGTGCAGCTGGAAAAGCACTGGGTGAATATGCTCCCATGGCAGAGACCCTGTGAGGAGCCTCGCTGCTGCATTCTGCACCCACTGGAGTTTCTGGGACAGCTTCAAGGGCAGCCCCGCGTAGAGCAAATTACAGTAGTCAAGCCTGGAATTACAGTAGTCAAATCTGACATGGAATCCTTTATAGCAGGGCTAGAGAACCAGTGGCAGGTGCAGGTGGCACTGTGGGTTAAACCACTGAGCCTAGGACTTGCTGATCAGAAGGTCGGCGGTCCGAATCCCCACGACAGGGTGAGCTCCCGTTGCTCGGTCCCTGCTCCTGCCCACCTAGCAGTTCGAAAGCACATCAAAATGCAAGTAGATAAATAGGTACCGCTCCAGCGGGAAGGTATACAGCGTTTCCGTGCGCTGCTCTGGTTCGCCAGAAGCGGCTTAGTCCTGCTGGCCACATGACCCGGAAGCTGTACGCCGGCTCCCTCGGCCAATAAAGCGAGATGAGCGCCGCAACCCCAGAGTCGGCCACGACTGAACCTAATGGTCAGGGGTCCCTTTACCTTTAGCTAGAGAACCAGTAGCCCTCCATAGAGTTTTGCACTCCCATCGTCTGTGACCGGCAGCCATGCTGGTTGGCACTAATGGAGAGTGTTGTCGTTGGCATCTGTCCGTCTCGAGAAACGATGGAGTGCACCTCCAGGGGCGAAGTCAAACCGCTGTCTTAACAGCACCCATGTGACCTCCCCAGGGTGCAAGCCTGAGCAGTTTTTATGGAGATCCCAGGCTGCCCAGATGACAAGACGCCCTCTCTTGGCCTCACCGATGTGGTCCAAAGGACAGCAGGGCAATACTTTGGCACCAGCTTGGCTGCAGGAGTTGCCGGAAGGCGCCATCCAACCATCTTAGGTATCCCACTCTGGATTTGTGTAGGGTTTACTCCAGTGTTTCCCAAACATGGCTCTCCAGCTGCTGCTGTTTTTTTGGACTACAACTCCCATCATCCCTAGCTAGCAGGACCAGTGGTCAGGGATGATGGGAATTGTAGTCCGAAAAAGACCTGGAGACCCAAGTTTGGGAAGTGCTGGTTTATTCCTTAGCCTTTTCTTAGCCCAACCAAAGGCAGCAGAGGATTAGGATCAGAGTTCTCTACCTAACTGTGAAGATAACATAGAACGAAAGGGTTTAAGGTCAGTGAGAAAGAGGAGGATTGGTTTGAGAAGATGTTGGGTTATTTGAGTAGGTTTGAACAATTTGGGGCAATTAAAATGCTAAAAGTTAAATAAACCTTGTGGAAGGAGGAGTGTTAAGGTATAGAGAAGCGTACATATGGTTAATTTGAATATGTTATTATTGAATATTATTGAATATATTATTGGATATTTATATTATTGAATATTGTATACCCAATGTATCAGCTGCCTGGGGGGTTTCACTGTTTGTATTTTGGTGGTTGGTAAAAATTATATATATATATATATATATGGATCAGAGTTCTCCTTCTCCTCGATGGGCTGCCTTCCCAGGTTGATGAGCCCCATCTGCCCCTCTCTTCCCTCTATAGCATGTGCAGAAAGAAACCTGTGGCCCTCCTTATGTCCAACTCCTTATGTCAGGAGGACGGCAAGTTTTTCCAGCTCTGCTGCTGTCTCCACAGCCCCTTCCCTTTGGGCTACCCAGAGCTGGGGGACAGCATACAAGCCGAATTCTTGCCTTACGTCCCACCCAGACCTGAAAAGAGTGTATGGTGCTTAGCAGCACTGACCCAAACACCAACATTTGAAACAGAGCCACAATTGAACTTGGTTGGAGCTCAGCGAGTGACCTTGACCCCTTTCCTCTTTCAGATTACGTTCCGATTGGCCCCCGGTTCTCCAACCTGGTGTTACAGGCTCTTCTGGTGTTGCTGAAGAAAGCGCCCCCTCATGTAAGTCTTCATTTCTTGCAGCAGAGCCGAATGTTTGCAAACTGCGTTGGGCACTCATTGAAGGCCAATGGGAAAGCCTATCACAAATGCCTATCGGTTTTGATACGTTCTGTTGTGGTAGATCGTGTGTTTCTCTCCTTGAGCACAGGAGGGCCGTGCAGTATGAGGGAAACCTTCCCGGGCTGGGTGGGCAGGTCTTTCTGACTTTAAAGCCTTAAACGGCCTCGGCCCAGTATACCTGAAAGAGCGTTTCCACCCCCATTGTTCAGCCCGGACACTGAGGTCCAGCTCCGAGGGTCTTCTGGCGGTTCCCTCACTGCGAGAAGTGAGGTTACAGAGAACCAGGCAGAGGGCCTTCTCAGTAGTGGCACCCGCCCTGTGGAATGCCCTCCCACCAGATGTCAAGGCAATAAGCAACTATCTTACTTTTAAAAGACATTTGAAGGCAGCCCCGTTTAGGGAAGTTTTTAATGTTTGATGTTTTATTGTGCTTTTAATACTGTATTCTGTTGTGAGCCACTTAATATTCTGGAACCCCAGCCAGATGGGAGTAGTATAAATAAATTATTATTATTATTAATAATAATAATATTATGAAGTCTTCTGCAGGAAGTGGATCTCAGTCGAATTCTCAGTCGATCCCTTTACCTTTACTACCACAAAGCTGCCAAATCACAGTGAATACAGCCCTTCCTCGTGGATTGTAAGCTACTCAAAGTTTCTAGAGCAAAATCTGATTTGCTTATTACAGTGGACGCTCGGGTTGCAAATGTGATCCGTGCGGGATGCACGTTCTCAACCCACAGCATCCGCAACCCGCAGCGGCGCGTCTGCACACACAAGGGTTGCGATTCAGCGCTTCTGCGCATGCGCAAAGCGGATTTAGCGCTTCTGCGCATGTGCAGCCACCGAAGCTCGAAAGTAACCCATTCCGGTACTTTTGGATTTCGGCAGTCCGTAACCCGAAAAACGCAACCTGAAGTGTCTATAACCCAAGGTATGACTGTATTATTATTACAGTGGTACCTTGGGTTAAGAACTTAATTCGTTCTGGAGGTCCGTTCTTAACCTGAAACTGTTCTTAACCTGAGGTACCACTTTAGCTAATGGGGCCTCCTGCTGCCGCTGCGCCGCCGGAGCACGATTTCTGTTCTCATCCTGAAGCAAAGTTCTTAACCTGAGGTACTATTTCTGGGTTAGCGGAGTCTGTAACCTGAAGTGTCTGTAACCTGAAGTGTCTGTAACCCGAGGTACCACTGTATTATGTTGCCAGCGAACCTACAGAATTTGGATTCTCTAAGGCTGATTCCTGCAGGGTGTGTGTGTGTGTGTGTGTGTGTGTGTGTGTGTGTGTGTGTAAACTTATCAAAGACATCAGACAGCCTCTTCACCTTTGCCTCTTTCAGGCAGAAAGGAGTTTGTGCAAGAGGAACCCAATCGGAGCAGGAACGGCCATATTTGCATTAATTGCTTGACCTCTGGAGACCATGGGGATAACCCCACATAGGCACCTCTGAGCCCCTTGAAGGGAAGGGTTGAGGTAGTGGTGTGACAGATAATTAAGTGTATATTATTCCACACGGTGGCACACTTCTCCAGGGACCTCCCCACACGTCATTGGTGAAGCTCCCGTGTGGAGGTTTTCATGCGGTATTTTTGTTCGGTGAGCAGCTGAAACCAGCTGAATAAAAAAAAAGCCTAGTTTGTGGCGTGACTGCTTCCACAATCCACGTACCAAGAGATGTGAGATGGTTCTGTATGCAGCGGCTGGGTTTTATTATTCCACGTTGCTTGCCAGTCGTGCAGCCTGTCTGTCTTACAGCTTCCTATAAATACCCCCCCACACACACTTCTCTCACAGGGATGAAATCAGATTCTTTTCCTTCCAGAAACTGTTTTGTTGCTCCCACAGAACTCATTAGGAATACAGTGGTGCCTCGGGTTACAAACACCTCAGGTTACAAACAATTCGGCTTACAGACTCCACTAGCCCGGAAGTAGTACCTCGGATTGAGAACTTTACCTCAAGATGAGAACGTAAATCGTGTGAGATTATGTTCAACAACCGAGGTTTGACTGTATGCAATGTTTTTGTAGAGAAAAAAAAGCAAGAGATGTTGCACGTTCTTTGTAGTTCATGAAAATCTTTAATAAAAATTATTTTAAAAAGAGAGAGAGAGAATGGAAATTGCGCGGTGACGGCAGTGGGAGGCCCCACTAGCTAAAGTGGTACTTCAGGTTAAGAACAGGTTCAGGTTAAGAACGGACCTCTGGAACGAATTAAGTTCGTAACCAGAGGTAGCACTGTATTGCCGCTTGCAAAGTACCCAGACTTCCTGGGATTCTTCAGCTTTGCAAACATTTGGTGCAAAGCCATTTTGGGAACCTGACAACCCCATATTCTGTCCCGCTTCCCCTAACCTGCAAAGTGTTACGATATAAGGCGAGAATACGACATACGACACGAACATGATATAAATAGTCCAAGGAGAATTTAAAACGTGACCAATTTGGGTTGTTTTTTTTAATGTTTTTTGTTTCAAAGCTGTTACGAAATGAAAGGGAATCCAATAAAACTCTTTCTTTCTCCCTGCTCTTTTATTTCAGTCAGGTTTCCCTGGGTTTTTGCGAGGGGAAGAGATTGTCGAGGGGAGGAATGGTTGTTTGGGGGGGGGGGAGAGAAGAGAGAGAGGGAGAGGAGACTGAAAAGCGTTGTCTCAGCGGGGAGCCAAGCCAGAGAGAAAAAGGCTTCTCTGAGAACGGAGCAGCAACATCTCGCCAAACCGAGAGGCTAGCTTCATCTACATGCAGAGTCACACAAGGCATTGGATGCTCAGGAACCCCATGGAGGTTTCACATGTGGTTCCCTGCTGGTTCCTCTGAAAAAGCTAACAATTGGGCTCGGAGGGTGAAAGCCCCTTGCGGTATCTCTCCCCACCCCCTTCCCAACTCCCCCCAAAGCCGTCCTTAAGCTGGACAGACAATTTGGTCAGTGTTATAAGAAGTACGGTGGACTCTTTTTTTTGGGGGGGGGGGCGTGCTCCCTAGAAAGGCCTGCTTAAGACTTCTTCCCCAGTTTTTCCCCTGCACGATTTCCTCAGGGAGGCAGAGGGAAGAAACGAGGATTGCCGTCCTTGCGTTACTCCAAAGTTTTAGCGCAGCGACGGTCCATCTAAGGACCTTGGAGATGCTAAGGGTGTCGTCGTCGTCGTCCGCCCCCACCCCCTGTGCCCGCAAAGCTGCATTTGCATGTATCTTTGGAAAACTAAACAAAAACTGTGTTAGGTCCGGCCTTTAACTGCTTCCTTTCCGTAGGGCCCGCTCACTTTAAATTCTGCTGCGGTCCTTGCAGTTAAAGTGACCCTGCAGTCCCTTGCAAGAGACTTGCGGGCTTCTGCGTCTGAAAAAGCGACGCTCTCTAGACCTGTGTTTTTAAAATAAGCTGTTGCCAGGACATCTGAAGTTCTGCAGAAGCTGTTTCCCGGTTGAAACGCCGGCCTCAGCATTCAGCGCAGAGACGCTGCCAACGAACTTGTAATCCGGAATTTTAGTGGATGTTGAGACCCCTGTGAAATCTAGAAACCGATATTGGAAATGCCAAAAGCAAAAAAAAGAAGAAGCTAAACCATGCTATAATGAAGGAAAAGGATGATCAACTATGGGATTTTTTCCCCTGGCGTTTCCACTCGTGTTTCAAAACTATTTGTGCTACATGCTCTTTGATGAACCCAGATGGGACATGTTAATTGACTCAGTGCTCCTAGGTCTCTGTTTAATACATCATTTCTGTTTATTTATTCCACCACTACTTTGTTGCTGTTTAGTGGTTTAGTCGTGTCCGACTCTTCGTGACCCCGTGGACCAGAGCACGCCAGGCACTTCTGTCTTCCACTGCCTCCCGCAGTTTGGTCAAACTCATGCTGGTAGCTTCAAGAACACTGTCCAACCATCTCGTCCTCTGTCGTCCCCTTCTCCTTGCGCCCTCCATCTTTCCCAACATCAGGGTCTTTTCCAGGGAGTCTTCTCTTCTCATGAGGTAGCCAAAGTATTGGAGCCTCAGCTTCATGATCTGTCCTTCCAGTGAGCACTCAGGGCTGATTTCCTTCAGAATGGATAGGTTTGATCTTCTTGCAGTCCATGGGACTCTCAAGAGTCTCCTCCAGCACCATAATTCAAAAGCATCCATTCTTCAGCGATCAGCCTTCTTTAAGACAACTGTGCCGCACTTAAAATCTGATCATTAGGGTTGATTTTTTTTTGTCTAGAGGCAAGCACAGGTTTGAGAACCCTACACTTTTTTGCCATAAATTGGCTCCTGTGATTCACAGGAAAGTATAGGCAGACAAAGGAAGGTGTGTAACTAACCCCTGCCCCACTATTTCCCCTGCCTTGATGAAACATGTACTGTATGCGCCTGAAAGTTGCTTAGCCCCCTCCAACTGCCTCTCACCTCTCCCCCAAAGATTGCACCTACTGTTTGGCAGCAAAGGCTGCTGGCTGAGGTTCCCAGTTCTTTATCCCCAAAGGTTTAGACTGGCTCCTTCATTTCACGGTTTTTTGTTTTGTGGGGGAAGAGGACAGGCTTACGATCCCATGCGAGTTGGACCACAGAGCAGTTCTAATAATGTAATGTTTTATTGAGCACGTTCCCCGTTCAGATGAAGGGCGTGCCTGACAACCCACTCTCGACATTTTTCAGCAAGCGTTTGATAATCCAGCTCACCAGCAGGCACGTTTAAACTCTGCGACCTTCCTTCCCGCTGGCACCACTGTATCGTTTTACGGGTGGGCTCCATCTTTCGTCGCAGTGATCTCTTTTTATGGCTTTCTGCTTTTCAGCAAGGCTGTTTCTCGTTCGGATGTTTCCCCATTATTCTGGGTTTATAATGGGGAGGAGAACTTGCCAAAGCAGTAGCTCAGGTGCTGGGCTCCTCTTGAGAAACAGGAAGGAAATTGATTTGTGAGAAGGTGGCACTTCTTTCTTTTTTATAATATTTTTTATTAATTTTAACATATAAATTATAAAATGTACCACAAAACTTATCACTTATACAATTTTTTTAGACTTCCATCAGCACCTCTGATGATCCACCGTTTTAACCACTTCTTATGCATTTCTTAACTTTATATTGCCTTTACATCTCTTAACAAATCATCCTCCCCCTTGTCCGTTTTTACAATACTTCTAATAATACTCCTCACAAAACTTCTTGCAACCCTACAAGCGTCATCTGTTCTTCACAATTACTTTTCAAATAGTCCGTAAATTTACTCCAGTCTTCCGTGAATTTCTGGTCTCGCCGGTTTTGAATCCTTCCTGTTAGTTTATCTAATTCTGCATAGTCCATTAACTTCATCCTCCAGTCTTCAATCGTCGGTAACTCTTCTTGCTTCCATTTTTGGGCCAATAATATTCTTGCTGCTGTTACTGCATATAAAAAGAGCTTACATTCCTTTCTATTTATGTCACTCCCCACAATGCCCAATAAAAATGCTTCTGGTTTTTTTATAAATGTATATTTCAACATTTTTTTCAACTCATTATATATCATCTCCCAGAAGCATTTCACCTTTTTACATTCCCACCACATGTGATAAAATGTTCCTTCTTTTTCTTTACATTTCCAACATTTATTACTGACTTTATACATTTTCGCTAATTTAACAGGTGTAATATACCATCTATACATCATTTTCATCACGTTTTCTTTTAGGGCATTGCATGCAGTAAATTTTAAACCGAGAAGGTGGCACTTCTTTCATTACTTACTGGGTTCCCCTCGAGATCTTTCAAGCAGAGGCACAGACTTCTCTTGGGTTATGGCCTATGATCTCCAACTTAGCCCTCTAAATGTCTCACGGGGGGGAAAGTAGATGTGTTTCAGAATCAGGAACTGATAGAGTTTAGAGCAAAGCTTCAGCATTTTTAGCCCTTTGTGTGTGCTAGGTCCCAGTCTCTGGTTTTTCTGCGCAAGAACAACCATTATTTTGTCTTTCTGTGGCTGTTGGAGAAGCTCATAGGCAACAGAGTGCGGCCACTTTTCTCACTATTAAAGGTTAATACAAGCTGCGCTACAAGCGTACATAGGCTGTATGGAAATGTTCAGTGAAGAGCAGTTTCAAAATACTGGGAAATAAATGTAAATAAACACAAACTATGGCTGGGTGGTTGTTGTCTTCATATCCATCCTCCTTAAATGCTTTTGTAGGTCTCTGGTGGGCTTCTATTAGAAATGGAAGTCTAGGTCATTTATTAATATTATTAATAACACAAAACAAAGTTTAATAATAATAATAAAGAATAATTGCATTTGTTAGTTGGGGTTTACCAAAAGGTCTCAAAGCAAGATAAAATGCAACAGTTGGAAACTTAAAAGCAGGAAAATTTAAAACTATGTATAATGCTAGATGTCTAAAACGCCTATCTGGTAATACAATAACAATGACTTCCTCTTATGATTTTTCCCCCTTCTCTCTCCTTGTGCTCTTTTTAAATGCGCAGGGTCGTAAGCTCTTGATCATTGGGACCACCAGTCGCAAGGATGTCCTGCAGGAGATGGAGATGCTGGATGCTTTCAGCACAACTATCCATGTTCCCAATATTGCTACAGGAGACCATCTCATGGAAGCCCTCGAGGTCAGGAGGCACCTGGGAATGGCTGGGGAAGGGAGCTGAGAGAGGAGCTCGATTTCTTTGGGGCTGTAGGAATGGGAAGATCTGGGCAAGCTGAGAAGTTGAGTCCCTGGCTACTGCCTGCAGTGGGCCCAAAAGCCTGGGAAAACTGACTAGTTGAGTCCCTGGCTACTGTCTGCAGTAGACCCAAAAACCTATTGTGGAGTTGTGGCATGAACATTTCAGCATTCATCCTGGAATTGAGAAGGGAATAGGGGGCAATTGGCAATACATTAATCTCCCATCATCGTCTGGTTGGGTAAACCATCACCTGAACCATTTCCAGATGTTTTGGGGGCATTTACTTGGTCAGATTTGTTAATGCCCAATCTTTCAGCCCCGGGACTTTCACTCCTTTTTTCCCTTCGTGATCTGCCATTGTGCGTGAGTCTCCAGGCCCCCACCCCAAAGGTCCAAACTGGTTTTTGCAAAATATTGGAGAACTGTGCTATATAACACCACAGCTCTGGAACCTGGGGGGTGGGGGGAAGGAATCGATAAATCAGCTTTGCTACTACTTGTAAAGAAATGTCAATCTCTGAGTTATATGAATATAAGGAGACGTGAAAGACAGGCTTAGGCACCGGGTTTATATAACCTGAAATGAAACTGTTACGAATGGAACAATGAATACTAGGACTGTGACTTTTAATCAATTAATTGATGGCAGAATAAAAAGTGTCCTTAATTAGTAAATCAGCATTCAGATGTACATGATCTTTAAATACAAGTACCATATTTTTTGCTCTATAAGACTCACTTTTTCCCTCCTAAAAAGTAAGGGGAAATGTGTGTGCGTCTTATAGAGTGAATGCAGGCTGCGCAGCTATCCCAGAAGCCAGAACAGCAAGAGGGATTGCTGCTTTCACTGCGCAGCGATCCCTCTTGCTGTTCTGGCTTCTGAGATTCAGAATATTTTTTTTCTTGTTTTCCTCCTCCAAAAACTAGGTGCGTCTTGTGGTCTGGTGCGTCTTATAGAGCGAAAAATACAGTACTTATAAAAACTGTGGGTGACACACTCAAACTTTTAAGAAGCATGTCCCTTATATAGCAAACAGAGCCCTTGTCCTTTACAGTTTACTTCCAAGTTTTGGGTCCTAGCTGCGGAATCTGGAATCATTTGCTGTTTCGTTTCGGTTTTAGAAAAAAGCAACCCTCCCCCTCAAAAACCCACCCCTGTTCATTTGCAGGATTATGCTTAGCCTCTCCAGATAGTCTTCTAAGGACTACATACCACGTTGGTCATTCTGCAGTAATAAATCTGTTCAATTTAATGGGAGCACCTATGAGGGAGTACAGAAACTTCCCCCCCCAAAGGTGAATCTGTGGAGAGAAAAATTGTGGGGAGCACAGGCACAGCTCCTGTACTCATAGCTGTGGGAGTGGCTAGTGGCCTCAATTCTTCTGCAACACACAGTCCCGTTCCCCCCAAATTTCTTTGCTCTGCTCTGCTCCTGGGAGCTGCTTTGGTCTGTGAGGAAGTTGTAAATATTAAGAGGCAAGTTCGTTAACCTTCGGCATGCAGATTGCACAGAAGAAGTTCCTGCTTCAGGGGCTGTAGAGGAGCTTCCTTGTGGCCCAGGTCCTCTTCTGTTCCCACCTGATGCTGTACTGGACCAATTTCCCTGTCCTTATGGCTTGTGTGATCCGATACGCAGGTGGCGCTGTGGGTTAAACCACAGAGCCTAGGACTTGCCGATCAGAAGGTTGGCGGTTCGATTCCCTGCGACGGGGTGCGCTCCTGTTGCTTGGTCCCTGCTCCTGCCAACCTAGCAGTTTGAAAGCACGTCAAAGTGCAAGTAGATAAATAGGTACCATTCCGGCGGGAAGGTAAACGGCGTTTCCGTGCGCTGCTCTGGTTCACCAGAAGCGGCTTAGTCATGCTGGCCACATGACCACATGTACGCCGGCTCCCTCGACCAATAAAGTGAGATGAGCGTCGCAACCCCAGAGTCGGCCACGACTGGACCTAATGGTCAGGGGTCCCTTTACCTTTACCTATGGCTTGTGTGATCCGATACCTGTGCGCTTGATCAGTAGACAGATCCTTTACGACATTGCCATTCAGTGAAGTAAGAGGCTCTGCGATGGAGAGTTTGGTGCATGGAGGATCAATTTCAAGTTCTGTAGCAGTGCGTAGCATCTTGCCAATGTTACCTGTCTTACTTGCTTGTTAGACAAGGTCTTCCATTGAGTGCTGGGCTTTTCTTAACGCCGCCGGCTTCTCTCTTCTGTCCCCTCGCAGCTCCTGGGCAGCTTTAAAGACAAGGAGCGTTCCACCATTGCCCAGAACGTCAAAGGGAGGAAGGTCTGGATTGGCATCAAGAAGCTTCTGATGTTGATTGAGATGTCAATGCAGGTAAAGTACCTTGCCCTCTGGTCAAGCCAGAGTCTGGAACTGGATTAGCTGTGGGGTAATAAGACACCCACTTGGTTTTGCCTCTCTCAATTCCCAGGGGCTCAAAGCTCTTGGCAACCTAAACACCCACACATTAAAATGTCAGTAATGATTAAGCTAAAAAAAAAAAAAATAGCAGCATGTACTGCAGGGTTTGCTTCCTAGCTGCGATTTAGCAGTTCAAAAACTACAGACCCTGTCCAAGAACTAGCCATCTAGTCTGTGCATCTTTTTCTTCTCTTCAAATTAGATGGGCAAATTGACCACGGAGGACAGGCTGGATTTGCCCCTCCCTGGCGTTTTTCTCTAGCGTCGGAAAAGGAAGATTTCCTTAGCGGCTTTTGTTTTTTTTTACAATAATATTTATTAAATTTCATCAGTAGACATAACAAAAAAGAAAATATACAACAACACAATAGAAAAAGTGAAAAAGAAGGGGGGGAAAGTAACAAACTTAAGATACCTAAACAGAAAAAAAGAACCTCAATTAATTCATTAAAATGCATTTTCATAAACATTTTGGTTGACTTCCTCTAATCTCCTCCATCTGAATTTCCTCTTAATTTGAATGCAGCAGTTTCCAATATCATTATTTCATAAAACAATATTACAGTCGTATTCCAATTTCTTTACCTTTCTTATAATACATTTTTTCCTTAGCGGGTTTTTAGCTCTCTTGTTGTAGCATTTTGAAAGCAGCTGGAGCCGCAGCTAGACGACTGCTTTGCAAAATAATAACTTGCGTGAAAAGGCCGCTATCCAAATTAATGCATCCTGTCAGTGCAAGGATTGCTGCTTGCGCAGTGGGACTCTCCCCTGCCCACCGCCCGCCCCCACTTCAAATCTGCTCTGAAGGGTGGGAGGAACCCCTAGAGAAGATTTACAGGGGCAGTTCTGTTGCCCAAGCAAAACTCCTTGCGCCGATGGACCAAGTTACTTAGCACTACAGTGGTACCTCGGGTTACATACGCTTCAGGTTACATACGCTTCAGGTTACAGACTCTGCTAACCCAGAAATGGTGCTTCAGGTTAAGAACTTTGCTTCAGGATGAGAACAGAAATTGTGCTCTGGTGGCGCCGCGGCAGCAGGAGGCCCCATTAGCTAAAGTGGTCCTTCAGGTTAAGAACAGTTTCAGGTTAAGAACGGACCTCTGGAATGAATTAAGTACTTAACCCGAGGTACCACCGTACTTTGGATAAAACACAAATTGTTTTCCCTCCCCGTCACTAGATATGTACAGTGGTACCTCGAGTTACAAACGCCTCAGGTTACAAACTCCGCTAACCTGGAAGAGTTACCTCGAGTTGAGAACTTTGCCCCAGGATGAGAATGGAAATCGTGTGCCAGTGGCACAGCGGCAGCAAGAGGCCCCATTAGCGAGAGCACGCCTCTAGTTAAGAACAGTTTCAGGTTAAGAATGGACCTCTGGAACGAATTAAGTTCATAACTAGAGGTACCACTATATGTAAGATGGGGAACCTGCGACTCTCCTAACGTTGCTGGATTTCAGCTCCTATCAGCCCCAGCTGACGTAACCAATGTTCTGTTGATAGGAATTGCATCCAGGCAACATCTGTAGGGCTGCAGGTTCCCCATCTCTGATAAATAACAGCAGAAGATAGGTATACTGATGGCTACTTGAACAACAGCTGGATGGAATTGTTCATATATAGAAGCAGTATGCTTCTGGATGTTGCAGGCAAACAGGGAAAGGCTATCCATCATCGCCAAATTTAGCCACTGTTGGAGTTCAGAATATTGAACTTTGGCCTGGCCCAGCAAGCAGTTCTTACTTGGGGTTCAGTGATGAAGCTTGCCCTTTTGCACACGTTCAATTTCATTTCACTTTTAATCTGTATGCCGCCTTTCGATATTACAAGGTGCTTTGCAAGCCGAAGAAAGAGCTTAAATAGACAGCAAAGATCACACACCTAATGACAATCTGATCCAATACGGAAAAGTCATAATTTCAGTTTAACACCTTGGCTTCTCCGGCTAAGGGATCTCTGGCAGCAGGGAAAGATCTCTGCTTGCAGATCTGCTGCTCGCTGGAGCCAACAAACCTGGGCGTGATGGACCAGTAGCTTCGTATGTTTATATTCTCGCCGTGTTCAGCACCATCCCGGTCTGAGTCTTTTGCAGACTCCCGGGAGTTGTGCTTTTTTCCCTTCTGCTCCAACTTTGATGGGAGCTCAAAGGGAGGCTATCCCAGTGTATAGTGCCCTCTGTCATCCGCGGGCAGTGCCTCTGTACCCTTCTGGGACCGAGCCCTGTCTTCAGGTGCTACTAAATGAAGAGATTCCTCGCACCTTCCTGGGACAGGCTTCCAGGCGCAAGCCAAGAGGCAAGCAGTTCGGCAATGTGTTAAGCCCGTCCCCCGCCCCTTCCCTGTGGCTCGTTCTCTGTGATTCTGTTGAAACTTGCACAGGGCTGGGGATCTGCTCTGACTGGATGTCACCCGAGGGTACAGAGTCATTTATCTAGATTACTTTCCCCCCTCTCTCTTCCCCTTGACTCTTTAATTCCATACCCGCAGGCAAAAGTCAGTAAGTTATTGCTCACACCTATTAAAGTGTATATAATGGGCAGAGATCTGCAAGGTTACGGCCAATTTCACCCTTGTCGGGGCGCTTTTTAAAGTTGGATTAGAATTGTGGACGTGCATCCAAAAAAATATTTATTTTTTGGCAGCGGGGTGGCGGGCGGCAGGATTTGAAGTTTAGGGCCTTTCGTTTCCAAGATGCAATGTTTCAGAGGTGGGACAGTGGTATTGTGAGAGAAGAAGGGGTCTGAATGAAGACAGGAGCCGGAGTCAAATTGTATCGCACGTTCCTTGCGACTGCAATTTCCTAGTGGTGGAGGTGTTTATTCCTGGAAGGCAGGTGGCCTTTGACTTTCCTTGCTACTCCTAGAATATGTTCAGAAACCTGAGTGTGCTGCTTTCAGTGAGGTAGCATCCTATAGTCCAAAACTGGACTTGAAACAAGACCAAATTAAGTTTGCACCCCTGTGGTTGAGATATTTTTGAGGGGCTTTAGGGGACAGGGAAAGAAGCATGCTTTTTCTGCACTGACAAGAAGGAGGAAAGTAGATTTATTATATTTGGAGCCAAAGCTGGTGGCACAGCAGCCAAAATAACTCACATAGTAGGTGATATCAATGGTCCATCCAGTTTGCCATTGTTTCTTCAGCCCCTGCCCAGCCAGATGACCCAGGAAACTTCATAAACTGAGCCTGACAGCAACATTGTCCTATTTTGGGGTATTCCCCACAAAGTGAAGAGTTGAGTGCATCTCCAAAAAAGAGTGACTACTTTGGGGTGTTCAGCAGCTTCTCTCCCACCTCATCCTCCTTCGCCACAGACTTTGGGTTGGTATTCTAACAAACGAGAGTAGCAAAATGCTTCAACTCGAATCGCAGGATCCGAAGGGCTCCCAAGGACTGGAACAGTCTGTTTTTGAAAGCTCCCCCAGCTTCAAAACCATGTTGCCTTAAAGGGCTGGTGGTAATGGGAGTGAGCACTGCAGTTTAAAAAAATGGGAGCCCCAAGTCCTCTCCGGCAAGTGGAACTGGTTTTGTGGCTCTTTGCATGCTGGCCGTAACACCTTCTACAAATCGGTTTATCAGAAAAAAGCCATTGACGATTATCCTGACTGCTCATCACGACCCATAAGTTGCTTGCTTGCATTAAAATGTGGCTTCTAAATAATCACACAACCAATCTTGAATTTCATATCTGGGTCAGAATTTTAGACCCCAAATTTATAGCACTATAAGTATTGGAATTTAATGTGAACACTTTTTTTTTTAAGATCACCTACAGATGTTAGATTCCTTACATTTTTCCAAAGTGAAAAATTACAAAACTTTTTAAATAGGCTGTTGCAAGAACCCCTTGCATTAGTTTGAGGGTATTAATGGGGGGGGGCGACCCCTCATGCTAAGTTTCCCCCCTCCTCACTGGGGTGCAAAAATTCAGTCACTTACTGGCACCTAAAAAAAATTGGTCTGATCTACTGGGTTTCTGAAGTAGGCTGCAGCCCTTTGAAATGTTGACGTGTTAAAGGCTCATTCAGAAGCGTGAAGCATTATTTGTAAGGGGCTGCTTGCTTTCCACTGACAAAACCCAGGTTTAGTAGGGATTCCCTGCAGACTCCATATTTGAGGGGAATTTGAAAAATCTCACCTCACGCCTTCCCTTCCTCTGTCTTCCAAGGTGTTGCCATGTGTTGCATCCACACTGCTCAGACCCTTCAGCATCTCGGTCTGCTAAATTGTGCCCTGTGCAAATTTCCAGGCTTGTGCAAAGAACCGCAGAATACAAACTTGAGTTTCAAGAGAGGCAGCACAGTGTAACGGTTATAGTGTTCAGCTAGAACCAGGGTAAGGTAAAAGGTAAAGGATTCCCGCGACGGGGTGAGCTCCTGTTGCTCTGTCCCAGCTCCTGCCAACCTAGCAGTTCGAAAGCACACCAGTGCAAGTAGATAAATAGGTACCACTTTGGCAGGAAGGTAAACGGCGTTTCCGTGTGCTCTGGCTTCCATCACGATGTCCCGTTGCGCCAGAAGCGGTTTAGTCCTGCTGGCCACATTACCTGGAAAGCTGTCTGTGGACAAACGCTGGCTCCCTTGGCATGAAAGCGAGATGAGCGCTGTAACTCCATAGTCACCTTTGACTGGACTTAACCATCCAGGGGTCCTTTACCTTTTTTTAAAAACCAAGAACCAGGGAGTCCCAAGTTCAAAGTCCCACTCAGCTATGAGTGTCTTTGGGTCGAATCATTGCCTCCCAATCTTACCTACCTCACAGGGCTGTTGTGAGGATGAAATAAGTGTGTGTGTATGTGCGTGCGACCACAGTCTTGAGCTCATGGAAGAAGGAAGATATAAGCCTAAGAATAAATAATAAGACAGTTTTGAGTTGGTTTAGCCGCAACTGCCCTCACCTGCTCCTTGTCCCTTCAGCAAGGTGAGCTTGCTGTGGTTCACTGGTTGATTTTGTCTCTCTCTTTGTGTCTTCCCTTTGAACTTGCGAAGATGGATCCGGAGTACCGCGTGCGAAAATTCCTGGCACTTCTAAGAGAAGAAGGAGCGTAAGTGACAGTAAGAGCATCTGACAGGGGTGTGTCCGCTTATTCTTGCCTAATCTGCGTGCATGCTTAATAACTCGCCATGTGCCATTGGCCCAGGCCAGAATTTTAGCAAGAGTCCTTTTTGTAAACCTTGGTTTTACAAAAAGAAAAAAGGTTCATCTTCGTCCTTGGTGGCTGTTTAAATTACTCCATTCCTGCTTCATCCTACTTTCGAGGTTTGGGGTTTTTCTTCTTATTTCAACATTTTGCTTATTCACCGGTGACATGAGTGTGTGCAAAAATCTGTTGCATCCATTCGTGTGTGTGTGTGTGTGTGTGTGTGTGTGTGTGTGTGTGTAAAAAGGGAGGGAGTTTTGTGGCTCAAGCTTGCATAGGAACCATATTATTATTATTATTATTATTATTATTATTATTCATATGTGTATATCACCCTATACCTGCAGGCCTCAGGGTGGTCACAGCATAAAATCACAGTATAAAAACAAACAATACATAATAAAAACAAAAACCAGAATAACCCAATAATTCCCTCCTCTCCAACACATTTTAAAAGGGCATTGGATGTCAGTCAGCCCAAGGCCCAGTTGAAGAGGAACCATTTCGCCTGGCACCTGAAGGTGTATATTGAAAGCGCCCGGCAAACCTCCCTGGGGAGAGCGTTCCACAAATGGGGAGCCACTGCATAGAAGGCCCCGTTCTTATGTTGCCACCCTCCAGACCTCTCGAGGAGGAGGCACACGAAGGAGGGCCTCAGAAGATGATCTCAGGGTCCGGGTAGGTTCATATGGAGAGAGGTGGTCCTTGAGGTATTGCGGCCCTGAGCCGCTTAAGGCTTTGTAGGTCTAAACCAGCACTTTGAATTGGGCCCGGAAGCTGATAGGCGTGTCATTTATCCTTTCTGTATAGCCATACTTTTTGACCCCCACAAAGCCCCTTGTTTTCATATGTCTTTTGGCTTGGCTTTGACATCATTGTGAGGGAAAGTGCTCTGAGCATGAGCGGCTAAGAGCAGCTGATGCACTGCCTTATAACCGAACCCCTGGCCACTAATCTGGGTCACCGGCAGACTGAAACTCAAGATTAAATGCCGCGAGCTGAGCACCGTTCCTCCTGCTCTGCTCTGTTTCAGATTGCAGTTGTGGGGAGGAGGGTTGTGTTCAGACCCCCTGCATGTAGAAAAGCAGCACACCAAGGAGGAAGCGAAACTAGACCCTTTCCTCCGTCACATGGAGGGAGGTTCTGATGGAGGGGAATTTACAATCATGCCTGTTCCCTCCCTATGAAGATGTGCACACCCAGATGGCTGTACCACGTGGATATTTTTGAATGTGTTGGGCTCTGGAGCCATTTCTCTTCCAGTTTTCCCCACGCACATCTAGTCGCAGGGCACGGTCCGCCTCTGGGCCAGCGAGTCTGTAGATTTAGCTCTTTCACAGCGGAAGCGGTGATTCCTGGAAGAGCTCCCATAAGGGGCTAGAAGAGAGGTATAGGCAAATGCGTTCACACGCGGCTTCGTGGGTTCAAGGGAGGAGTTTCCGCAGACCTCTGGTTTAGATTCGGACCCGATTCTGTACCTCTCCGGGGTGAGATAACACGAGAGAGATTCTGCTAAAGATATGGGTCGCCTGCTTTGGGGCTGTTATGTTTCCCCATAGCCTGCTCCAGGGCAGAGCCATAGCCCGCTGAACCTCTTTCTTTTTGCAGCTTGGAGGATTAATGCCTGATGCACGGCCATCTTTGTGACTCCGCATGCGCTTCCCATCTCTGGATGTCCAGCTGTGTGTGCGACTCACCACCCCTCCCCCAAGATATGCCCGCCCTTTGTGGAACCAGTTGCCCTCTTTTCCTTTGCAGCAGCCCGCTGGACTAAGAGGGAAACCCGGAGCCTTGGGCAGAAGCCGTGGCTGGGGAAGAAGCCAAGCGAGAGCCTCCTCCTCCTCCTCTTCCGTGTGGTGTGTCTGGACAAGAGCCTAACGTTCGGCCTCCTTCAGAGACTCCCCTCATCCCTCCTCTTTGCATGTCGGACGCAGCCGAACACTCCGCCCTTTGTTATCTATCGTCCTCGATATCCTGGTGTCTCGTGGCAAATCAAAACTCTCTATCTAGAGTAACTGCTTTCGTATTATGCTGCCTGCCGCACCTGCTCACTTGGTTTTGGCGCACAGGGGGGAGGAAAACGAACGTGCCCCATGCAGACCTGTCCGTGTTAACGCGCAAGCTGGTGATAGCTCCCAGGCCCCAAACACAGGGAAATCCTCCTCATTCCAGACCTGTGTATGGTCCTTCTTAAAGCTGCTGGTACCCCAAGTTCCCCCTTTCTCCCACACATTCACACAAGTGGTTTGGTCCTCATGGGCCAATACCGCGCTGTGGAGCTTCAGACTCGTCCCAGGGGAAAACGGTGAATGAAGTATTCATCACAAGACCAGGATCCAAAGAGAGTTTTTAGGAAAGAGGGGCAATGGTGGCTGCACCCTTCAGAGGCTCGACAACATTTGCAGTGGCGGCGGCTAGTTAATTCCCAGCGGCCACTGGGCGTGGAAGAACCCAGCCGGACTCTGGTGCACTAAGGCAGGGGTAGACAGCGCAGGGCTACCCCAGTGCTGTTGGACTTCAGCTCCCATCATCCCTGACGATTGACCATGCCGGCTGGGGCTGATGGGATTTGTAGTCCCCCCCCCCGGCATGGGCTATCCCTTCACTAATGGTTTCCTATAAAACAGGCAGCGTGGTCCCACCCGTAGATGCAGACAGCTTAGTATTCCTGCAAAACTTTGAAAACAGCCTGCAGCTTTCTGTTGCAGCGCCCTTCCTCGCTGGAGTCTGGCCCCTTGTGATGTCGCGCAGATCTGTCACAAGAGGCCTGGTGTGCAGTTTCTTCCGTATGCGGTTGCCATAGGCATGAGCGCATAGCAATCTTCCTAAGTGGCTACCGGAGACCTTGGTCTCTGCCGTCGGCTTCTTGCTTTTCAGCGTAGTGGCATCACAAAAGCGGAAAGCTGTTACGCTTCTTCCAGAGAGGCTTCCTTTGCTGTGCACTGCAATAGTGAACCAATAGTCCCATTTGCTCTTGGGAAACCACCAAGCGACGTCGCGCTTGTTTACGTTAGAGCCGGATGAGTTCTTCCACCTATCGTCCGGCTGCATTTTATTGCAGAGCTTGCCACCTGGATCCTGCCCGTCCCATCGAGAAGTTTCCCCGCCGTATCGGCAACAATTGCCCGGCCGGTTTGGGAGTGAGAGGGGTGCACGTAGTATCGAGTTCTGCTAAGCCCATAGGGACAGGAGGGTAAAAAACTAATTACGGAGTTTCTGCTTCCTCTGAATCGGCTCTTAACACTGCTCTGTAGAAATACAGGTGGTTTAATGGCCCTGAATAATCTTCCTCCACCTCATCCACAACACAAGTGAGTGGCTGGACCGATCTTCCGTCTTGCTGAAACCCCCCTCTATATCACTGACGGGGTCCTCATTCCCCACCTCTCCCAAGTTGCTACAATCAGGCAGCTGAAAACTACACTTGACTCCTTTCCGCCCTGTGCAGCAAAAGGAAAACAGTTGTGGTAGAAGTTGCTGCAATGTACTTGAATCACAATGGATGCATTTATTATAACGTGGGTTAGCAGCTTTATCCTCTTTTTTTAGTTCCACCCCTCTGTTATTAGTGTTGAGGATTATGTGAATCCCTGGTGGAGCTGTAAAATCCCCTCTTCAGTTGTGTGATTGCTCTGTTTCCAGCTGCACCTTTGCCTCCACCCCCCTCCCCACCCGGCCCAAATCTCAAGAACCTTCTCCTTTCTCCAACTTCTTTCATCTTCCAGTGAAAGGGAAACACACATGTTGTATTTAACGTAATGTCTTGGAACCAAATGATGTAAAACATTTTTATTGTGTGGTTTTTTTTCTTCTTTTTTGTCCAAAGCTATATTCACAGAGAGAGAGAAAAATACAAATATATATGTATATATCGATTGATTGTATGTTTAAAACGCAGGTGAACTGATGCAATAAAAAGGCACAGATATTCAGGTGTTTGGGTGGTTTGTGAACGGCGCAGGAGATGAGCGAGTCGTTTGGTTCTCCTTGGAATGTCTGCGCAATCCAAAAATGCAGCAGTGCTGCAGAAATGTTTAAACTAGCTTGTTGCAATGTAAAGCTTTAAAGGCCAGAGCTTCGTTCAGCAGATATGTGGCTTGAGAGTGTCCCTATTTTCACTGGAGAAAAGTTGGAGGGTATGAGAAGCGTGCGTGTACAGTCATACCTCGGAAGTTGAACGGAATCTGTTCCGGAAGTCCATTCAACTTCCAAAACCAAAAACGCGGCTTCTGATTGGCTGCAGGAAGCTCCTGCAGCCAATCGGAAGCCACGACGGGCGTTCGGCTTCCAAAAATTGTTCGAAAACCGGAACACTCACTTCCGGGTTCCGAAAGGGAGCCGATTTGTTTGGGAACCAAGGCGTTCGAGATCCAAGGTACGACTCTGTATGGAAGCAGTACCTGGAGGGTACATTCTCAAGGTTGGGTACCACTGATGCCAGAGATGCAGAGGGTCCTGCTTAGTCAACTAGATGAGGAGCAGAAGGCCAGGATTCCAGGATTTATACCAGCCCTGACCTTATACACAGGCCTTACACTTGCCATTTGCAAGTGTTGCTCGCTCCAGTTCCCTTTCATAGCTGAAGAGGGTTCTGCCACCTCAGCATCCCTGGTGCCAGGAAATTTTAGGTTAGGACTCCAAGATTCCCATTTCAAACCCACAAGTCCCAGATTCCTTTCCCCTCCCCCTCGCCTTAATGAAAAATCAAATCCACTGCCCCCACTCCCTGCTCTCATTCCCATTAATAATTCTCTCTTTTAAATATTTCAGAATCAGTGCTCTATGCCTTTAGAAGTCGAGATAAAAAGAACGGGGAGCTAATAACTCCCGAATTGTAAAAGTCCTTGAGTGCAAATTGCCTCCTCCGTTGTGCCTCGTGGGTTCTGACAGTAGCTTTCTCGTGTCTCTTTTCCCTCATGGAACGAGTAATGACATTTTTTAAAAATTCGATTAACCCTAGGCAGCCAACTCCTCCTTTCCACAGCACTTTATCTCTCTCTCTCTCTCTCTCTCACACACACACACACACACCCAGCCTTGCACACTAACACGACAAAAAATATTCCAACAATTTTAAGTTTGCTTTTAAGTGCCTTTAACTTTATTGATTTAAAGAGGACCAAAGAGAGGTGAAATATATTTCTTCTTCTTCAAATATATATAATATATATATATTTATATAATATATAATCTTAGTTAACTCAAAGGTATATATACATTGTATAATAAATAATTATAAAAAGAGCATTTTCTGAATATAACTTTCAAAAAAGGCTGGAAACCCTCTACGGCTTTGTAAAGAACTTTGGATACAGCAGGTTGAGGGGAGGCTGGGGGGGGGGAGCAGGACTTAATGTCCCCCAAAAGATGACTGGAATATATAGTTTATTAGTATGCATATGCCTGTACCAGCCCCTTTCTAGTCAAGCATAATGGATAAGAGATCGGGGGCAGGCTGAGTGACTGCAGGAATGAAACTAGGATTTATTTCACCCAGTTTGGTACACACACAGGCTGGGAGCCTCAATGTTGCCACTCTGGAGGCTTCACCCAGGGCAGAAAAACCTGGCTAGCACCCCTGTAGCTACCACACTGCCTCTCTGGAACAGATTCCTTTTTTTAATCACAAAAATCAGCCATGAAGTTAAGCGAGGTTAATGCTAGCCAGGGATCCTCCTAGCCAGAATCTGAAGCTTACCATTGACCGCTGATCAGCATTAATGGTAGCTAACAATACTGACCTCTTCCTCAGTTGCAGATCGCAGTTTGCGATGCCATCGCCCGCTCCCAGCTGCTCTCAACTTCAGTGAGAGAACTCCCATGTTAGGTCTACAGCAGCACAGGGGTCTGTTTAGTGTGGGAATTTTTGCTGCTGAGTAGACAGCGGGCTTAAATACCGTATTTTTTGCTCTATAAGACACACCAGACCATAAGACACACCTAGTTTTTGGAGGAGGAAAACAAGAAAAAAAATATTCTGAATCTCAGAAGCCAGAACAGCAAGAGGGATCGCTGCGCAGCGAAAGCAGCGATCCCTCTTGCTGTTCTGGCTTCTGGGATAGCTGCGCAGCCTGCATTTGCTCCATAAGACGCACACACATTTCCCCTTACTTTTTAGGAGGGAAAAAGTGAGTCTTATAGAGCAAAAAATACGGTATGTACTCTGGCTGGCTTCTGGCTAATGCTATAAACGCCCAGACACTTTGGCTGTGGGTAAAGGTCTATTCAACCAGCATTGTGGAGATGGCTTTAGGAGGTATGGCAGATGAGAAACTTGAGTGTGTCCCATCTCACAAAAGGTCAATACAGTGGTACCTTGGTTCTCGAACTTAATCCGTTCCGGGAGTCCGTTCGGCTCCCGAAACCGTTCGAAAACCAAGGTGTGGCTTCCGATTGGCTGCAGGAGCGCCCTGCAGCCAATCAGAAGTTGCGGAAGTTGCGTCGGACATTTGGCTTCTGGAAAATGTACGCGAACCCAAACACCTACTTCTGGGTTTGTGGTGTTCGGGAGCTGATTTGTTCGATAACTAAGCCGTTCGAGAACCAAGGTACCAGTGGTAATGCAAGTCTTTTATGTTGCCAACAAGGACCCTTGCTTCCAAGAACTGGAAGTTCTAGTATCAGCCTGTCCCAGGCTTCAAAAGTGGCCATTGACAAGCTGGGAAGGATGAAAAGGAGAGCTGTGGAAATGATCAAGAAGGTAAAATCCCCGTGAGGAAAGAAATCGTGTCAGTTCAGACCAGGGGAAACGAAGTATTAATGTGGGACAAATCGCTCTTGCATCTTTCCAGTGGTTTAAAAAGAAAAGAAAAAAAATCTCGGAGGATGAATAATTCTTTTCCATCTCCTGCTTGGAGCTATCCAGTAAGTCTGAGGCAGGGAGCTGAAACCTGTGGCACTCCAGATCTTGTTGGACTCCCAACTTCCTTTGGCCCCAGCCAGCATGGCTAGTGGTCAAAGTTGACGGCAGTTGGGAGGTCCTCATCTGCAGAGCCATGGGTTCCCTGCCAGGAAAGCAGTTTGATCTGGTGGTACTGTTGCAGTGTTTTGGAAACAGGAGAGACTGCTGGAGCGAGAGAGAAAAAGAGACATATCTAGGACAAAAAGACATAATAAAAGTGATCCTGATTAACAAGATCTTAAGAGAAGCAAGAGGAAAGTATTAGCATGCTTGGGGGACCCCAGGTTGCAGAAGTATGGGGGGGGCAACAGCCCTAAAGGCAAAGGACCCCTGACAGTTAAGTCCAGTCGCTGACTACTCTGGGGTTGTGGCGCTCATCTCGCTCTATAGGCCGAGGGAGCCGGCGTTTGTCCACAGAAAGTTTTTCCGGGTCATGTGGCCAGCATGACTAAGCCACTTCTGGTGCAACGGAACACCGAAACCAGAGCAGCACACGGAAACACCGTTTACCTTCCCGCCAGAGGGGTACCTATTTATCTACTTGCACTTTGACGTGCTTTTGAACTGCTAGGTTGGCAGGAGCTGGGACCGAGCAACGGGAGCTCACCCCGTGGCGGGGATTCGAACCGCCGACCTTCTGATCGGCAAGCCCAAGAGGCTCAGTGGTTTAGACCACAGCACCACCCACGTCCCATCCACAAAAAACCCAACCTATCCACAACCCCCTCCCCCCGCAACTTCAGTGACCATGAATGTTTCAGAGAGTTGGAATGCCTTGCTTGAAACTGTAGACTCCTTTTGGGAGAGAGGACACATTGCGATGCGCTGTTACAGACCTCACTTGCTCTAACAGCAAACTCCAGTGATTGATTCTCTCGCCCCAAAATAAGATGGTGGTCTCTCCTGACCCACAGAAATACGTGCATTTGCAAATAAAAAGATAACGGTGTTTCTTAACAATCTAAAACCTGCCTGACGGGAACCTGTGAGCATGTTGATGGTAGCTGAGCCTGCAGAGGAAAAAATGGTCTAAAGAAACTGGGAGGCGATGGGAGTATTCCAATCATGCCTGCTTTTTGAGATGTGGAAGGACAATTGACTAACCCCCCTTCCCCATCAAAAGGGAAAGTATTATGGGATGAGAAGCAAGAAGTGACTTGCTCAAACCCCTGACAGCTTTTAGTAAGTATCCTAAAATGGGAAGGGAAGGATAAGAGTTGGGGGGTACCTCTCCCAACTCCAGAACTGCGGACCTCCCTCTTATAAAATACCCAGGTTTGGGATTGACAGCCTTTTAGCATGCTGTAAAGGTAAGCAGGGGTGTGTTTTTTATTGCTTCCTTGCTCCTGAAACCACCCACCCATCCTGAGCCTTCACAGCACTACAAGGCTCCCATTCCATTGTCTGGAGCCATGAACAGGAAGAAGCACTTAATGGGCGGACAAATGTAATGTTTCGTTGCAAGTTCCACTTGTTTCCTCTAATAACAGATTCAAACAGCCAAGTGCTTTTATCAGTTTGGAAACAAGGATCCATCTCAACGTTTTGTTGTTGCAGATCCCATCGGTTGCCCTCCTGTTAACTCAACCTGCTGGGAAATGCTGTTACGGTTTTAACAAAGGTTTACATTTTGAAGGAGGGGCTGGCGCTGCAGCTACTTCTAAGGACCCCCCCCCCCCGCCAGTTCTTTTGGAATGTGCCTGGGTTATAGCAACACAACTGTATATACACATTAAATAGGGGGGTTTGGGGAAACCCCATTGAAAGGAGAACGATGAGACGCTCTTTACTCTCTCCCCCCCCCACCCGCCCCCTTCAACACCAAAATCATTGCTGCTTCCACAGTGGATGACTCAAAACTCAGGCCGGGCATACAGGTGTGTGAGTGAGGAGGGAAGCTCGCGGTTTTAACGCATGAAGCGATTCACAAAACAACCGCAGTCGTCGCTTGATGACTCCGAGGCCTGAGGCGGCCATCACAGGGTTGCCTTTTGTTTTCTTTTTCTGCACCTCAGTATCTGCAGTGAGCAGCTCTAACCATGCCCCTCTCGTCAGTGTCGCTACAGCCTTGCTCAGTCCTTAGGGTTTTAAAAAATATATTATATTCTGATATGTGCAACAACAACAAAAACCAGACGCCTCCCATAACCCAAAACTGTTTCGGCTTGAAATCAGGAACCTGTTTTAACAAGAAAGAAGGGGGATGCTGGCAGGATTGGCCGAAGGTCCAAGGAAGTCTTGTTATGTTGATTTCCAACGGGGTGGTTCTTCCGCCATTGCCTGCCTTGGCTAGGAAGGAGGGAGAGAAAGGCTCCTGTTTTTTCTTCTCCGTGTTCAGGCGTCAGGGGCTGCAACGCTGGTGTTTCCTGGCAGTAACTTCACATTTATCATTCCGCTCTATCAAGGGCCTCTTTCCAGGAAGACAAAGCAAGAAAAAACAACAGCACGATCACTGCCAATGTTTTTATTATTATTATTATTATTAGGGTTTCTTTCCCCTGTCTTAACAGCAGTCACCTTGTCCATCGCTGGCTCTTCTGCCTTGATTTTTATTTTTAAATGAAAATCTGCCATAGGGTGGGGAAGGGAGTCAAATTGGGAACACTGTGCAGCTTGGGAAGAGCATCACTGCTTCCTTGATCAAAATGGCTTCCAAAAGGCGTCTGTGCTCCATGGGAGCAAACAACCTCAGGGAAAGGTTTCAGTCGGGGAACGGCCCGTCCCAAGTCACCCTCATGCTTGCTTTTAATCGTTTTAAAAAATACAAGGGAAGCCATCAGGACTTCCATACTGTCTTGGTCACATCTATGCCATACATTTAAAAGCATAACAGTGTTTAACAGTCATAGAGAATCCTGGGAACTGCAGTTGTTTAGGGTGCTGGGAACTTTAGTTCTGTGAGGTCCACATCTTTAAAAAGAAAACCAAAAAACCTGCAGTTCCTAGGATTCCTTGTGAGAGCCCTGACAGCTAGTGATAGAGGAGTGTCTGAACAGGGGACGGTTTCACACTGTTTCACGCAGCATTATTGCCAGGTGTGCCATGTTCTACAGGGAACATGATGTTGGACTCCCAGCACCATGGCCAACGCTCAGGGAAGATAGAAGTCGGCGTTCAGCAACCTCTACAAAGCCACAGGTTCACAAACCATGTCCTAGAATCTCCTTAAAGGAGACAGGAGGCAGACTAAGCAAGAGGGATATTGTTCTGCTATCTGTGCCATAATATGGAGCAGCCTGCATCCTTATCACGTGCTCTGCATCTTGTACGTAATCTTTACTCTCATCGTGAAAGGTGTTCATATTGGTGTTGAGATCTCCTAAGCTATTTTACTCTCAAATCGGGGTAACCCAAGACCTAAACAGTCCTTAACATCCCTATCCCTAAACAGCCTCCGTCCTGTATACCTGAAGGAGCGTCTCCACCCCCATCATCAAGCCCAGACACTGAGGTCCAGCTCTGAGGGCCTTCTGGCAGTTCCCTCGCTGCGAGAAGTGAGGTTACAGGGAACCAGGCAGAGGGCCTTCTTGGTAGTGGTGCCTGCCCTGTGGAACGCCCTCCCACCAGATGTCAAGGCAGTAAACAACTATTTTACTTTTAAAAGACAACTGAAGGCGGCCCTGTTTAGGGAAGTTTTTAATGTCTGACGCTGTATTGTTTTTAATATTCGGTTGGAAGCCGCCCAGAGTGGCTGGGGTATAAATAAATAAATTATTATTATTATTATTATTATTATTATTATTATTATTATCGTTATCTGTAATGAACTGGCAGGGCAATGGGGAGAAGGAAGAGAAGATCCTGGAAACATGTGTCTCAGGAACTGGGACACACTACTGGGGATGGGGAAGGAGAGGGTGGTGCAGGAAGTACTCACAAGGTGGCAGAGGATGGCGAGGGTTTGGGGGGTCAGTGCACAGGAACCAGAGCAGCAGGACCCCTCACAAGAGCCAGAGGGGCCCCTGTCTCCACCAACATGGCGGGCCCTGAAGTGTAGGGGGCAGCGGGCAGGGTGCTTTAGGAGGCCGAGGCAAGCAAGCTCCCTAGCTGGCGGGTGGGGCTCACTAGCTCTGGGAGGGGATGTGTGATTCCTCAGCTGGAGAAGGCTTGGGACAGGTAGGGGCCCTGTGTATCTGAAGGAGCCTCTTCGTTCAGCCTGGACACTGAGATCCAGCACTGAGGGCCTTCTGGCGGTTACCTTGCTGCAAGACATGAAGCTACAGGGAACCAGGCACAGGGCCTTCTCAGTGATGGCACCTGTCCTGTGGAACGCCCTTCCATCAGATGTCAAGGAGATGAGTAACGATACAACCTTTAGAAGACATCTGAAGGCAGCCCTGTGTAGGGAAGCTTTTTTTTAACGTGTAATATTTTTTATGGTGCTTTTATCTATGTAGGAAGCCGCCTGGAGTGGCTAAGGCAACCTGGTTAGATGGATGGGGTGCAAATATTATCAATCCCAGATGCTGCAGTCAGCATGCATTCAACACAACCCATACCAATAATAATAATAATAATAATAATAATAATAATAATAATAGTACACTGAGTGGCTTCCAACAGCATATTAAAAACACAGTAAAACATCACACATTAAAAACTTCCCTAGACAGGGCTGCCTTCAGATGTCTTCTAAAAGTCAGGTAGTTGTTTATTTCCTTGACATCTGATGGGAGGGCGTTCCCACAGGGCAGGCACCACCACCAAGAAGGCCCTCTGCCTGGTTCCCTGTAACCTCACTCCTCGCAGTGAGGGAACTGCCAGAAGGCCCTTGGAGCCGGACCTCAGTGTCCAGGCTGAACAATGGGGGTGGAGACGCTCTTTCAGGTATACTGGGCCGAGGCCATTTAGGGCTTTAAAGGTCAGCACCAACACTTTGAATTGTGCTCAGAAACGTACTGGGAGCCAATGTAGATCTTTCAGGAGTGGTGTTATATGGCCTGGGCAGCTACTCCCAGTCATCAGTCTAGCTGCCACATTCTGGATTAATTGTAGTTTCCGGGTCAAAGGTAGCCCCATGCAGAGTGTATGGCAGTAGTCCAAGCTGGAGATAACCAGAGCATGCACCACTCTGGTGAGACAGTCTGCGGGCAGGTAGGGTCTCAGGCTGCGTACCAGATGGAGCTGGTAAACAGCTGCCCTGGACACAGAATTGACCTGCGCCTCCATGGACAGCTGTGAGTGCAAAATGACTCCCAGGCTGCGCACCTGGTCCTTCAGGGGCACAGTTACCCCATTCAGGACCAGGGAATCCCCCACACCCGCCCGCCCCCTGTCCCCCCAAAACAGTACTTCTGTCTTGCCAGGATTCAACCTCGATCAGTTAGCCGCCATCCATCCTCCCACTGCCTACCTTTTTATTTGCACGTGTGGACATCATAAACTCGGATGCATTCCTGGCAGCTGACATAGCAGCACCAGTGGAAGATGCAGTGACACTTCTCCTTCCTCTTCTCCGTCCGGGTGTTGTGGCCGCGGCCGCAGCAGAGCAAGTCGCACCCGTCGATCCCGTGCGAGGTCACGTTGCACATCCTGTCTCGGGTGCCGAACGAGCCGGTCTCGGGGTTGGGCTCGCAGAAGTTGGGCGAGTTCTCGTAGTAGACCAAGTCGCGCTCCGTCGGCGGCTTGAAGAGGGCGTATTTCGCACGCAGCGTCTCCACCCACCCGCGAGATTCCCGGTGTTTCTCCACCACCATCTCCGAAGCGCTGTCATATTTGTCCTTCAAGTAGTCGCCAATGGCGCGGAAATCTGGCTGGGCCCACCAGCATGTTTTGACCTCGCAGCTGCCTGATAGCCCATGGCACTTACATTTCAGGTGCATGTGGTCCAAGATCGTCTAAACCAAAGCGAAACGAAAACATGCCAGTCAAGTCCAGAGAAGCACCCACAGGGCATCTTCCATCTAGTGTCTATTGGGGCTAAGGCCATGGACCAGGCAAGATTTTTCTAATACAGTCATACCTCGTGTTGCGTTAGGTTCATGTTGCTTCTTTTCGGCTTGCAAATGCGGCAAAATTGGAAGTGTATACAGTGGTACCTCTGGTTATGTACTTTATTCGTTCCGGAGGTCTGTTCTTAACCTGAAACTGTTCTTAACCTGAGGTACCACTTTAGCTAATGGGGCCTCCTGCTGCAGCCACCGCGCAATTTCTGTTCTATTTCTAGGTTAGCGGAGTCTGTAACCTGAAGCGTATGTAACCCGAGGTACCACTGTACTTCTGGATTTCGCTGCCTGTGCATGCACAGAAGCGTTCTGTGCACTCCGCACATGCGCAGAAGTGCTGTATCGCGCTCCGGGCTTGTGCAGAAGTGCCGCTCTAGTTGCGGACTTTTCGGGGTGCAAATGGCACCCTGGAATGGACAGTGGTACCTTGGTTCTTGAACGTCTCCTTTGACGAACGTTTTGGAACCCAAACACCGAAAACCCAGAAGTAAATGATTCCGTTTCCAAATGCGACTCGGAAGTCGAATGCCTTCCGCTGCGTGTTTTTCAATTTTCTCAATTGAATTTGCAGGCAGCCCTTTGTGCCTCGGTTTTCGAACGGTCTTCTGGAACGGATTACGTTCGAGAACTGAGTTTCCACTGTATATATATGATTACAGGGGCAAGATTGTTACATGCACAAGAATGGAAGGATACAGTCCTGCTATGGAGGGATGGTTGATAAAATGATTGGACTGAGATGGCAAAGTTGACGTGTTTAATTAGAGAGAGAAAATCGTTGGCATTGATTAAGGATTGGAAACTTCTTATGTACTTTTTGCAGGAAAGAGAAAATGGACTTGTAATATATGGATCTGAAGACTGGAAAAATATTGGCTTATAGAAAATAAAATAGCTGGATGTTATTGAGTGAATACTATATTGAGCTGACAGACAGAGAATGGGAAGTCTTTTATCCTTTTCCATTTTCTTTTCTTTCTCTCTCTTTCCTTTTTGTTTTAAATTCTGATTTTATAACCAAAGATTTAACTAACTAGATGTAGTAGTGGAAATTTTGAGTTTTGTGTTTGGTAGTGGTTGTTGTTTTGGATTTCCCAACGATATAATCACATGATCAGCATACAGGTGAATTGAACAGTTGTTTCAGCCTCACCTTCTTCAATGTTAATATTTTGTCATTTGGCCAGGGTTAGTGATTCTAAAGCTACTGAGAAAAATAAAACGGACGAAGAGACATCTTTGCATAGTTCCTTTTTAGCGGTATCATTTTTTTTCTTGAAAGTGAACTCTGCACTCAAATGCTTCTATGCAAATTTCTCTCATTAGACTTCTTCATTAAGGAAAAATGCTACCAACCACTACTTTGCTCCATGAATTGTCATTCAAACCTTAAGGCCTTGATTTAATAAGGAAACTGGGTAGTAATTATGATAGAATAGTAAGCTGTTTGAATAGCGTTTTAGATTGTTCAGCCCTGCAAAGGCAAATTTATTTTATTATCCCCCATATTGCTGATGGGCACTGAGGATGAGAATAGTTTGTCTAAGGGAAACAAATGGCAGAGGTCAAGTTATTTGCAGCCCAGCCATTTAGCTACCATGTTACACTGTATATGATTCCTGTCTTGCTAAATCATATCTGCATTTTGGCATGATTTCAGCACAATCCAATGCACATTTACTTGCTAGTAAATGCAGACAGCTTTCAGCGGCTTTCTTTATCTCTTCTCTGTTGACCAAGGCCTCTATCTCTTCTGTATAATTCTCCCATACTCTTGGATGTCATATTTACTTAACTCAGTTCTGGGTAATATTTCTGAATTTTTATTGGGTGACTAGAAGATCAGTTCATAGGTTATGCTATGTTGAACCATGGTTTAGCACGAATGAGCAGATGTGCAGCTTTCTGAGGAGAAGATTGTAGTAACTCCTCTCCCAGTTCCACAGTCGCTAGACTACCTGGGGCTAAACCACGGTTTGGCTTAGCATTGTGTCTAAACTGCAAAGCGCCCATCTGCACCTGCCAAGAGCACACCAGGAAGGCTATGGAACAAGTGCAAATATCTGCTGGAAATGTAAAGAAAAAGAAGGCACCTTTTACCACATGTGGTGGAGGTGTAAGGTAATACAGTGGTACCTCGGGTAAAAAAAGCTTCAGGTTACATACACTTCAGGTTACACACTCCGCTAACCCAGAAATAGTACCTCGGGTTAAGAACTTTGCTTCAGAATGAGAACAGAAATCGTGCAGCGGCAGCAGGAGGCCCCATTAGCTAAAGTGGTACCTCAGGTTAAGAACGGACCTCCGGAACGAATTAAGTACTTAACCCGAGGTACCACTGTAAAAGCATTATGGGAAATGATATATAATGAATTGGAAAAAAAATGTTTAAAATAACGTTTGTGGAGAAACCCAGAGGCTTTTTTATTAGGAATGGTAGGTACCAATATTCCAAAGGAGCAGAAAATACTTTTTATGTATGCGATGACAGCTGCACGGATGTTACTAGCCCAGAGATGGAAAGAAGACAAAGTCCCTACCAGAGAGGAATGGCAAACTAAGTTGTTGGATTATGCCAAAATGGCAAAACTGACCTGAAGGCTCAGGAACTAAGAAGACCTAAACTTCAATGGTTAGACAAGATGGCCTCCTTAGGCCTGGGTTTAGTCACATTTTGGATTTCTCTGTTCTTACACCGGAGGCCTTTCCAGCGAGTAAGCTAGGCAAAACGGGGCAGGGCATCTTTCCCCCATGCTGTCCTGAGAAAAGGACAAAGAGGTGAAGGGGCACACTCACTGTTCTCCCAGCTTCATTATTGTGCCTGTTCATGGCGGAGCGGGCATCCGGGCGATTTTCCCGGGCGTCGGCAAACTCCCGCGAAACCAGCACGCCAAAGTCGGCGTCCTCGCTGCAGCCACCCCATTTCCAACCTTCGCCCGGTGGCCCCTTGTGATGCGAGTCGCAACCGCAGATGGTGGACGTGCCTTCAGCACAGGAGCGAGTGACGGCGAAGGCCACGCCGGCTGAGGCGATGGCGTGGACAAAGGCAGATTCTCGCGTGGCTGCGAACAAGAGGGAGAAAAAGACCCGGTTATTTTGCAAGCTGTGATCTTATCATTTGCCTTCCCATATGAAGCAGCTTGTGGCTTTTGGATTTGAAAGTTCAGGCCCACAATCAAAAAGTCCTGTCTTTGTTCTCTTTTAGCAGAATTAGATTTCTTCCAAGTTCTGCCTCCTGCTATCTGCCCTTTTAGTATTTCTTTTTTAAAAAATGAGATTGTGTGCTATCTTTTGTTTTGTATGAAATGCCACAGAGAGCTGCTTTGGGAGTTTGCGTCCAACAGTGAGGAATAATCCATCGCCGAGCTATGCTCAGAACAGGGACTGGGGCAGAAATGTAGGGGTTAGGCTCTTTGTCCATTCACAAACTCCAGCATAAAGATTTAATTCCTTTTCTGTTGGTAGCTGCATAGCTAGTAACAGCGTATCACTGGAAATCGCAGGTGGAGATTGGGTCTTGAGACTGGGTTCAACAAAATTTGGGTTATAGCTAGTTCAGAACGACTAACTGGGCTTAGAAGAATTGCAAATGGGTTTATTATAAAGAACATCTTTGGTGAAACCTATATGGACTGCCAACATTTTAAGACCATGTAAAATGATGCCATAGGCTTGATGCTTTGTTCTTTTCTTTGCGATGACTGTACTGTATAATTAAAAACTCCAAAAACAAACGCTTTTCAGCTGTAAAAAGAGTGCACCTTCGATTTCAAATCTGGAAAACACGAGTGCCCCTGGCCTTGGACGTTTTGGAACCGACTCGAGCCAAAGTAGCTCCCCTCAGGAAGGTTGCCTTCGAAAAATAAAGTAAGATACGGCGTGCGAAGATGAAAACTCTGAGGGAAAAGTTGCTACCTCAAAACCGACGGAGGCTTCCGAAGATTTGGGAAAAGGCCGTCTGGAAGAAAGCCCAACTCTCCACCCCACCCCATGAGGCATGGGGGGTTGCTTGAGAGAGATTTCCCAGTGGCAAAATTGAAAGTTCCCAGAAGCGCTGAGGGGGCCGGGTTGGGGGGCAGAGCCTGGGTGGATTAGGGGCTCTTGACAGAGCTCCACTGTAACGGTCTCCTATCCAGACCCCGTTACCTGCTGGGACACTCAATTTGCCATTGTTTGCGGAGTGTCACACTGTATTACCCACATAATGTGGAATGTTTCTGCCAGGCCCGGCAGTACCCACGGGGCTGGCATTCCCCGCGGCCACCCCTTGGCAACGGGGCCCGCGACCGCCCTGCCCTGCCATCCCCCCGCGAGCCCACCAGTCAGGCTAGGAAATCTCTATTGAGACCTCTGGTGCCGCCGGTCCTCCCCTCCCGGGCTCCGGGTGGCGAAAGGGCGTGTGAATGGCGCAGGGTTGTGAAACAGTTCAAGGTCTGGAACGATATCCCCCTGCCCCGGTGCACAGTGGGGATGGGAGCTTAGCTCTTTTCTCCTGGATATAAGCTCATTTTCTCTCCCTCCCCACCACCCGCCGCTGCCTTTAAATCTCCAGCGTTTATATCCAGTCCCCCTCTTTAAATGCAAATTTGTCATCTGTGTCACAGCTGAGGAACACTGCTGGGTTATCACAATGCTGTAGGGCCATTTCGCAGCCTCTGATTTCCTCAGCCGAGGCCCTGGAGATGCGGGTTTTGTTCGCCACATTTGTTCCAGGGAAATGCAGTCAGCTTCTCTTACACAGAGAGTCATTTGCTACGGCTCCCTGAGGAGGTAGCCTTTTCAGTCCTGAGGGGACCCACCTTTAACCTTGTTCTGCACCATGAGACCCACCTTTAACCATTTTCCCACCTCAGCCTTTCAGAAACCTTTATTTATTTTTTAGGCCTTGAGGTGGTTAAAAACCTGTGTCGGAGCTGTGCTACTTCAGGCTGTGGGTGATAGCTGTCAGACTCCTCCATGTAAAAAACACACACAACACACTTCACTTTAGGCCAGTGGTTCCCGACCTATTTTTGGCCATGCCACACCTAAAAAATGTAAAGGACCCCTGACAGTTAAGTCCAGTCACAAACGACTCTGGGGTTGCGGTGCTCATCTCGCTTTATGTGCCAAGGGAGCTGATGTTTGTCTGCAGACAGTTTCCCGGGTCATGTGACCGGCATGACTAAACCGCGTCTGGCGAAACCAGAGCAGCGTACAGAAACGCCATTTACCTTCCCGCCGGAGTGGTACCTATTTATCTACTTGCACTTTGACGTGCTTTCGAACTGCTAGGTTGGCAGGAGCAGGGACCGAGCAACGGGAGCTCACCCTGTCGCGGGGATTCGAACCGCCGACCTTCTGACTGGCAAGTCCAAGAGGCTCAGTGGTTTAGACCACAACACCACCCGCGTCCCTAAGCATCTCTAAAATCCTGATGCCCCTCCGCTGTGACATATAATTCTTCTTATTCAAAAAGTGAACTCCTATTCACATGGAGGAAGCATAAAAGGTCATCAACTTGGTCTAACTCATTCTCAAATTGCCCCCCCCCCATCAAACTGGGACCCTTATGGGGCATGTGCTCCATGTTGGGAACCATGGCTTTCGGCAGTGAGATATTCAGGAGATTTATTGTCCCTTAGCCTTTCGGCTGAGAAGCTAGTTTTCTATGTCAAGGAAAATGTCTGCCTGGAGGAGCGTTTGATCATGTTTCCCACCCTCCGCAGCCTAAAAGCCGAGACCAGAAAACGGGATTGTTCTTCCACTTTCTTGGTCTTCCTTTAACATGAAAACATGGTACAGTTAATATGGCCTGTTTAAGGCGTGGCACTAAGTTCAGCTCAGATTTCAGATACTGCTCCACCTTGGTTTTATTTATTAAAATTAAGCTGCTCGTTAGCTTGGGCGTGCCCGCATATGCAATTCATATCCTCCCTGGTTCCTTCTTTCCAAATTGATCGATCGTGGGGTTACATCAATCATGTTGTTATGGCTGGCTGGCTAATAAATCACGACTGACTGATACATTAATCACGTCTAGGCAGAGGGGATTTTACCACTTCCCCAGATTTTTGATTATTCAGACGTGGAGTGAAATTCTCTTCACTTTGCCCATTATTCCAAGTTGCCTCTCGATAAACTGCTGCTCTGAAATTTAATGAGATGGTTGGGGGCAATAAGAGAAAACGGGAATTAAATAAACACCTCCCCTGGAGAATGAAATATCCATTAAAAATGGTGTGTTTTTTACTACTGCGAGTTGTCACCTGTCTCCCTCCCTCGGAAAATAAAATGTACAAATTTAATGGTACATGCAAATCCCAGTGGGCCCTCAGCATGATCCACTGGGAAGGCCACCTGTCCAATGAGATGGCTGAGAACTTTGCAATGGCCTGGTAGGTTACTTTCACAGTTTCCCATTCAATTCATTGGGGTTTTCACAGGAGATCTTATTGCTGGATGGTGTGTTTTGTTCCACAAGGCCTATATCATTCTCCTATGGGCTGTTGGGGGTGTCTGTGTGTGTGTGTACAGGCTTGGTAATTCGTTAATCTGTACTTGCCCTTAGGTGGGACGTGGGTGACGCTGTGGGTTAAACCACAGAGCCTAGGACTTGCCGATCAGAAGGTCGGCATTTCGAATCCCTGTGACGGGGTGAGCTCCCGTTGCTCAGTCCCAGCTCCTGCCCACCTAGCAGTTCGAAAGCACGTCAAAGTGCAAGTAGATAAATAGGTACCACCCCAGCGGGAAGGTAAATGGCGTTTCTATGCGCTGCTCTAGTTCGCCAGAAGCGGCTTAGTCCTGCTGGCCACATGATCCGGAAGCTGTACGCCGGCTCCCTCAGCCAATAAAGCGAGATGAGCACCGCAACCCCAGAGTCGGCCATGACTGGACCTAATGGTCAGGGGTCCCTTTACCTTTACCTTTACTTGCCCTTAGACAGAGAGGATGTGAAGTATAGCTGTACGTGAGATCTTAGATCTGTCTTATTGAGCAGCTTACAGTAAATGCATTTTTTCCTTCCCTCCCTCCCTGTATGATTATACTGGGACAACCTATGCAGCCTCCCTCTGTTGTTTGCAACAAAGCTGTATATATATATATTTCCAGCAACATATAATTTGGTGTTGAAATCAGACATTTTTTTTAAAAAATAAGGAGTGTGACATACACATTATTTTGCAAGTCAACGCTCCGCATTAATGCCCGTAAACTGTTGCCATTTAAATTTTTTTTAAAAATCAGCTGTAATTTTTAAAAATTAAAATCTTTAGAGTCACGCTTTGCACAAACTGGGTGCCAGTTATTGGCATGTTCTATACGATAATCGTGAAGCTGCCTTCTCCTTTCGGCTCAATGGGTTGATGCCTCTCAGCCTAAGCCAACACACAGGGTTGTTGCGAGGAATAAATGAGGATTGGGAGAACGTTGAGCTCCTTGGATGAGAAAAAAAGTGGGGGAAGCGATGCGTAATAATGAATAAAATATGCTCCACTACTGGCAAGCTATGGGTGCCCCTCCTCTAACCCGGCTTGTGCTGTACCTTTATCGAGAACAGGCCCGAAAATGGCCAAGCTGTCGTCGATGGTGGTGCAGTTCCAACGGCGCCCCCGGAACTGGTGTTGGCATTCCTGGATTCCTAGCTTCACGCCCTCAGCCACGCTGGGCATGATCTCGATGTAGTTGCGGCAGAACCGGAGCTGCTTGGGCACTAAGCCAGGAATGGAACCGCACAGGATCGGCTGGGAGCCCAACGAGGTATATTGCTGGCCTAATGCGAGGGACCTGCAAAGGGAGAACATATACAACCCCCTGCTTGAAAGGGCATCGGGCACTTTGCATGCCCGCCCTGACTCTTCCACCCAATGGCAGACTGTCAGGAGCCAGCAGTCAATCACACCCTGCAAATGAGAGTTAACTCTTCATTGGCAAAATCAGGATCTGCACAGGAGGATCTGTCAGGCCTAATTAGCACAGAAACTCTTCTCTGGCAGGTCTTGTCCCTATGAAGAGGTTGCTGAGACCTCCCCACGGCTGCCTAAGCTGCCTCCGGTCCAGAGTTTACCCCAAACAATCTGAGACTATGCCTGAAGCCAACCTCTGCTCTGCCCTTTTCATGCCTCTTCTGGTTCTGGGAGACCAGGGTTGCCTTGGGATATTTAAAGTCATAGCTAGTCAAAGGGCTGCCCCGGGACAGGATATCATGTATTGAAAACAATCCTGACACCTGCCTATTGAACCTGCTCCCAAGAGAACTCATTCTTCTATGTGAAATGTCCCGAACCAAAGGTCCACCTGGCTCCACTTTGTTTTCTGAAAATCTTTCAGATGTTTGAAAACAATCTGCATACCCATCCTGTCCTTCTTTAGCATTTGTTTTCTCGGGGGTAAATATGTCTAGTTCATTCGGTCTTTCTTACTATCATTCATTGTGCATGGCAGTTTATCAACGTTCCTAAATCAAACTGAGAACTGTCTCTGCCCCTAAAGATATTGCAGTCTAAAATTAACAGTGAAGGAGGGAGGGAGAGAGAGAGAGGGAAAGAAAGAAAGAAAGAAAGAAAGAAAGAAAGAAAGGGTAGCAAGGGATGGATATGAGCATCTACAAGCACTTAAACTTTGCTACAATTGGGAACAAGGATTAAGGGATTAGTCCAAAGTCCTTGCAGAAGTGATAGGAGGGAAGAAAGGAAGAAATATAAATGTTGAGGGAGAGACATCCCAGCATAGTGAAGTCATGATTCCAACATAAAACTTACTGTTTTTCTTCTACGCTTTATCAATTTGCATAGTTCTCTCCTGAGTCCTTTCCCATGTTTACAACTGTGGTACACAGAGAGCGATCACAGCACCGTCACCTCCTGCGTCCCAGGATAAACGACGTTTCCTTAATACACCTAAGACAACCTTGTGGGGTGGAGGGGGATGAATGGATTGTGATATTTCCATTTCCATTTTATAGATTGGGGAGACGGAGGACCTGCAGTTTGCCCCTGAAATGACCCTGCACGTTCATGACCTGGGTAGGATTCGAACCTGAGCCTGATGCTCTGCTGAACTGCACTGCCTCAACCCCTCATTAAGACTGGGGAATTGCTGCGTGCCACGAAAGCACACAGGCAATTATATCACCTCATTATCTTCTTACCAGCGCTGCATTAAGCTGCGGTGCAAAGATCAAAGCCTTTGTTTTCTTTCAGGGTGCTCAAGTCTTGTCGTTCAGAATCTTTTTTGCTAACTTGGCAGCAGAACCGTTTTCCTTTGCTGTGGTGGAAGCCGGCCTGCTTTCCAGGAAGCGGCAGCTGTAACCTTGGGGAGAACCCAGGTTCCTGTGCAAATTTATCCCCCTGGAGAGGCGTTGCGTGGAGATGATGGAGCATGTGGTGTTAGCACCCTGCTTGTATTTTCTAGGAACGTCCAATGCTGGGATTAGATTCTACGTACAAGGCTGGTTCTACATGGAAGCTGCCTTTTGAAGGTGACTTGCATCTACACCTGGTCCAGATGCAGCAGCCAGACCATGGGTAGGCAAACTAAGGCCCGGGGGCCAGATCCGGCCCAATCGCCTTCTAAATCTGGCCTGCGGAGACAGCGAGATTTTACATGAGTAGAATGTGTCCTTTTATTTAAAATGCATCTTTGGGTTATTTGTGGGGCATAGGAATTCGTTCATTCCCCTCCCCCACAAAATATAGTCCGGCCCCCACAAGGTCTGAGGGACAGTGGACTGGCCCCCTGCTGAAAAAGTTTGCTGACCCCTGAGCTAGACTCCCATCCTAACTAGGACTAGCCATAGGGACCATAGTACACCTGCCCTCAAAGAATGTACTGTTACCAATTGGTTCCTGGACATAATTCAAGGGACTGTGGTCATAGCAGTGCCTTTTAAGTCTGCGCACTGCTTAGCTGAAGCGAAGTCTCCTTCTAAATAATAATAATAATTGTATTATTTATATCCTTTCCAACTGGCTAGATTGCCCCAGCCACTCTGGACAGCTTCCAACAAAATATTAAAAGCACAGCAAAACATCAACCATTAAAAACTTTATTATTATTGTGCACTACCCTTTATCCGTAGATCTCAGGGCAGTTCACACTCCTTTTTAGAAAGCACACACAAATGTTTTTTTTCATCCAATGAGCATTTGCCTTGCCATAATATAAAGTGGTATTACAGCCAGCTGCTGTTTAGGACCAGAGAACTGCTGTTTTAAATTCTTGTCCACATTTTCTTGATCTCTTGGCTTGTTATTTTAATAAAGGGGGGGGGACACTATCAGATTATACTGATAACTATTATGAGAACTTTATTCGATACAGCAAATATAGGAATCTGAAGGGGAAATAAGTTTGAGAGGCTGGTGTAGATCTATAAAGCCACCAACAGTTTATTATTATTTTTTCATTTGAAAATATCTCAGTTAAACAAAATTAAGTGAAAAAATGAAAAAGAAGCAAAAAGTGCATATTATTATTATTATTATTATTATTAAGTATATAAATGAAATTATTATTCTAATACATATATATTTATAACCGGCTATATTTTTAATAAATTCTTTGAAAATATAATAATATTTGTCCACACACAATCCATGCCTGTAAGCTATCATGTCTTTTCTCCATTGATAAAGTCCCCAACATTGTGGCTCATGCAGGTATTGTTTTGCTCTCTCTTTTTGGTGACCTGCCCAAAGCCTTTTGGCGTGGCCTCTCTTGGATGGAGAATGGACCAAATGAATGGCCCTCTACACTGAACCCGGTGATTTTCACAATCTTATTTGGGAACCTTGGGGTTCTTTGCTCATCAGCCTTAACCTTACCCAGTAACGTGCGGGTCAGCAATAACTCACAAGGCGTCAGTGAAGTTAACTCTTTATTCAAAGAAACAAAAGAGCTCAAGCTTAGCACAGCAACTCTTCCCAGTAGGTCTTGCAGTTGCAAGGACTGAAGGTCCCCCGCCTTCCCTTATCTCCCAAATTCTCCTCCACCCCAGGTCCTTCCCAAGCAATCTGAGGCTCCAACACCTTGTCTGTCTCTGCTGCGCCCTCTTCATACCTCCTCTGGTTCTGGCAAACCAGCGGGAGGGTAGCTAGTCACAGCAGGAGAGGGAGACCCCCTGGTTTCTTCAGCAGCTTGCCTAATCTCTGCCTCATGGCCTTTCTCCTATCCACTTCTGCCCTCTGCCACAGCCTCTTCCTGCTTACTAAACCCTGTTACCTCTTCAGCTTCCAACACCACCTCCTCCCAGTCTTCTCCATCTGCTCCCTCTGACCACTCATCATCATCCCACCACCAATCCCCTCGATCTGAGCCTTCTTCCCTTGGGGTTTTCCCAGCTAGGGCCTCTGGGGAACCGGGTTCGCGTCTCCGCTCCTCCACATGCAGCTGCTGGATGACCTTGGGCTAGTCACACTTCTTTGAAGTCTCTCAGCCCCACTCACCTCACAGGGTGTTTGTTGTGGGGGAGGAAGGGAAAGGAGAATGTTAGCCACTTTGAGACTCCTTCGGGTAGTGATAAAGCAGGATATCAAATCAAAACTCTTCTTCTTCTTCTTCCCACCGCTCCTCTGAATCCAGCCAATCCATGGCAACAAATCTTGAGCATCTTCTTATACTCCTCCTTTCCAACTACCATAATCTAGACCAGGGGCAGGATGAACCTCAGGCTTGGGGGCAAAGACAACCTTCCAGGACTCTCTTGCAGCCCTCAGGATTGTCTGCAGGCCACAAGCTCCATCAGCCCCAGTCTGCAACCACTACAAGTCACATCCACTGCCAGGATACACCTGGACGTTTGTCCACAAGGGAATGACACTGCCTTCCCATAGCTCAAGCCATACACAAGGTGGCTTACAATAGGAAAAGACTCACATAATTACAAACAAAAGTAGTCATAAACAATAAATAAAACTCATCAAAAAGTACACAACCAAACTGAACGATTCCCTCATAAATCATAATAAGATCTAAAAATAAGGGTACAAAAATGATATTAAGAATAGCAGCAAAAAAAACCCAACAACACCCACTAAACAACACCCCAGCCCAAGAGTCCTCTCAGCAGCTTATTTTTTTGTAGTTGGAGTCAGTCCAGGTCCCACCATCCCAGGCCAGGTCAGCAAGGCAGGGAGCAAGTCTTCCTGGAGTCAAAGTCAATGTGGTCCTTGAGTTGAGAAAGGTTCCCTACCATGGATTTAGAGTACAATCCCTTGGGGTAGTCAGGGACCTGACTCTCCCTTGCTTTCATTTAGCCCATAAAAGTGCCATGCATGCCGATGACACTGTATAATAATTAGGCAGGCCTTCTTTTCTTGTTACATACTATCTTCTTCCATGATCATTCATAGCTGAGTAGGATTGTCTTCCATGAACACGGTTTTAACAGTGAGTCCGTAAGTGACTGTGGAGGCCAATTCTGGATCCACAGTGGGGACTTAGGTTTCCAGGCGGGAGTTGATGATGGTGAGGGTTTGCAAGTGTGCCCTCCTCTTAGCACATTTCTCCCTTTCATCCTGAGTTTGAGCATCTTCAAAGCCCATGACACCTTTGGTAAAGGCTGTTCTCCAATTGGAGCGCTCAAAGCTGGTGTTTCCCCGTGGTCGGTGTTTATACTACATTTTTAAAGATTTTCCTTGAGAGAGTCTTTAAACCTCTTCTGTTGACCACCGGCATTACACTTTCCATTTTTAAGTTCGGAATAGAGTACAGTGGTACCTTGGGTTACATATGCTTCAGGTTACAGACGCTTCAGGTTACAGATTCCGCTAACCCAGAAATAGTACCTCGGGTTAAGAACTTTGCTTCAGGATGAGAACAGAAATCGTGCTCCAGTGGCGCGGCAGCAGCAGGAGGCCCCATTAGCTAAAGTGGTGCTTCAGGTTAAGAACAGTTTCAGGTTAAGAATGAATGAATTAAGTACTTAACCCGAGGTACCACTGTAGTAGTTTTGGAAGACAATCATCAGGCATGAAGTTGATGTTGAAGAATCATTGCTTCGACACTGGAGAGTTTGGCTTCTTCCAGTACATTTACACACTGTAAGATCACTGGGGCAGGGACCATTGCATACTTGTGAGTTCTGTACCAGCCTGCATCGCTGAATGAACTGTTATATACTAGAATAAGTCACTACTGAGAATTGAGAGCTGTGAATGTTTCACAAATGGGAAACATTGAATGCTAGCTGGCTGGTCAGTCTCCCTGCACAGGGAGCTATCCAAATGAAGGTGCTGAACCTGTTGTGGGAGTTTAGCAGCCCACCTGCAGGAGATTTTGAGGGTCCCAGTGTGGTAACCTGAGTTGGCTAGGGCTTTTCCAATTTAACTGCAATCCATGTCAGTTCATAGACTATTCTTTTAAAAGGTATCGGGTGTGGCGGATAGTCAGGTAGTCATTTGTGCTTAACAGACTGGATGGGTGAAAACACCCGAATCTCTCTGTCCTAAATGAAACTTTAGCACATAGAACAAAAGAAGGGATGAAAGGCAAAAGCAAACATCAAAGGCCTTGCCATTTTATTTTATTATTTTTTTTAAAAAAAGCATCACTCCAAAGTTATGTTTATGATAATGAGATCAGACGTGCCCTCAGTTTGTTTTAAATCCGTGGCACTGAATTGAACTTCAGTCAAAGTCCATGAAGAAACAACTTGGCTTGGGCAAATTCCAAATCTTCAGCCAGATTTGTTTTTAGATAAGCTGTGTGTGTGTGTGTGTGTGTGTGTGTGTGTGTGTGGAAACAACTTTTGAGCCTCTTGAACTTTCATTGGAAAATCTTGTCCTGAAATAGGGAATGGTGCTTATCTACGCAGCCACACAGTTCCTCCTCAGTCCTCCAAATAAAGAGATTTTTCTTTATTTGCTGCCATCAGGAAATCAACAAATCTACCAATTTTTACTTCCTAGGATAATCTCATACCAATGCTGCGAGGTGCTTTCAGACAGACAGCAACATGTCTGTCTGAAAGACTAGGAAGACACATATCCACATTTCGACTCTGCAGCACAGCTAACTGGGTGGCCTGGGCCAAATCCTTTTCTCTTAGCTGAACCTAGTTCACAGGGTTAATAGCAAGATAAAATGGAGTAACCCCATATATATGGTCCATAAAGGTAAAGGGACCCCTGACCATTAGGTCCAGTCGCGGATGACTCTGG